ACCACGCAGTATGCTGCAGGAGGTTCAACCCCCTCCACTGCGACGGATGGCTCAACCTCACAGCCAGCTGTAGAAGGCACAACACCCTCCACTGCGACGGATGATTCAACCTCACGGCCCGCTGTAGAAGGCACAACCCCGCAGTACGCTACAGGAGGCTCAACCCCCTCCACTGCGACGGATGGCTCAACCCCACGGCCCGCTGTAGAAGGCACAACCCCGCAGTACGCTGCAGGAGGTTCAACCCCCTCCACTGCGACGGATGGCTCAACCTCACGGCCAGCTGTAGGAGGCACAACCCCGCAGTACGCTGCAGGAGGTTCAACCCCCTCCGCTGCGACCGATGGTTCATCCTCACTGCCCGCTGGAGAAAGTACAACCTCGTCCACTGTGACGGATGGCTTAACCTCACGACCCGTGGTAGGAGGCACAACCCCGCAGTACGCTGCAGGAGGCTCAACCCCCTCCACTGCGACGGATGGCTTAACGTCACGACCCGCTGCAGGAGGCACAACCCCCTCCACTGCGACGGATAACTCAACCTTACGACCCGTGGCAGGAGGCACAAGCCCCCAGTATGCTGCAGGAAGCTCAACCCCCTCCACTGCGACGGATGGCTCAACCTCACGGCCCGCTGTAGGAGGCACAACTCCCTCCACTGCGACGGATGACTCAACCTCGCGGCCCGCTGGAGGAGGCTCAACCTCCCCTGTTTCGACTAGGCCGGGCACGGGCCCTGTTACGCCATCGCCGAGTGGCTCCGCGACAGGGGTCTCCACGCCTGCGTCCATTATAGGTGTCAATGAGGCCCTCACGCCAGTCACAGACGCTATCGGAACAAGCACTTCAACGTCCTCTGAAAGTGTTGGAAGCATCGTTGGAGTCACACTGTCGTCTACTGGCGCTTCGGATGAAACCACAACACCGGAGACCAGCGTTGGGGAAGCGGGGAACGTAGCTTCGACTGTGGCACAAGCTGATGTGGTGGTCGAGAAAGCGTCTACTCCGACGGGTACCTCACGTCCTGGTGTCATCACTGTTGCACCGCCCAGCACGCCTCTTGATGACAGCAGCGCTCCAGTAAACGACACAGCTCCAGTTACGATGTCCTTACCCCTCCGGCGTCACCAAAGAGGTGACACCCACGCCAGCCACAACGGGCGGGTTCGGCCTTCCGTCACCGACCGCAGGCGGCACCGGTCCAGAAAGTCTCTCAACTCCAGAGACCACCACAGCCTCGTTCTCACCAGGCTCCGGCCGGCCTCCTCCGGCGATGACCACCGCCTGGCCAGCAGGGGGCTCCACGCTGCGGCCGGGCGCCGCGCGCCCCGCCTACCCGCTGAGCCCTGGTGAGCGGCCGTCCTCGGCGACGGACGCCAGCGGCGGCGTCGTCACCGACGTGGTGCTGCTGCTGCCGAAGCCAGAAGAGGATGAGCTGGAGCCGCTCGGGCAGCGGAACGAGACGGCTGCGGTCCAGGCTACGCCGCCGACGCGGGTGGGGTCCACCGAACCCACCGGAGTCGGGATGGGCGCGGGCATCACAGTAGGGACGCCAGATGGAGCGTCCGATGTGCATAATGCGACGGTCGTAGACACGGAGGATGCCACTTTGACACCGCTGGGAAGACCGCCGGCAGCCGTGGATGACGGGACGGTTGAGTCGCGCGTGCCGCCGGGCGACGGCCCGCCGGCTCCCGAGGCGGGTGTCGTGACCGAGACGAGCCTGCCCGCCAACCTGACCTGCCTCTCCCAGGCCGACTGCCCCGGCTGGCAGGCGTGCGTGTCCGGCTCTTGCTCGGACCCGTGCGCCGCGCTGCGCCCGTGCGGCCCGGCCTCTCTCTGCACCGTCCGTAACCACCGCCCGCTCTGTAGGTGTCCGCCCGGACACATGGGAGACCCGATGACCGGGTGCACCCCTCAAGGTACAACACACCGGTCCGCCGGTCCGCCCCGCCCCGTGCTCCTCTCACCGCTTCAGTCGCCCCTCCGCACTAACCGCACGCACCTTCGCCCCTCTCTGTCCCCGCCGCCGCCGGCGCTCTTGAGGACGTGCTCCGAATCTTCTTCTTGAGTCTGATCTGTGCCGACGTCCACGATTTTCAGGCGCTGGCCTCCGTTCGGCTCGTCGTCTTCCGTCGCTCTGCAGGTCGCACGCCCTCGCCGTGTGCTCGCTCGTGCGCGCGTGCCCGTGAGCGTGCCTCTTACGCCTGCTGTCTGTTGGCTGCCCGACAGGCGGCGGTGGCGCGGTGCCGCCGCGGCCCACCGCCCGACCCAGCTGCTCCTCCGACCTCGACTGCCCCGACAACCAAGTCTGCTACGACACGCTCTGTAAAAACCCGTGCGACTTCGATAACATGTGCGCACCGAACGCGCTGTGCGACACGCGCGCGCACCGGCCGCAGTGCCGCTGCCCGCCGGGCTCGCACGGCGACTCGCGCGTGGCGTGCCTGCTCGACAAACGTAAGCCGACTGAGGGTGCCGACCGCACCCGCCAGACGGCCGCCCGGCTCCAGACCGATCCTCACAGGAGGCTTGACCCGCCCTCGCCCGGACGCGCGCCCGGCTGGGAGACAGGGCTGCATGCTGGAGGTGTAACACGACAGGCTGGAGCCCGGCGGCCGGACTGGAAAGAGACTCGGACGATCTTGCTAACGGACTGCTTACGTTGCTCCTCAGAGTTTGAAGGTCATTGATAGTCTAATGCGTTGCACGCATTAACGGTAATTGCCGCTCACAACAATACATATCGAGTACATCTGCTCTAAACGTAACCGCATTGACTGCAACATAACACCGTGACTGTTGACCGTGACATGACCTCCCTGACCTGCCGCTTTGACCCGCTCTCACCGCCACCCAGTGGGCTGTCTGAGCGACGTCGACTGCCCAGACGCCCAGTTCTGCGTCGACGGCGACTGTCAGTTTCCCTGCGACGTGGGAAATCCGTGCGGTACCAACGCCGTCTGCTACAACCAGAATCACGTGGCGCAGTGCCGCTGCAAGGAGGGTTACCATGGCAACCCGCTCCTGCTCTGCCTGCCAGGTGCGCCCCGGAGACGTTTCTGTGCAATGAGCTGAAATTCCGCACTATTTTATATTTGACCGTGCGCCTGGTCTCAAAAACGTAACAGACGCAAACGAGCGCTTTGCGGAGATGCCTTGATGACGTCACACAAAGGGCTGCAATGCGTCTGAGATTCACACAGACGCAACAGCGCCGGTCCGCGTTATCTATCACTGTTCGAGGCCAGGCTTGAGAGCACCGTAGAGCCGCGCCGCCGAGCCCGACGCCGACACCGCTGGCCGCGTACCGCCGGCCGCTAACGGCGGCCGTTCCTCCGCCTGACAGCCGGCTGCATGCGTAACACCGACTGCGCCTTCGCGGAGGAGTGCGTGCGCGGCGACTGCGTGAGCCCGTGCCGCGCCTCGGCCAGCCCGTGCCACCGCACGGCCGTCTGCCGCGGCGTCGACCACGTGGCCACGTGCGAGTGCCGGCCGGGCTACGCGGGCGACCCGGCCGCCGGCTGCGCGCCGCTGCCCAGCTGCCGGCAGAGCGCCGACTGCCCGCCGGACCTCTCGTGCATCGAGCGCGCCTGCGCCAATCCGTGCCTGGAGAGTCCGTGTCCGGCGTCGGCGGTCTGCCGCGTGCAGCAGCGGCGGCCGGTGTGCGCGTGTCCGGCTGGCTTCACTGGCGACCCAGCGCGCGCCTGCGTGCAGACCCAGTGCCGCTCGGACCGCGACTGTCCGGCCGGCACGCGCTGCAAGGGCCAGATGTGCCGGCAGCCGTGCAACTTCTGCGGCCTGGACGCCGTCTGCCGGCAGGACCGGTGCGCCTGCCCCGAGGGCTACACCGGCGACCCGGAGAGGCAATGCACGCGCAGTAAGGACGCCTCCCTTCGACTCTTCTCCCTGTCGCATGCGCTCTTCCGTCTCACTGTCTCAGTCACGATTCGGACGCCACTTTTGCCGCCGGAGGCCGCCTGCAGCGGCCAGGCGTGGCGTGACGCAACGTAACGTAACGTGACGCGCTACGCCTTGCGCCGCTGTCCATCTGTCCCGCCTGTCAGCCGCTCCGACTGACGCCGCGCCGACCGACAGTTCCCGGCTTGTGCCGCGGCGACGACGAATGTCTGCTGAGCGAGGCGTGTGTCGAGAGCCGGTGTCGCAGCCCGTGCTTCTCCACGCCGGCGCCGTGCGGCCTGCGCGCCAACTGTGACGTCATCAACCACCGGGCCATGTGCTCGTGCCCGGACGGGTTTGAGGGCGCGCCCAAAGAGCGCTGTGACGCAGGTAACACTGCACGCGACGCACGCTGCCTGGCTGTCCGCGGTGACGGCTGACGCACGCCCGACACACCCCCGACGCCTGACGCACCACGCCCGACGCCTTGTCCCGCTGTCCTCGGGGGACACTGTGTCCTCCCGTGCCGCCCTGAGGACGCCTGTCACGGAATGTCGGCCGACGTCGGCCCGAGCATGAGAGACTCGGCCTGTCCAGCCGCTGCCTTGGGTGTGCGTGTCTCTGCACGCTCTGAGGTTCTGCGGTAGATGCGTCCGCAGGCTTCTCTCTTGGTCGTGGTTAGAGTCCAGCATCGTTTCCGACTGCGGAGCTTCGCGGAAGACCAGGAAGCATGGCGCTTCTGGACTGGGTAGATGAGGACCTTGGCGCCTGCTGATTGCTGCGATGAAGCAGCGATAAATCCAAGTCTGGTGGTGTTCGCTTGCATGCGTCGAACACATAAACGGCACGCTGTGATGCTGCAGCTTGTAGGGAGCATCGCTCCTTATGCCAGCTGCTCATGCTGTGCCACCACGGTCTTATGTCCAACGTCAGTGTTTGCAACAGTCTCCGTGAGCCTCGTTTGATAAGGCTTCAAGCCTCACTCAACGGGCGGTCGTGACCCGGCCTGACCTGTCGTGCGGTCTGTGTGCTCGGCGTGCGCCGCTCCTGCCGCCAATCCGCCGACTCCGCTCTAACGCCACTGTACGCGCGTGCCGTAGTGCCGGCGCCGCGGCCTGGCTGCTCCTCCGACAACGACTGCTCGCGCGCCGAGACGTGCCACCAGGGCGTCTGCCTGGACCCGTGCAACCTTCGACCGTGCGGCGCCAACGCCTTCTGCCGGCCCACCAACCACAAGGCGTTCTGCGTCTGCGAGCTCGGCTTCACCGGCAATGCACAGATCGAATGCGTCAAGTGTGAGTAGCCTACCGCCCAGCCGGGCTTTGGTGACGGTGTGACGCAGGGACGGCGCTGCGGCGGCACCTCTTCCCGCTGGAGCTCCGTTAAAAGACGGGCCAAGCTGTGTGCGCCGTTTGAGGATCCCAAAAACATTAAGATGCCAAAATATTTACATTTCTTGGTTGGGATCGGTAAAATGTCTGCCTTGAGATCAAGACATAGAATACATTTCTCCAAGAAAAGGATCAGGCCTTAGCCATTTGCTGTGCCTCAGAAAACATTCAGCGTTTTGTTTGTTTAAAATAATCTAGTGGCTTAAAACATACGTTTAATGTGATCAAATCCTGACCATCCTATACTTGGAACGTGAGTCACCTGTGAATCGCTGTCTTCCATGCGCTATGCGAATCTTCTCACACGGTGATACAATGTGTTCAAGTGGTAACTGGAAACACACGTCTTGCAACGCTGACTTTGGTGTGTTATCTGCTTACCTGAAAAGCTTCAACTGTGTTCTCGTCTGCCACCTATCGTCACTCGTCTTCTTTCACGTGTAACCATGACGCCAGGATGAACCGAGTTTGCAACCTGAAGTCGCCGCCTCCCCGAGCCCCACCTGACCTGCCCTTTCTTTGTCACGTGCCAGCCGGTCCCAAGGACGTCTGTAAGACCATGTACGATTGCACGAACGCAAAGACGTGCATGTACGGCCGGTGTGTGGACCCGTGCAGCCTGAGCAAGTGCGGCCAGGGTGCGCTGTGCAAGGCAGAGTACCACGAGGCCGTCTGCTACTGTCCGAATGGGCTCAAGGGCAACCCCATGGTGGAGTGCTCCAATAGTAAGCGACACAGGCTTGGATGCTTCTATCTTTCCTCTCCGTCTGTCTTTATCTCTCGCGCAATTTCGTCGTCCATAGACACTTCTGTCTTGGCGCGTCTATTGATCATGCTCAACCCGATGCACCCTTCTGCGTTTGGTTTGTTGTCTTGCGCCAAACCAACGTGCTCAGCAAATTTTGATCGTGGCATCGCTTTTTCGTCTTCGCTGCTCTCACTTTTTTCCACAACGTCTTTTTTCTTGTAGTGGGAGTCTTCCCTCTACATTTATAAGATTGATTATTCACGTGCGTGGCTCTGGTTTGACCAGTGAGTTTTCCAATATAAATCGCAACAGAACGTGCTGGCATAACTGGGAGTGTCGCATGCGGTGGATTGATGCATGATTTGGGAGGTGCTGGTTGCTGTGCATGCTGGCGGCTTTACCGAAGGACTGCAAGACTGCAACGACTATTCACCACATTCCAGATCCCACTACCAACTCACAGATCTAACCATTCCTAACAGCGTGCCTCTCCATTGCAAACAAGCGGCGGCCCGAGACTATCACGGAGAACGAGCGACCACGCGCCGGCTCTGGACCGGTATCAGCATCGCTCCAGAGCCGCGCGCCCGCGTGCACGCGTGCAGCGCGCGGTCGCCCGTCTCGTGTGCGTGTCTGGCCGCCGAGGTGTGAGCGGTGCTTCTCACCCACACGCTAACCCCGACGCTAACCGGGGCGGCGCCGCCAGTGACCTGTCGGGGCAACACGCCGTGCCCGTCTAACCTGCGCTGCACCGGCATCTACTGCGTCGACCCGTGCCCGGAGACGCTGTGCGATGCCAACCAGCGCTGCCTCACGGAGAACAACGTGCCGCGCTGCGTCTGTAAAGAGGGCTTCGGCGGGCCCGACTGTCTGAAACGTGAGGAGCCGACCGACCGACCGACACAACCGAGCTGCTGTCTTCTCTCCGGCGCCGCCGGTTTCTCTTTTTCTCGCTCCCAGTAGCTATACTCTCGATTTTACCGGTTTCGTCGACGGCCGTTTAAGCTCAAGCTGCGCTACTCTGTGGCCTCTGAGCTCGTAGCTCTCTTGACCGCGTCTGTCCGTTGTAACGGCCCCGTCTTTAGCTAACCCACCGCAGCTGTGACGCGGAGCCGGCCCAGTAGTCCGTTTTACGGACAGCTGTCTGCGTCCGCCTAGCTTACTTCTCTGTCGCTATCTTCCTCGCTGGCGTCGCCTCGAAAGGCCTCTCCCCGCTGACAGCGCGCGCTCCCGCCCTTGCAGTGGACGGCGGCGCGTGCGTGGCGGCCGCCGACTGCCCCGGCAGCAAGGCTTGCATTAACAGACAGTGCATGGACCCCTGCCTGGTGGAGAACCCGTGCAGCGCTTCGGCGCGCTGTCTCACCCGCCGCCACGTGGCCACGTGCACGTGCCCGGCCGGCCAGACGGGCGACCCGCGCGAGCGCTGCCACGGAGCAGGGAGTAAGAGAACGCGACTCGCCGCCCTCCCGACCCCGCCTTCTTCGCGGCCTCTGTTCACACTGACTCCGAAGCCCGTGGCATTCTCCAGACGACATCTGAGGCGGGCTGTGGAAAGACCAGTCTTCGAGCCATCAGAACAGCGATGGCTTGGTCTGGCCGTCTTGCGGCGGCTGTAGCAGCGATAACTTTAACAAATGCGGCACATGTCAGAGCAACAATGCGGGCATATGGCACACGGCGACCCTGATTCTAGCGTGTCTAACCATGTACATAATGCGTGACTGAATGCCGTAACACATCTACCCAGCCATCGCCGAGAGCTTAACTTTTAACGTTAACCAGCGCCGCGGCCGCCAGCCCACGTTGGCCAGCAGTAACACATGACGTGGGCCGGCGAGCCTGACCCGGCCGGCGGCCTCCGGGCGCGCCGCCGCCGCCCGAGCGCCAGCTGAGCACCCTCTCCCGACAGCGCTCGGCTGCCGCGCCGACAGCGAGTGCCCCAGCACAAAGGCCTGCATCAACGGCGCCTGTGACGACCCGTGCCGCTGCGGCACCAACGCTCTCTGCGACGTCAGCGGCCATCGCGCCGTGTGCAAGTGTCCGCCCGGCTACCAGGGCAACCCCAGCATCAGCTGCCAGGGTGAGTGTCTACCCGGCTACCAGGCAACCCCAGCGTAAGTTGCCAGGGCTAGCGGCGGCTAGCGTGGTGGCTGGCTGAACCAGGTCGATTTGCTGAGCAAAACAGACAAACATCTGACCACAGTATAAACATCTCACAGGAGCCGGCCACCCCAGGATGCAGATTTTGACGTGATGTCTTGTGCTTCTTTCAGTTCCCTACCGGCCGTGCGCGCCCAGCCCCTGCGGCATTGGCGCCATTTGCGAGATCGATGACGGCAATCCAATCTGCTCCTGTGCGAAGGGACAGACGGGGAATCCGTTCGTCAAATGCAGTGAGTACTACTTGCCGACGCGTATCCCCAGTATGTGTATGTCATGAGCTGAAGGTATTCAGGTTTGTGTCGAACCCAGGAAGCTTTGCACACCATTTACATCACGAGATGTTTAAGTGATTCGTTTTCCATTTAGTCATCAGGTACCTTCATGCGTACCTTGCTGCGTATTCCAGTGCCTGACGGCGACGAATGCGACGATTTCGAGTGCGGCGCCAACGCCGACTGCCGCGAGGTGAACGATGAGCCGGTCTGCTTCTGTCTGCCTGGCTACACGGGCAACCCACCAGCCACCGCCTGCACGCCCATCCGCAACCCCTGCGACCCGTCCCCTTGCGGTCCCAACACCGACTGCAACGTCGTCAACGGCTTCCACCGCTGCACCTGCAAGACGACCTACTTCGGGGACCCGAACACGATCCGCGGGTGCACGCCGCCGCGTGACCCGTGCAACCCGAACCCGTGCGGCGCCGGGGCTCGCTGCGACGCCAGCCGCAACCCCAACTGCTACTGCCCGCTGGGCACCATCGGAGACCCGTACCGCGGCTGCAAGGCCGAGGTCGTGGCTGAATGCGGCCCCGGCGACTGCGGCCGCAACGCCCAGTGCTTCGTGCGCAACAACAAGCCGCGCTGCATCTGCATGCCCGGCTTCATCGGCGATCCGGTGAACGGCTGCCGGCCCGAGAACCCGTGCCAGCCGAACCCGTGCGGCCCGCGCGCCAGCTGCGCCGTCTCGCCGAGCGCCGAGGGCATCTGCACTTGCGAGCCGGGCACCGTCGGCAACCCGGACAGCCCGCTCGGCTGCCGGCCCGAGTGCGAGGTCGACCAGGACTGCTCGGCCGCGCAGGCCTGCGTGGCGCAAAAGTGCGTCGAGGTCTGCGCCGGCGCGTGCGGCGTCGCCGCCGACTGCAAGGTGGTCAACCACAAGGCCGTCTGCACCTGCCCGCCCGGCTACTCCGGAGACCCGCTCGCCCTCTGCCAAGAGTTGGCCACAGGTACGGGCCGCTGTTCGGTAGCCGTCGCCGCCGCTGCCGCCCGCTGGCCGGCCGGCCTGACCCGGGTGGCGGCCGCTGCGGGGACCGACGATGCCGTGTTCGCGTCGGTGCTCGCTGCGTTGATGTGTACGTGCGTACCCCATGTTACCGTACTGTGGCCTCATTCCCACCTCACCCCTACCACCTCGACGACCTCACAAAAGCGACACCGCCGACACCGCCGCAAAAGCGACGCCGACAACGCGAGAAAACGACCGTCCAGACGGCGCGGGGAAGACGCGACCAGGTAACGCGAACCGGTCTTGGCATGCGGCTGGCCACGGCACGCGGGGCGTCCGTGGGTCGCCGGCGCGAGTGAAGACGCCGCCTGATTGCCCGCACTCGGCACCGGCACCCGACGATGGGCGCATGCCTGCAGCCGTGCTCCGACGGCGGTACTTGGCACCCTAGCGTCGCTGGATCGTAGCACCGGTTGGCGGTCGATGTAGCGGAGGCGAGACCTGGCACTGGCGTTTCCTTGCTGTGGAGGACGCGCGGAGACTGGCGGCTTGTCCGCACGCGGCGCGAGATGGCATGTCTGTGACGCGCATGACACACGTGACGCCCGCCACTTCTTCGGCGGCGCGGACTTCACCACGCGAGCACTCTTGACCGATAGCTACTTCGCTTCCTATTCGATGTTGCCGAGCTGTTCCCTGTCTCTTCCCAGTGTCTGCCTGCATGGGCGTGGTCACTGCTCTCTGTCATATGACCCCACCCAAAATGGCCGTCTGGCTTGCTAAGTAACGATCTCAGTCCTGACAAAAATGAGTTGGTGATACGAAGCGGGACATTTGTTGCAAGGCTGGAAAACTGCCCCCAATCCGGCGATCTGAAGCCACTCCAGCAGCATGTCAGTTTCTCTGGCTTCGAAAGGCCACAAAGCCTCTACCTCCCCGCTACGCGGCGCAGTGACCGCGCCCGCCCGCTTGCCTGTCTGTCTGCCTGTCTCTGTAGCCTCGTGTCCGGGGCGTCGGCGCCGCATGCCGCATGCTCAGCATGCCCGGCGCATGTTTCAGTGCGTCCGCCAACGGGCCGGCCGGACCCTTGCGCGCCGAATCCGTGCAGCCCGCAGACGCTCTGCTCGAGCGTCAACGGGCGGCCGCTCTGCACGGCGCTGGAGAAGCCCGAGTGTCGTCAGAGCGCCGACTGCGCCGCCACGCTCACCTGCCTCGGCGGCAGCTGCATCGACCCATGCCCCGGGTCGTGCGGCGTGGCCGCCGTCTGCGTCGTCCAGGACCACCGGCCCATGTGCAAATGCCCGGCCGGATACGTCGGCAACCCCTACCAGCAGTGCGTCCTGCAGCGTGAGTATCGCCAGAGGCAGGCTGAGAGTCATCCACCGCAGAGACGGCTCAGCGGTCGTCTCCAGATCGCTCAGTAGCAGAGGATGGAGACACTCTGAGGACTTGTGTCTCCTCCTGTTATGTAAACTTCAGGTTATGAGCTATTTCGTATTGGCCCGTTTTAAGAGCGCCGCATCCAAGCAAACTGTTAAGTAAGGGCATAGAAACAATCTCAAAGTTAAGTGTCTCTAGATGTCTAAAGCTGGAAACATAGATAAGCGTCGCCGCCGGCACCAGCTCGCTACCTGCCGCGTGCCGCCGGCGCCAGCTGTCGGTGCCGCGGCCGTCCCGGCGCCAGCTGTCGGTGCCGCGGCCGTCCCGGCGCCAGCTGTCGGTGCCGCGGCCGTCCCGGCGCCAGCTGCCGGTGCCGCGGCCGTCCCGGCGCCAGCTGTCGGTGCCGCGGCCGTCCCGGCGGGCTGCCTGCTGACCGCACGTCACCCCGGCAGCGGTGACTGTGCCGACGGAGCCGGCCGAGCCGCGGCCGCTGCCTGAGTCCTGCCCGCCCGGCCAGTTCTACACCGACCGCGCCGGCTGCCGGCCCGAGTGCGTACTCAACGCCGAGTGTCCGTCCGACCTGGCCTGCATCCGCAACACGTGCACCAACCCGTGCGTCGGCGTGTGCGGCTTCGGCGCCGACTGCAAGGTGGTCGGTCACAACCCGATCTGCAGCTGCCCGCGTACTCACACTGGCGACCCGTTCATCCGCTGTGTCCGGCAGCCAGGTGAGATGGGGCCTTCCGCTGCCGCGCGCGCAGGCGGGCGGGACGGGACGCGCAGGGCCGCAGCGGTAGTCTTCGGGTGCTCTCCTGCCTCCGGGATTGGCGTGGTGCTGACGAGAAAAATGCGCTTCCATACCGAGTCGGTATGCTGGTTTGAGACCGGCCGTTGAGTGAGATCGCGCGCGGCCAAAAGCATGTATTTCGAGTGTGATATGGCTTAGTTCAGATGTGTCGCACGACCGCCGCACTGCAGGCGACGGCCGCGTCACCACCCCCGCTTCCTCCCTTCGCAGTGACTCAGCGGCCGCCGTCGCTGCCGACGGACCCGTGCGTGCCGTCGCCGTGCGGCCAGGGCGCCAATTGCAAGTACAACGGCGAGCGGCCCGTCTGCTCGTGCCCGGCCGGCTACCTCGGCAGCCCGCTGGTGCTGTGCCGCCCCGAGTGCGTCCAGGACTCCGAGTGCTTGCTGCAGCGCGCCTGCATCGGCCAGAAGTGTCGCGACCCGTGCCCGGGCTCGTGCGGCGTCGGCGCTGAGTGCTTTGTGGTCAACCACAACCCGGTGTGTACGTGCCCACGCGGCTTCTCCGGCGACCCGCTGACCCGCTGCTCCCCGCTGCCCGTCACGCCCAAGCCTGGTGAGTGGCGGCCGCTCCGGCGCCGTTGGGGTGCGAGGGGAGTCGGCTCTGGGAACGGTCTGTGCGGGTGGCAACGCTCGACTCCCGTCAGTGTCAGTGGCGAGGTGGTTGTATGATGAAGCATGGAGGGTGATGAGTGCGAAAATGTACGTAAAATGGAATGCAGGACGCGTGGTAAAGCCAACAGATGCCGTGTCAATATCCTGTGAATCGGCTGCTCTTGAAATGGGTCGGTCAGGTGGAAGCCCTCCGCCGGTGTGAACTGGTCTGTTTTCCTCGTCGAGCCAGCCGTCTGACCCGCCCCCTGTTGCCGTTCCAGCCGTGCCGGCCCAGGTGCAGCCATGCGTGCCGTCGCCGTGCGGCCCCAACTCGGAGTGCCGCAGCCCCGGCGACCGCGCCGTCTGCTCGTGCCGCGCCGGCTTCCAAGGCAGCCCGCCGCTGACGCCCTGCTACTCGGTCGGCTGCACGTCCAACTCGGAATGCCCGCCGCAGCAGGCATGCGTCAACCGCGACTGCCGCGACCCGTGCGTGGGCGCGTGCGGCGTCAACGCCGACTGCCAGGTGGTCGGCCACCGGCCGGTCTGCTCCTGCCCCGAGGGCCACAGCGGCGACCCGACGCTGATCTGCCGACCTCGCCGTAAGTGCTGCCAGACAGCGGCGTCGGGTCACGGGGCGCAGAGCTGCGCTCGTCGCAGCCGGGGGCAGCATGCTGCGACAGGGTGTGACTTGCGGGTGTTATCTGTGGTGGCTCAGAATGGAGGCGGTGTCGCTTCTTTCAAGCGGCGCGTGTAATGATGCAGGGTCGTCGTGCTTTTCATCGCGTGCGGTTGCAGGCGCTGCTGACACCGCTGTTCTCTGTTCTTCAGCGGTGACGGTGCGTCCGACCGCGACGACGCCGTACCGGCCGTGCAGCCCGTCACCCTGCGGCACCAACGCCGAGTGCAATGTCAACAACGGCTACCCCATTTGTTCGTGCATCAAGAACTACTACGGCAACCCGCTGGTCAGCTGCCAGCCGGAGTGCACCGTCTCGTCCGACTGCCCGCCGAACCGCGTCTGCTTACGGCTGGCCTGCGTCGACCCGTGCCCCGGCCTGTGCGGCGTCGATGCCGTCTGTGACGTCATCAACCGGCAGCCGCAGTGCCGCTGCCCGGACGGCCTGACCGGCGACCCGTACCAGTTCTGTCGACGCCCGCCCGGTGAGTGTTACCCCGCCGCCGTCGCCGTGGAGCAGGCCCAGCGTCGTGGCGCCGGCGATCAGAGACAATGGGTGATGGGTGATGGACGGGTGATGGGTGATGGGCGGGTGATGGACAGGCTGCGGGGGACGAGCTCTGATGCGAGCTGCTGGCCGGGACTGGGCCCGGGGAGTCCGAGACCATGTCGGTGCCAGTCGCTGACCAGTGGACGAGTGGCTCGCAACGCCGCCGTGATGATATCTTGTCCCAACAGCAGCATCTACAGACACTACTCCGCGTGGACGCGGCCGATGGCTGACGGCCGCTGCTCCGTGTGCACGTGACCGGTTTCTGACGGCCGCTGCTCCGTGTGCACGTGACCGGTTTCTGACGGTCGCTGTTCCGTGTGCACGTGACCGGTTTCTGACGGCCGCTGCTCCGTGTGCACGTGACCGGTTTCTGACGGCCGCTGCTCCGTGTCTTCCCGCAGTGACGCCGCCGGCGCCCGTCTTCCCGTGCCAGCCGACCCCGTGCGGCCCCTTCTCCGAGTGCAAGGAGGTGAGCTCGCGCGCCGTGTGCTCCTGCGCGCCCGGCTACCACGGCTCACCGCCCGGCTGTCGGCCCGAGTGCCTCATCAGCGCCGACTGCCCGCCGCACAAGGCCTGCTCCAACAAGCGCTGCGTCGACCCCTGCGTCGGCGTGTGCGGCATCGGCGCCAACTGCGAGGTAGCCAACCACAACGCCATCTGCAGCTGCCCGCGCACGCACACCGGCGACCCGTTCGTGCGCTGCGTGCCGTTCCCGGTGACAGGTGAGAACATGGTGGCGTCCGGCTGAACGGTCGGGGAGAGGCAAGGTGCCTGTTATGATTGGGACAACGCGGCAAGAAAAGTTCCGTCTGATTCCAGAGATTGCCACAAAGGTGGTCACACACTAATCGAACGAACGTGACTTTCTCGGGAATGGCATCGACCTGCTTTCACCTCACGTTTTCCTACCGCCCGATTGGACCTGGCATGACGTGACGTCTACCTTTTGCTGCCAGCAGAACCACCGAAGGTGGAGGACCCGTGTGCACCGGGCACGTGCGCCGCCAACGCCGACTGCGACAACGGCCAGTGCACGTGCCGGGCCGGCTACTTCGGCAACCCGTACGTGCAGTGCCGGCCCGAGTGCGTGCAGGACTCGGAGTGCCGTCGCGACCAGGTCTGCTTCCGCACCAAATGCACGGACGCGTGCCCGGGCCTGTGCGGCACCGGCGCCGAGTGCCGGGTCATCAACCACGTGCCCATGTGCTACTGCCCGCAGGGCTACCATGGCGACGCGTTCGTCAGCTGCACGCTCATCCCCGTCACACGTAAGTCGACTAGAGTGGGCGTCGAGCGTTAAAGCAAAGGGCGTAACGAGCGCGCCCAGCGTGCGGTGACCGGTGACAGCGAAAGCCTAAGCGTTTGCCATCAACAGCATAACCAATTGTTTCACTGGAAGGTTTTAATCACGCTGGTGCGACGCAGTCAGTGGAGCCTGGCCTCCCGCCACCAATCGTGTGCACGCACGGGCCTCTGACGGCCTCCCCGGTCCGCCGCAGCGCCGCGTCAGCCCGCGCCCGGGCCGGACCCCCCGATCGTGGCTGTCAAACCGTGCTACCCGAGCCCGTGCGGCCGCAACACCGAGTGCCGCGAGGCCGGCCAGCGGGCCGTCTGCTCCTGCCTGCCCGGCTACCAGGTGAGCGGCGCCAGCCGACCGCAGCCTTCTCACCGCGCACACATCGGTGGCAAGGCTTTCTTACTGGATGACGGCTGCTGATTATAACCATGGCGCAGATGTGCATTCATAAGTCAGTCGTGTCAAGCTTCTGCCGAAGCTTTGCAGCTTCAGGGAGACGGTCTCCCGCCGCACCTGAATGTGGCTCGCCAGTGGTTGGCCAGACACCTGTGCGCTGAATATGGGCGTGGTCTGTGCCACAGGGTGACCCCACGCTGGGCTGCCGGGTCGAGTGCGAGACCTCGTACGAGTGCGCCGCCCAGCTGGCCTGCGTGCACAAGAAGTGCGTGGACCCGTGCCCGGGAACGTGCGGCATCAACGCCGACTGCCGCGTGGCCAACCACGTGCCGGAGTGTTACTGCATCAGCGGCTATGAGGGCAACGCGTACCAGGCTTGTCGGCCGCGGCCAGGTACGGCAGTGTGGCAGCCGTGTGCGCGGGCTCGATGGAAAGGTAGCTCGACGCCTGCAGGTCGCGCGAGCTGCAGTCAGGCGTGAGAGGCGCCGCCTGATCACCTGCTGTCCGTGAGGCTCTGCGTAAGCTGAAAGCAGGGAACGAATGATATTGTAAATGCAATTTCAGAGAACACCAATCTGGTATCTCGAGGAAAAAGCCAGATTCGAGCGTTTTAGCTTAAGTGGGTGTCAGTATTCAAGCTGCACTTGTAGCTGCAGCACTAGTGGCCACCTCAAGAGAAGCGTTCTGCCAATGTACCCCCTTGGGTGTGTGCGCTGCCCTCCGTCCTTGACCGGCTGTCGGGCCGTGTTACAGTGACGCCGCCCCAGACGGTTCCGTCGGACCCGTGTCTGCCGACCCCGTGCGGCGAAAACTCGCAGTGCACGGTGTCGCAGCGCCGACCGGTCTGCTCGTGCAAGCCCGGCTTCCTTGGCTCGCCGCCGTACTGCCGGCCCGAGTGTGTGGTGCCGCAGGACTGCGCCCTCCAGCTGGCCTGCATCGGCCAGAAGTGCCGCGACCCGTGCCCGGGCTCGTGCGGCGAGGGCGCCGACTGCATCGTGGTCAACCACAACGCGATCTGCAGCTGTCCGCGCGGCTTCACCGGCGACCCGTTCAGCAGGTGCACGCCGCGTCCTCAGAGTGAGTACCGAACGGCCGCCGTCCGCCTGCCGCCGGCGCTCGGGCACGCACTGGGGTCAACGACATGGGTCAGCTCCCTGACGTGGTTCTCGTTTTACTCCAGCTTTAAATCATGGCACCGTGATATCGATCACAGTCAGAGGTCAAACGTTTTAGTAAGTGTAGCTTTGCTTCACGCCATGCGGTTTTGTAACACAAAATTCTCAAGCTTCATTTCAGCAATATGCTGGGCCCGATAATGTGAACCCAGTAAAGACAGATCAAGATTTAAGCTCTATTCATAACAGCACTTTTGTTCACACGTATTGGAATTAGACAACTTGGCTGTTGCTACGTCCAAGCTTCAGGAAAATATAAAATTTTCATCCCGCGAGAAGTGAAAGGTACCATTTTTATGTTATTGTTTAATTCTTTTCATTTTATTTTGATACTTTTCCATTCCATTTAAGACCGCTTAGGACCACTCATAAGAGCGCAGTAATCCGTGTGGCTGACGCGATCGCCTGCTGAGCAGTGTTACGGTGGTGGGAGCTGCTGGCGACCATGCCTCTGCGCTGTGTTCCAATATAACCTTGTGACACTCAACCGCAGCGGCGACTCTGTGACAAACAGATGAGACAAATCGTATGAGCCATGCTTGTCCGCTACTTTCCAAGACCACTCTGCTGCCGACAAGCGCCGTAGCCTGGGCTGACTATGACAAACTGGCTAAGCGCGCAGCTTCCTGCAACTAGGCCGGCTGACCACGTTGTGACGATAATGCAGAGCAGCATCGACCATTAACTACATCAGAACGTGTTGCGTGACTGGTCTACTCACAGCTGCTTTAGAAGGGACCAACAGCGCATAACGCCGCAACTTATCCGCCGTCGCCTCGTTGAAATGCGCCATGAGACTGAGCGGCGGTGGGACTGATGTCAGGCTTACGAGGCTCCGCTGCGTTCTTCGAGCGCCCAACAGGTGTTCCGCTGCGACTCACCCCGCCGCTGCGGTGCTTCGTTAACTGATCGACCATGCTTGCTTGTCTACTCATTGCTGCAGAGGGGTGTGACGTTCGTTGGCCGTCGAGCACGACTGGTCCACAGACCGGGTGCTTTGGCGTTGGTCCGTCGTGGTCCCGGTCTAACGCTGCTTTCCGCCTCGCGGTCCGCCTCAACGGTGCTGGTCTCCGCGCAGAGCGCTGACTTGGGTTCGGAAGCTGTGCGTCCCGACGTGTTGTCGGCATCGAACGTCCCGGATTGGTTCGATCCAGTGGAGCTGATGTGGCTTCCGGATTGGTTCGGTTCATCCATGACGTCATCCGAGCTCCTGCCACCAGCTTCGCTGTTGGCGCTCTGACGCTCTAGTACCGTGTCCATCCATCGCAATCTGAAACAAACCGGTGCATCACGCGCTGATGTCACGCCACGCGCGCGCGTCCGAGAAGGCTCAGTCGACATTTTGGTGCCGATCCAGCAGTGTGGGGACCTCGTTCCGGGTCGGGGCGAGGTCTCCGCCCAGCTCCGCTGGAGTGCCGCGGACGGACGGGCCGCGACGGCGCTCTCCACGGCTGCTGTGTTTCAGCTCCGCCGCCGCCACCCAAGGCGGTCTGCTACCCGGGCGTCTGCGCCTACAACGCCCGCTGCACCGAGAACAACGGCGTGGCTGTGTGCACCTGTCTGCCCGGATTCTTCGGAAACCCGACCGTCTCCTGCCGGCCCGAGTGTGTCACGCACGCCGAGTGTCCGCGCAACGAGGCCTGCGAGCGCAACAAGTGCATCGACCCGTGCGAGGGCATCTGCGCGCCGACAGCGCTCTGCCGCGTGCACAACCACGTGCCCATGTGCTACTGTTCGGACGGCTACCAAGGCGACCCGTTCAACGCCTGCACGCCTCGCCCTGTCACCCGTGAGCATGACGCACGCACGACACACCACTTCTGTGCATGTGCTGTAAACTGCTGTTTAGAAACAGTCAACTTCCTGGGTTGCCTTTTCTTAGTTGGTCAGTCTCATGAATGTTGCATGACTTGTACGGGTACGTACGTGGGTTAGTTTTGAGGCGTGGTTTTATTATCATTTACCATTCTACTCCGGTACCGCCACTATGCATGCTCAGCCTACCCACCCTGTTTATAGCGCGCCCCACGGCGCCGACGTACGAAGAGCGTGACCCGTGCGACCTGTCGCCGTGCGGCCCCAACACCAAGTGTAGCGACAGCAACGGGGTGGCAGCCTGCAGTTGCCTGCCTGGCTACCAGGGCAACCCGACCATCGGGTGCCGACCCGAGTGTGTCTCCAACGAAGAGTGTGCGCATGACAAGGCGTGCGCCCGCCAAAAGTGCGTCGATCCGTGCCCAGGAGTGTGCGGACCGAACGCGCAGTGCAAGATCCTGAATCACAACCCAGTCTGCTACTGCGTCCAAGGCTACACGGGCAACCCCAACCAGGGATGCCGTCCCATACCCAGTACGTAACAGCAGCTATCGGCGACTGGGGGTGTGTTGCCTACCCAGTGCGTAATGCGCTAGTTCAGATCCCTCCGGTAAAGCTGATCTGAGTGCTCGGTCCTGTAGCCCATCCCATGGAGACTCATTTTAACCTGTAGCCACAATCACAATCAGCACAATCGGCTTAGACCTGAAATGTTCTCAAAACCAATCAGAATTCACGTTGACGGAATATGCCCCTTGCAAGAGCTGGTCAAATGGACCAAACATGCAATGATAACTTTCGCGGTTTGATACCAACGCCGGCGGCCTTACATCCCCGGCCATCTCGCCTCCATAGAGACGACGCCGCGACCGGACGTGAAGGTCAACCTGTGCCAGCCGAGTCCGTGCGGCCTCTTCTCGGAGTGCCGGGAGCAGTACGGGCGGGCCATCTGCTCGTGCCAGGACGGGTACCTCGGCGTGCCGCCCAAGTGCCGGCCCGAGTGTCTTGTGTACTCGGACTGCGGCGCAGCACTGGCCTGCATCGACCAGCACTGCGTCGATCCGTGCCTGGGCTCGTGCGGCATCAACGCCGACTGCCGCGTGCACGACCACAACGCGGTCTGCAGCTGCCGCGCCGGATACGAGGGAGACCCCTTCACGGGCTGCGTGCCGAGACCAAGTACGAATCGATTACTTCTCTGCTCGGGGTCTGCATTGGGTTCATATTTTGGCATTATGAATTGACACATTGCCACTTGCAGGCTCTAGGTAACCTGCATGCCCTTTTTTAGCCCCACCGCCGCAGCCCGAGAACCCATGCTACCCATCGCCCTGCGGCGCCAACACCGAGTGCACGGACGACGACGGTCTGGCCGTCTGCAACTGCTTGCCTGAGTACTTCGGCAACCCGTACGTTTCCTGCAAGCCCGAGTGTGTGCTGGACACAGACTGCCCCCGCGACAAGAACTGCTACAGGAACAAGTGCAAGGACCCGTGTCCCGGCCCATGCGGCAGCGGCGCGGAGTGCAGGGTGGTCAACCACATCACCTCGTGCTTCTGCCCGCCCGGCTACACGGGCGATCCATTCGACACGTGCAAGCCCACGCCCGTCACCAGTAAGCATGGTCCTCCTACACAGCCCATTTTTGTTTTGCATGCAGGCCTTGCATTCGCATGTTGATATGCCGCACACACAATGCCAATGGCCCTACGTTGCCAAAAAGGTGACCACGGCCTGCCCTCGCAGCTACGCCGCCGCCGGTCTCGGACAAGCCGACCAACCCGTGCCAGCCGTCGCCGTGCGGGCCGAACGCGCAGTGCTCGGATCGGCGCAGTGTGCCCGTGTGCGCCTGCCTGCCGGGCTACTTCGGTAGCCCGCTGGACGGCTGCCGGCCCGAGTGCGTCACCAGCGCCGAGTGCTCGCTCAGCAAGGCGTGCGTCAACCAGAAGTGTGTCGACCCATGCCCGGGCTCGTGCGGCGCCAACGCCGACTGCCGCGTGGTCAACCACGCGCCCGAGTGCTCCTGCCTGCCTGGCTACGCGGGCAGCCCGTACATACGCTGCTCCCCCAAACCCGGTATGCATGCCAGAGCACGACGTCCGCTGCGTGCGGTCCGTTTGCTGTTTGGTCTGGAGTGATCGTCGCGGATACAGTCTCTCTGCATGCCTCTCGCACTCTGTTTTGCACTCTTGCACGCCTCGCATGATGGCCGTCGCGCCTGAGCCCCGGCGCGGCCCTGACCGCTCGCTCGGCCCCGCCCTGTGTTTTAGTCACGGAAAAGGTCACCAGTCCCTGCAAACCGAGCCCGTGCGGCCCGAACGCTGCGTGCCACGAGAAGAACAGCCGTGCGGCCTGCTCCTGCGATGCCGGCTACCTGGGCTCGCCGCCCAACTGCCGGCCCGAGTGCGTGGTGAACGCCGACTGCCCGTCCCACCTGGCCTGCTTCGGCCAGAAGTGTCGCGACCCGTGCGACGACCAGTGCGGCGACAACGCTGCCTGCCGCGTCAAGAACCACAAGCCCATCTGCCACTGCGTGGCCGGCTACACGGGCGATCCGTTCCGCGGCTGCTCCGCCATCCCGGCCAGTGAGTGTGCTGCCGCTCGACCGGCGGCGTCCGGTTCACTCCAGCGGCGTCCTCTCGTTCGTTCCGCCGTCGGGGCCTCGGTCGTTTCCATTGATCGTTCTGCAGTCGCAGGCCAGCCCGTGGCCGACCATCGTCCAACAGGGCTGGCCGCTTCGATGACACCCTCTCCGCAGACGACTTCCGTCCGACGCATGTGACTGACAGTTGAGTTTAGAACCCGCTGCCGGCCGCCTGGGCCACTGTACTGACACACCGTGTCTGCTTCTAGCCACCCCGCCGCCGGTCAGGGAGGTGTGCTACACGGGCGCGTGCGGCTCCAACGCCCAGTGCCGCGAGCACAACGGCCTGCCCGTCTGCTCATGCCTCTCCGAGTTCTTCGGCAACCCGTACACCGGCTGCCGGCCCGAATGTGTCACGCACACGGAGTGTCCGCGCAACAAGGCCTGCGAGCGCAACAAGTGCATCGACCCGTGCGAGGGCATCTGCGCGCCGACAGCGCTCTGCCGCGTGCACGACCACGTGCCCATGTGCTACTGTTCAGACGGCTACCAGGGCGACCCGTTCACCGCCTGCACGCCTCGCCCCGTCACCCGTGAGAATATGCCACCTGCTGTCTGTCTTCCTCGCACTGTTTCTCCGGGCATGTGGCTTGAAGATTGCGGCGTTATTTTCCGTCGCATCAGCGTCGCAGATGCCCCGTATTTGCTTGTGTTATGAGCGCACTGGAGTCCACTCTCGGAATTTTAGTTGCTGCTCATAACGTACTCCTATGAAACACTGATCTGTCTTTCGTCGTGCGTAATTGGTTTTGGTATGAGCTTTGCGATATATTTGGCACTGCACGCGAAATACCACGTACATTCAGAGCTGTGTCTCAGGGCGGGCCTGACGCACGTGATGTGTGTTTTGCAGCCGCTCCGACGGTGGACCTGACGCACGTGATCTGTGTTTTACAGCCGCTCCGACCGCACCAGCCGTTTTCGAACCGCGCGACCCGTGCGAGCTGTCGCCGTGCGGCCCCAACGCCCAGTGTAGGGACACCAACGGGGTGGCAGCCTGCAGTTGCCTGTCTGGCTACCAGGGCAACCCGACCATCGGGTGCCGACCCGAGTGCCTCTCCAACGAGGAGTGTGCGCATGACAAGGCGTGCGCCCGCCAAAAGTGCGTCGATCCGTGCCCAGGAGTGTGCGGACCGAACGCGCAGTGCAAGATCCTGAATCACAACCCGGTCTGCTACTGCGTCCAAGGCTACACGGGCAACCCCAACCAGGGATGCCGTCCCATACCCAGTACGTAACAGCAGCCAACAGCGAGTGAAGCTTATTGCCTTTCATGCTTGGTGTTTTAGACAACTTATGAATCCACTAGATCTATGTGGGATGACGTAGACGATGTAGGAGAGAAAACATTCGCAATGTAATGCCTTTGATAAATTGAGTGCTAACCCTAAAACTAATGTGCTCGTTTCGCGTATTCGTACACCATTTGCTCCTCGTTTCCGCAGAGACGACGCCGCGACCGGACGTGAAGGTCAACCCGTGCCAGCCGAGCCCGTGCGGCCCCTACTCGGAGTGCCGGGACCTGAACGGGCGGTCCTTCTGCTCATGCGCCAAAAACTACTTCGGCTCGCCACCCGACTGCCGGCCCGAGTGCCTTGTGCACTCGGACTGCGCCGCATCACTGGCCTGCATCGACCAGCACTGCGTCGATCCGTGCCTGGGCTCGTGCGGCATCAACGCCGACTGTCGCGTGCACGACCACAACCCGGTCTGCAGCTGCCGCGCCGGATACGAGGGAGACCCCTTCTCGGGATGCTCCATCAGACGAAGTACGCCACTCGGAAGCAGTCGCTGGGATATGGAATTTGGGAAATAACGTGTCCAGACACCTTTTGATTAAAGTTTGGATTCTGCTTTACTGTGCGCGTTTAACGGCTGGATGGTCAAAGAATAGCAATGTTGCATTTCATTTTATGCTTACACCAGTCTCCCTGCATCCACCAAGGAGCACGTCTGCCAAATGCCGCAGTCTAGCCGCATCACATCGTTTGCAAATTTTATCAGTCGTCAGCGAGCGAGTGGAGTGAATGGTGTCCGCCTGCTGTTCTGCAGCCACGCCGCCGCCGCCGAGAAACCCGTGCTACCCATCGCCTTGCGGCGCCAACGCTGAATGCAGAGACAACAACGGCTTGGCCGCCTGCAAGTGCCTGCCCGAATTCTTCGGCAACCCGTACGCAAACTGCAAGCCCGAGTGCGTGCTGGACACGGACTGCACGCGCGACAAGAACTGCGTGCGCAACAAGTGCGTGAACCCGTGTCCGGGCCCGTGCGGCAGCGGAGCAGACTGCACGGTGGTGAACCACATCACCATGTGCGCCTGTCCGGATGGCTACATCGGAGATCCGTTCTCACTCTGCCGGCCGGTACCTGTGACAGGTGAGTGCCGATTTTTTCCGCCCATTCGCAAAGGCATCGAACACTTGATAGCTAGTCTGCGGAGATTTGAGCTATCATCATTGACCGATGTTCTAGGAGTAAAATTTGCTCAACTGTTTTGAAGAGGCGTATTCTAGACGTCATCACGCATCTTTGTGCACATGCTGACTGAAGTGTTTTGTTGCGGGCCGTGAGATTGCGAGGAACCCAATCACGCACCAGCAGCACCCAGCCGAGCCTTCGTCGTGTCGCCCCGCACACCATCCACGCCCCGTGCCTCGCGGTGCGCCGGCGCAACTGACGGCGCCGTGTCCCGACAGCACCGACGCCGACCGTGGAGACGCCGCCGGAGAACCCGTGCCTGCCCTCGCCGTGCGGCTCCAACGCCCAGTGCTCGGCCAAGACTGACGTGGCCGTGTGCGCCTGCCTGCCGGGCTACCACGGCGACCCGACGACCGGCTGCCGGCCCGAGTGCATCACCGATGCCGAGTGCAGTCTGAGTCGGGCCTGCGCCCGCCAGAAGTGCGTCGACCCGTGCATCGGCGTCTGCAGCATCAACGCCGACTGCCGCGTCGTCAACCACAAGCCCATGTGCACCTGTCAGGCCGGATACGAGGGCAACCCGTACTTCGCGCGCTGCGTCATCAAGCCGCGTAAGCTGGCCGTGGATTTGGGGGGGGGGGGGGGGGAGTGACGCCCGAATGTAGTGCGTGTTCTGGTGTACATATTTTCCTGAATTTGCGCTCCAACGAACCATGTCATCAATGCCGTTGTTCGGCTTCTCTCGACTCGAACCGAACCGTCGAACTCGACTCGTCGAAATCAATGCCGTTGTTCGGCTCGACTCGAACATCTCTTTCATGCCTGTTGAACGCTGTGGGTCTTATGGGGCCTCTGAACGATGTGGGTCTTATGGGGCCTCTCCACTGTGCCTGCCCCTTCCAGAGACGGAGCCGAACGAAGCGGAGCCGTGTGAGCCGACTCCGTGCGGCCCGTACTCGACATGCCGCAACTCGAACGGCCGCCCGGCCTGCTCCTGCCTGCCCAAGTACCTGGGCAGCCCGCCCAGCTGTCGGCCCGAATGCGTGGTCAGCTCTGACTGTCCCAGTCACCTGGCCTGCGTCGGACAAAAGTGCCAGGACCCATGCGCTGACTTCTGCGCCACCAACGCCGAGTGCCGTGTGTCCAGCCACGTGCCGGTGTGCACGTGCAGGTCCGGCTACCAGGGCGATCCGTTCGTCGAGTGTCGACCTAAGCCGCAGAGTGAGTGACGCGACACCGCGGACTGACGCCGATGCCGGCCGCGCCTCGGCGCAGGGTGATTCCTGTTTCGCGATCCCTAGGCTTGCTATTCATGCAAGGGCCAACCGTTTCCTATAAGGGAGGGCTTGTTTCCGACCGTGAATTGTCGTGACGCGGACTTAATGCATTGCACACGCCTTCCCAGCTTAATAACGTAAGGAAACTTGCAAGGCCGTTAACAATACTTATCCGCTCCAACGGCTCATACGTCCGTGGTACGGCCAGACGTTCTTCACACGATGACATGAGAGCAGACAGTCGGCCATGACCGATGTCCTGGCTGTGGCGCGGTCCGGCGAGCCCTGTTGTGACGCGCGTCCATCCGCTTCGCAGCGACCCAGCCACCGGCGACGGAGCGCAACCCGTGCTTCTCGGGACGTTGCGGTCCGAACGCACAGTGCCGGGTCCACAACGGCCTGGGTGTGTGCAGCTGCCTGTCAGAATATTTCGGCAATCCGTACGAGGGCTGCCGGCCAGAGTGTGTGGTCGACACCGACTGCGACCGGTCCAAGGCCTGTGAGCGCAACAAGTGCGTGGATCCGTGCCCCGGCGTGTGCGGCACTGGCGCTGAATGCCGGGTGGTCGACCACGTGGTCATGTGCTACTGCCCGCAGTACCTGACCGGGGATCCGTTCTCCGCGTGCGTCCAGCCGCCGCCGCCATCGAGTGAGTCACGCCTCTGCACGCTGCCTGGCAGTGCCGTTCAATGCGAGCCTCGTGGTTGTCCTGTATGGAGGACGGAGTGAGGGGTTGCATGTGTACGCTGCTATGTCGGGCTCTGGATGGTAGAGTGAGTCGCAGTTGCTCAAATGCTCATTCCGTCGTTTGCATGATGTGTGGCATTGGCTGCCGGCACTAGCTCACGCCCTCTCGTGCTTTTCAGCGGCGCGTCCGACGCCGCCGGTGGTGGTCAACCGACCATGTTACCCGTCCCCTTGCGGCGTCAACGCCCAGTGCACCGAGCAGAACGGCGCGGCGCGCTGTGCGTGTCTGCCGCCGTACGAGGGCGACCCGTACGTCGAGTGCCGGCCTGAGTGTACCTCCAACGCCGACTGCCAGCGTCACGAGGCGTGCGCCCGCCAGAAGTGCATCGACCCGTGCCCGGGCGTGTGCGGACCGAACGCCGAGTGCCGCATCACCAACCACAACCCGATCTGCTACTGCCTGTCGGGGTACAGCGGCGACCCGTGGCAGGGATGCCGCGAGGTGCCGCAGACGCCGGCCACGCCGCAGAACCCGTGCCAGCCGTCGCCGTGCGGGGCCAACTCCAAGTGTCTCGACGTGGCCAGTCGCGCGGCCTGCTCCTGCCTGCCCTCCTACATCGGCAGCCCGCCCCACTGTCGGCCCGAGTGCGTCGTCAGCTCCGACTGCCCCAGCCACCTGGCCTGCATCGGCCGCAAGTGCCAGAACCCGTGCCTGGACGTGTGTGGGCTCAACACCGTCTGCCGCGTCGTCAACCACAACCCGGTGTGCAGCTGCAAGCCCGGCTACTCCGGCGATCCGTTCGGTGGCTGTATCCGGGAGCCCATCAGTGAGTATCCACCTGCTGCGGAGCAGCTCGGTTGGGGTGGGGGCGAGCGGTGTCAAACGATATGCGCCGGTCAGCGTGAGTGAGCGTAGACGTTCAAGTGGGTGCCTTCTACAGAAACCCAAACGCTCAGCCAGTTCTCGTGCTTTAAGCAACTTGTCAGGCATGGTGTATTCGCACGTCGTGCCAAATCATCGACAAATGCTGAGCAATGCTCGCTGTTGGCTGCTGCAATGCTGGCTGTTGGATGTTGCAATGCTGGCTGTTGGCTGCTGCAATGCTGGCTGTTGCGGTGCCAGTCCTGGCACGATCTCAGACGCTGTCTGCGCCCGGCAGCTGTGCGGCCCACCGCACCCGTGGTGGATGACGACCCATGCAACCCGTCGCCATGCGGCACCAACGCCGAGTGTCACAACAACGACGGTCTCGGCGTCTGCGCCTGCCTGTCCGAGTACTTCGGCAACCCGTACGTCAGCTGCCGGCCTGAGTGCGTGCTGGACACGGACTGCACACGCGACAAGAACTGCGTGCGCAACAAGTGCGTGAACCCGTGTCCGGGCCCGTGCGGCAGCGGAGCAGACTGCACGGTGGTGAACCACATCACCATGTGCGCCTGTCCGGATGGCTACATCGGAGATCCGTTCTCACTCTGCCGACCTGCCCCCGTTACGAGTGAGTTCACCCAGAGATTTACGACGCATTTTTCAACACATCGCCGTTTACTCTTTACGTGAGCCGTTTAATTCTGTTGATATACATGACATATTGTCCAGCGACATAACCTCACCGCAAATCAACAGCCCCGTCGATTCACCAGATTTACCTGGCTTTGAATCGATTTTCTCGTCATGCTTTATCGCTTTCATGCTTTCTCGTTTCGTCTAGTTTTGGTGCCACGCGGGCTTCATAAGATCGTCAGCAATGTGAAAACGCCCCCCCCCCCGTCCAGGATCACCCCACTGATCGGCGCGCGCTCCACCCGCAGCGCCGCGGCCGCCCGTGCAGACAAACCCGTGCCAGCCGAGCCCTTGCGGCGCCAACACCCAGTGCAAGGACACGGGCACGGTGGCGGTGTGCTCCTGTCTGCCGGGCTACCAGGGCGACGCCGTGTCCGGCTGCCGGCCCGAGTGCGTCACCAGCGCCGAGTGCCCGGCCAGCAAGGCGTGCGTCAACCAGAAGTGCGTCGACCCGTGCCCAGGCCTGTGCGGCGCCAATGCCCAGTGCCGCGTGCAGAACCACAACCCGCTCTGCGCCTGTCTGGACGGCTACACCGGGAACCCGTATGAGTCGTGCCGCCCCGAGCCGGGTGAGTTGCGAGGCGAAAACTGCAGAGGAGGGCTGGACACCCGCTGCTTTGTTGGAGGACGGCCAGTCGTGGGTTTCAATGGCCTAGGCATGCATAGAACATCTAAAGTGCGTCAGGACTATCCCGGCACATTTATTGCTTAAGTTAGAGTGGGTGTCGCGTCACCCGTTCCTCCCTCATCCTGTTTCATCCGTGCTTCTGGATAGGCTGCTTTTTCAATACGCCCGCGTAGTCAGGTCCAGGTACTGCTTTACCATCGTCCTTGCGGCGGCTATAGGTGAGCCAGCGGGCCTCGGCTGACCCATCCTCCTATTACAGTGACGCCGGCTGAGCCATCCGACCCGTGCCGGCCGACTCCGTGCGGCGCAAACTCGCTCTGCCGCGATCTCAACAGCCGCGCCGCGTGCGTTTGCCAGGCCGGCTTCGTGGGCTCGCCGCCCAACTGTCGGCCCGAGTGTGTGCTCAACACGGACTGTGCGGCCCATCTGGCCTGCGTCGGACAAAAGTGCGGCGACCCGTGCGCGGGGCAGTGCGGTGCGAACGCGCAGTGTCGCGTGGTGAACCACCAGGCGCAGTGCATCTGCCTCAGCGGCTACCAGGGCGACCCGTTCACCGGCTGCCGACCGCGTCCGCTGAGTGAGTACAGCCCCCACCTGTCTGCCTGCCCGCGCCGGGCGGCGCCTCGAGGCGCTCGCCCGCGCTTGCCAGCCGCTCGCCCGCCCACCTCAGTCACTCACGCTCCTGAGCAAAGCCAAGCGAGCCTGATCAAGTGCAAAGCCAACGAATTTGGTCATGGATATTCGATTCGTGGCGTGCATGTGGTTTGGCTCAGGAAATTTTCGAGCAATGCCTTATAGTCCAAAGATTTAGGTCAAGGCGGGCGAACGGTTGGCTTATGCATGGCATAGATTGCCTGCAAGCATGCTGTATGTATGCACTATGTTTGCACGCATTTGTGCACCATTTGCATGTTATGCAATGTTTTCAGCTTGTCTATTTGAACCGTCGTCCAGAGCGGAAGGTAGGTGCCGATATACATAGGTTACAGTTAGCGTATCGTCAAAGTATGCATAGCACAATGCTTCCGTACGACGCAGTGAGTAAACATTCGGCATTGGGTAAATGGGTATGAACAGGTAATAAAAGCGTCCGATGCCAACAGTTATATGATTGGCGGATGCTTGCGTCTGGTAAGGGCGTTTCTGCGATATTGCGTGAAAAAAACATTTTGAGAAACAAAGGTGCGCTTATAATGTATGAACGACGAAAGATGAAGCTGGGTATGACAAAAAGTATGTGTAGCATAGGGGACCAAATCATCATGCATCGCTACGAGAGTGTCAGGGGCGTAACTACCAGAATGAGGTTGCTGGAACGCGGTTCACCCTAGATAAGATATGATATGGACGGGTTAAGATACATACCTTTACACATAATAATTTGTATAATCAAAAGTATCAGCGCGTACTGGGCCATACAACCCCAGCGGTGGTTACGTCCCTGGGTGTTTGCACCCGTTTTCGGAAAGATACTCGTGTTTCAAGGCTTCAACGCCGAATCAGAGCTTAGTTTATCGAAAGACGAGCGACTGCGCTTGTATTATGTCTGACCGGGTTTGTGGCTTTCTGCAGCCACGGTTCGCCCGATTGTCGAAGAGAGAGATCCATGCAGTCCGGGCTCATGCGGCTCGAACGCCCAGTGCCGGGTCCACAACGGCCTGGGCGTGTGCAGCTGCCTGCCGGAGCACTTTGGCAATCCGTACGAGGGCTGTCGTCCAGAGTGTGTGGTAGACTCCGACTGCGACCGGTCCAAGGCCTGTGAACGCAACAAGTGCGTGGATCCGTGCCCCGGCGTGTGCGGCTTCCGTGCCGACTGCCGGGTGCACAACCACGTGCCCATGTGCTACTGCCCGGAGGGCTACCAGGGCGACCCCTTCACGGCATGCACCCCGACACCAGTGACACGTAAGACCCCTATCCATTCCATTTCTCATAAGGTCCGTCAATGTGCCCGCATGGCTGATGCCAGACATTACAAGAAGCATGCATGCCAGTTTGTTTGCATTACGTGCACGTTGAATGCTGAACATTGCACGAATGTCACGTGCTGCATCGTGTGCACGCGGTCTGCAATGCACTGCATGTTTGTTCGAACAGCATGCTGGAAAATCAGTTTATGTGTTCTCAGTACCGCCACCACCAAGGCAACCCCAGGCCGTTGACCCTTGCTACCCGGCGCCGTGCGGAACCAACACCGAATGCACTGCCAAGGATGGCGTTGCCACATGCAAGTGCAAGCCAGGCTTCCCGAAGGGTGACCCGACTACCGGCTGTCGGCCCGAGTGTGTCACCAACGCCGACTGCGCCCAGACTCTAGCGTGCGGGTCACAGCAGAAGTGCGTTGACCCGTGCCCGGGTCTGTGCGGACGGAACGCAGAGTGCAGAGTCATCAACCACAACCCTCTCTGCACGTGCAATAATGGATACACCGGACCACCATACCAAGGATGCACACGCATACCACGTAAGGCTCGTTTGTGTTTCAAAAACTTAATTACTAACGCAGTTATTACGACTGAATGTATTCAAAACTTAAAATTGGTTTCATCCTACACTTTCAATAGACATCTGCAGCTTTCATTATCAGAGGAAAATGAAATGCACGTCTTGCATAGCTGGCTATCTGCATGGTATTCTTTCCCTTTCAGCTGAAGTGCCAAAGCAGACTTGCTATCCGAACCCGTGCGGTGCGAACTCGGAATGTCGGGAGTCGAATGGCCGTCCGGCCTGCTCCTGCCTGCCCAACTACCAGGGCAGTCCGCCCGACTGTCGGCCCGAGTGCGTGGTCAGCTCTGACTGCGCCAGCCACCTGGCCTGCGTCGGTCAGAAGTGTGTCGACCCGTGCCCGGGATCATGCGGACAGAACACGGAGTGCCGCGTGCATAACCACAATCCAGTCTGCTCCTGCCTGCGCGGATACACCGGGGATGCATATGCCCTGTGTACGCCCATACCCCGTAAGTGCGGCGTGACCGAGCATGGTATGTGTGTGATCCTGCATGATTTTATATGAAACTTATTGTTGGATGCATATTACATGCACACATCCTTACACAGGCATGCCATTTCAGAAACACCTGCACCCACGGCGCCCGTAGTTGCGGATCCCTGCTATCCGTCGCCGTGCGGAGTAAACGCCGACTGCAACGATAAGAACGGTGTGGGGGTGTGCATTTGTCGGGGCGAATATTTCGGCAACCCGTACAGTGGCTGCAGGCCCGAATGTGTTCTGGACACCGACTGTCCCCGAGACAAGAACTGCGAGCGCAACAAGTGCGTCGACCCGTGCGAGGACAGATGTGGCTCCGGAGCGGAATGCCGCGTGGTGAATCACATCATCATGTGCACGTGCCCACCGGGATACACGGGAGATGCCTTCTCCTACTGTAGCCCGGTGCCGCAAACTGTGCCACCACCACGGGAGCCGCAGTACACGAACCCGTGCCAGCCGGCTCCGTGCGGGCAGAACGCCCAGTGCCAAGAGAAGAACAGCGTGGCCGTGTGCTCGTGTCTGCCGGGCTACCAGGGCGACCCGACAACCGGCTGTCGTCCGGAGTGCGTCTCCAACGCCGAGTGCGCTCCGTCGCTGGCCTGCATCAACCAGAAGTGCAAGGACCCCTGTGCTGGTCTGTGCGGTGTCAACGCCCAGTGCCGAGTTCTCAGCCACAACCCGCTGTGCAACTGCCTGCCCGGATACGACGGAGACCCCTACAGAAGCTGCGCAGTGGCCAGAAGTAAGAGCTTCGACGCGCAAATCTTTTAAAAGCGATCCGAATGAAAAATCTTTTGTGACAAAACAGTGGTTTATGTCTAACACAGTGCCTGCATGTAGCGTTCCGCATGAACCCAAGGCATGCTGACCCTCGTGCTTTCACCTTTTTTAGCCGAACCACCCCGGCCTGAGAACCCGTGCCAGCCGACCCCGTGCGGTGCGAACTCGGAGTGTCGGGAGCAGAACAACCGTGCGGCCTGCTCCTGTCAGAAGGGCTACGTGGGCTCCCCGCCCGCCTGCCGGCCAGAGTGTGTGCTGAACACAGACTGTGCCGGCCACCTGGCCTGCATCGGGCAGAAGTGTCGCGACCCGTGCGTCGGAGAGTGCGGGGAGAACGCCGACTGCCGGGTGCAGAAGCATAATCCGGTGTGCCTCTGTCGCATCGGCTACACCGGAGACGCGTTCAGGGTCTGCCGGCGCATCCCTCCCCGTGAGTGCCGCCGAGGCGATTGGAATTGTACTTGACTGAGGTGGAGTTAAGCGCTCTTGAATGTTGGATTTCGTAGCAGATGTGTGTATCTTTTAGGAACTTACGGCGGTCGAACGCGTGGGACAGTTTCCGATGCTTTTATATTCTTGGTTTTCGTTGTTCGATGCATGGCTGTTCGGGTCATGGGTCCTGTAGCTTCTCGCTGGGATAATGATCGCTTCGATTTCTGGAGGAGGTCAAGCCGTGATCTTGGTGCTGTTTCTTCAGCGACGCCCGTGGCTGTGGTCGATACGAAGCCAGAGAATCCATGCGGTCCGGGCAAATGCGGTCCGAACGCCCAGTGCCGGGTCCACAACGGACAAGACGCCGGGCTGCGCGTGCTGACTGTGCCAGAGTACTTTGGCAATCCCGTACGAAAGCTTGTGTGACCCAGAGTGTGTGAGGTAGACTCGTCCGCGCCCGGTCCACCCGCCGTCGCTGGGGATGGATGGAGCGCAACAAGTGCGTGGATCCGTGCCCCGGCGTGTGCGGCTTCCGTGCCGACTGCCGGGTGCACGAGCACGTGCCAATGTGCTACTGCCCGGAGGGCTACCAGGGCAACCCCTTCACGGCATGCACCCCGACACCAGTGACACGTAAGTGTCCTCATTGATATCCTTGGTTCCATGCAAATCGAAAGAGTCTCGTCCTGAATGATCTGTTATGCTTATGGCATGTTTCAGCATTGCATGATACGCATGATACCCGCGCCCAGCTGCATGTTGCACGTTCCCAATTCTTGCAGCGCCATGCAAGCCGGATGAGCCCAAGGTCGTTGAACCTTGCTACCCGTCGCCGTGCGGAGCCAACACCGAATGCATTGCTAAGGACAGCGTGGCCACATGCAAGTGCAAGCCAGGCTTCCCGAAGGGTGACCCGACTACCGGCTGTCGGCCCGAGTGTGTCACCAACGCCGACTGTGCCCAGACTCTGGCGTGCGGGTCACAGCAGAAGTGCGTTGACCCGTGCCCGGGTCTGTGCGGACGGAACGCAGAATGCAGAGTCATCAACCACAACCCTCTCTGCACATGCAATAATGGATACACCGGACCGCCGTACCAAGGATGCACACGCATACCACGTAAGGCTCGTGTGTATTTCATAGACCGAAATGCTAGTGCTGTTACTGGCACGGCATTATGTATTCAAAAGCGAAATCTGATTTTGCTCTAGACTAGAGATTCTATTCCAGAGATTTACATCGGGATCGATATAGTTGTCTGTAATTAACTATTATTGCATTGATCTTGCCGAGGCTATCTATCACTTTCCTCCCGCGCCCTCTCTCTCTCTCTCTCTATTTCAACATCCTTTTGAGATATCGGGATATCAACAACTTACGTCCATCAGGATATTTATATTATTATAGATGGAAGGTCATTATAGATGGAAGGTCTTCTTTTAAGCAAGATAGGATGGGCCCTGGACCTCCTCCCTTGTGTTCAAAAGGAAGCACCCCAGTAAACGAGCTTCTCGAACCAGAAAAGCAAACTACGTTCGCTACGGAAGACATGCATTAATTTAGCTTTATCAGAACACCTACGTGGCAAACTACATATCCTGCTCATTTTTCCAGCTGAAGTGCCAAAGCAGACCTGCCTCCCAAACCCGTGCGGTGCGAACTCGAAATGTCGGGAATCGAACGGCCGTCCGGCCTGCTCCTGCCTGCCCAACTACCAGGGCAGTCCGCCCAGCTGTCGGCCCGAGTGCGTGGTCAACACTGACTGCGCCAGTCACCTGGCCTGCCTGGGACAGAAGTGCTCGGAAATATGCGAGAACGTCTGCGGGGTGAACGCAGATTGTCGCGCGCAACGCCACGTGGCCACGTGCACGTGTCGCACGGGATACACCGGAGACGCCTACTCGTACTGTTCTCCAATACCCCGTGAGTTTCCATTTCCGGACCGAGAAAGAGTTACATGGCTGCGTGTCTCGCATGATAATGTTTATTGGATGACGGCGAGCAGTGGCATGGCGAGGTGGTTTCGCACGGTGTGCGCTGCACGGCACCTCTTGCATGACTGCAATGCCGCCCGTGCAGCATGTCACAGCACGGACCATTTTCAGAGACGTTGCCTCCGCCGGTGGTGGCGGCCGTGGCTGATCCGTGCTTCCCGTCACCTTGCGGCGCCAACGCCAAATGTCAGGGGAAGAACGGCCTTGGCGTCTGTTCGTGCGTACCGGAGCACTTTGGCGACCCGTACGCCGGCTGCAGGCCCGAGTGCGTTCTGGACGCCGATTGTTCTCGAGACAAGAACTGCGAGCGCAACAAGTGCGTCGACCCGTGCGAGGACAGATGTGGCTCCGGAGCGGAATGCCGCGTGGTGAATCACATCGTTATGTGCACGTGCCCACCGGGATACACGGGAGATGCCTTCTCCTACTGTAGCCCGGTGCCGCAAACTGTGCCGCCACCACGGGAGCCGCAGTACACGAACCCGTGCCAGCCGTCTCCGTGCGGGCAGAACGCCCAGTGCCGGGAGCGGAACAGCCTGTCGGTCTGCTCATGTCTGCCTGGCTACCATGGTGACGCGACGGTCGGCTGCCGGCCGGAGTGCGTCACCAGCGCCGAGTGCGCCCTGCACCTCGCCTGCGCATCACAGAAGTGCATCGACCCGTGCGCTGGCCTGTGCGGCCCCAACGCCGTCTGCAGGGTTGCCAACCACAACCCGATGTGCAGCTGCCTGTCGGGATACGGGGGAGACCCCTACCGCCGCTGCACGCCGGCCCCGAGTAAGCATGCCCGCATCTATGCACGCTGGACAGACGGATGCGATTTTTGTGCATGATTCGTGTGTACTGCATGTTGCCTGCGCATGGAGTGTGACCCCTACCCGTGTCCTTCTAGCCGCCCCGCCTCGACCCGAGAACCCGTGCCAGTCGGACCCGTGCGGGCCCAACGCCGACTGCCGGGAGCAAAATGGCCGTGCCTCCTGCTCGTGTCACAAGGACTACATGGGCTCGCCACCCAACTGCCGGCCCGAGTGCGTGCTAAGCACGGACTGCGCGGCCCACCTGGCCTGCGTCGGCAGGAAGTGCCGCGATCCGTGCCAGGGTCGGTGCGGCATCGAAGCACTCTGCATCGTCCGCAACCACCAGCCGTTATGTCGGTGCCCGGCCGGCTACACGGGCGACGCCAGCCGCCTGTGCCGACCGGTGCCGCGTGCGCCTTGTAAGTGGCTGACGGCTCCCTCTAGGATTCCACTCGATAAGCTCGCGATGGGATAGGTCGCCTCCGTCCAGCTGATGGGAACTGTTTCCAGAAGAGGCCCCGGGTAGATGGTTTGAAAGCGTGGAGCGGTTCGGTGATTTCCCGGGAGCATCGTCACATTGGGGTATTCTGTGCAGAAAAGAGGTGGGCTGTTGAAGACACATATGGACAGTGCTCTAGCGATGTTATTGCTCAGGAGCAGTTTTGGGTGCGAAGGTGATATTTGCACCAGTTAAGGGCACGGTTCACGATATCCGGAGAGGTGGTAACCTGAAACCAGCCGCGTCAAGTACAAAACAAGGTTTAGGATGGCACGCTAAGACATTAGGCAAAGAATGGTTGGAAAGACTGGCTTTGTACCTATAATTGAGTTCTGCTGAGACATCGGCAGTGTTTTAGAAATGTGACCTATTTCAAGCGTGAAACTTCCCTCCCATTACAGCCACGCCGGCTCCAATTCCTCAACAAGAGCCGTGCTACCCGGGCAAGTGCGGTCCGAACGCCCAGTGCCGGGTCCACAATGGACTGGGCGTGTGCAGCTGCCTGACAGAATACTTCGGCAATCCGTACGAGGGCTGTCGTCCAGAGTGTGTGGTAGACTCCGACTGCGACCGGTCCAAGGCCTGTGAGCGCAACAAGTGCGTGGATCCGTGCCCCGGCGTGTGCGGCTTCCGTGCCGACTGCCGGGTGCACGAGCACGTGCCCATGTGCTACTGCTCGGAGGGCTACCAGGGAGATCCCTTCACTGCCTGCACGCCTGTACCACTGACACGTAAGCACAAGCTATGCACATGCTGTCTTTCATGAATGCTGCATGCCTATGGCGTTGCCTGACATATATCAATGCTCTTCTTGTTTATACGAATCACGGAATGTTGCATGCCTAAGAAAATCCTCCGCCCCTCTCCATTTAGCTCCTGAACCGACAAAGCGGCCTGAGGTCGTTGACCCTTGCTATCCGTCGCCGTGCGGAGTCAACACCGAGTGCACTGCCAAGGACGGCGTGGCCACATGCAAGTGCAAGCCAGGCTTCCCGAAGGGTGACCCGACTACCGGCTGTCGGCCCGAGTGCGTCACCAACGCCGACTGCGCCCAGACTCTGGCGTGCGGGTCACAGCAGAAGTGCATTGACCCGTGCCCGGGTCTGTGCGGACGGAACGCAGAGTGCAGAGTCATCAACCACAACCCTCTCTGCACGTGCCATAATGGATATACTGGACCACCGTACCAAGGATGTGTGCAGATTCCACGTAAGCATCATTAACTCTGTATTATCGTACCAACACGTTACACATGAAATTGACAACCTGCACCTGAAAAATGAGAATGCATTTGCATGGCTGCACCACCGCATGGCATGCTTCTGTTTTCCAGCTAAGACCCCGAAGCGGACGTGTGTCCCGAACCCCTGCGGTGCGAACTCGAAATGTCTGGAGCAAAACGGCCGTCCGGCCTGCTCCTGCCTGCCCAACTACATCGGCAGTCCGCCCGAATGTCGGCCCGAGTGCGTAGTCAGCTCTGACTGCGCCAGTCACCTGGCCTGCGTCGGAGAGAAGTGTGTCGACCCCTGCCCGGGATCATGCGGACAAAACGCGGAGTGCCGCGTCCACAACCACAACCCGGTCTGCTCCTGCCTGCGTGGATACACCGGGGATGCATATGCCCTGTGTACACCAATCCCTCGTAAGTGGAGCTAGCTTCTGCGAATAAGATTTGAGTTCGATGAGATTATGTTAACTTTATATTCGTTGAACATGTCCTGGTCAACTTCTTAAACACCCACACGCTTCACAGAAACACCTGCACCCACGGCGCCTGCAGTTGCCGATCCCTGCCATCCGTCGCCGTGCGGAGCAAACGCCGACTGCAACGATAAGAACGATGTGGGGGTGTGCATTTGTCGGGACAAATATTTCGGCAACCCGTACAGTGGCTGCAGGCCCGAATGTGTTCTGGACACCGACTGTCCCCGAGACAAGAACTGCGAGCGCAACAAGTGCGTCGACCCGTGCGAGGACAGATGTGGCTCCGGAGCGGAATGCCGCGTGGTGAATCACATCGTTATGTGCACGTGCCCACCGGGATACACGGGAGATGCCTTCTCCTACTGTAGCCCGGTGCCGCAAACTGTGCCGCCACCACGGGAGCCGCAGTACACGAACCCGTGCCAGCCGTCTCCGTGCGGGCAGAACGCCCAGTGCCAAGAGAAGAACAGCGTGGCCGTGTGCTCGTGTCTGCCGGGCTACCAGGGCGACCCGACAACCGGCTGTCGTCCGGAGTGCGTCTCCAACGCCGAGTGCGCTCCGTCGCTGGCCTGCATCAACCAGAAGTGCAAGGACCCCTGCGCCGGTCTGTGCGGCGTCAACGCCCAGTGCCGAGTCCTCAGTCACAACCCGATGTGCAACTGCCTGCCTGGATACGAGGGAGATCCCTACAGAAGCTGCGCAGTGGCCAGAAGTAAGAGCTCAGACGCTTCGTTATTTTATCAGTTACGTTACATGAAAATGCTGACAGGTGATTATCGTTTTGCACGTATTGCATGGTACCGTCATATATCACAGACCTGCAAGCGACGCATGTAAACCTTCCTTTTCCGACCTTCGCAGCCGAACCACCCCGGCCTGAGAACCCGTGCCAGCCGACCCCGTGCGGTGCGAACTCGGAGTGTCGGGAGCAGAACAGCCGTGCGGCCTGCTCCTGTCAGAAGGGCTACGTGGGCTCCCCGCCCGCCTGCCGGCCAGAGTGTGTGCTGAACACAGACTGTGCCGGCCACCTGGCCTGCATCGGGCAGAAGTGTCGCAACCCGTGCGAAGGAGAATGCGGCCAGAACGCTGAGTGCTCTGTCCAAAATCACCGGCCAGTGTGTCGATGCCGAAGCGGTTACACCGGGGATCCGTTCCGACTCTGTTCGCCAGCACCGAAACGTGAGTTCATCAAAGTTGCCACTTGATCACTTTTCGGATTTGTTTCGGTGACTAGAGGATTGAGGAAAATGGGGTCAGCGCCCTTATAACAGGACATGCCAGAAAGAGATATTCCAGGGCCATGCATGGTATACATATGCAGCATGAAACATGTAATTATATTATTTCCCACCAAATTTCGTTTGGCTAGACATAAATCAGCTGTGTGTATTGTCTTGCAGCTACTCTGGGTCCAGTCATACTAGAACAGGAGCCGTGCCACCCGGGCAAATGCGGCCCGAACGCCCTGTGCCGGGTCCACAACGGCCTGGGCGTGTGCAGCTGCCTGCCAGAGCATTTTGGCAATCCGTACGAGAGCTGTCGTCCAGAGTGTGTGGTAGACTCCGACTGCGACCGGTCCAAGGCCTGTGAGCGCAACAAGTGCGTGGATCCGTGCCCCGGCGTGTGCGGCTTCCGTGCCTGACTGCCGGGTGCACGAGCACGTGCCCATGTGCTACTGCCCGGAGGGCTACCGGGGAGATCCCTTCACTGCCTGCACGCCTGTACCACTGACACGTAAGCACAAACTATGCATATGCCGTCATTCACGAATGCTGCATGCCTCTTGCGTTGCCTGGCATACATCAATGCTCTGTTTAGTTATACGAATCCTGGGATACTGCATGTCTAAAAAAAATCCTCTGCCCCTCTCCATTTAGCTCCTGAACCAACAAAGCGGCCCGAGGTCGTTGACCCTTGCTATCCGTCGCCGTGCGGAGTCAACACCGAGTGCACTGCCAAGGACGGCGTGGCCACATGCAAGTGCAAGCCAGGCTTCCCGAAGGGTGACCCGACCACCGGCTGTCGGCCCGAGTGTGTCACCAACGCCGACTGCGCCCAGACTCTGGCGTGCGGGTCACAGCAGAAGTGCATTGACCCGTGCCCGGGTCTCTGCGGACGGAACGCAGAGTGCAGAGTCATCAACCACAACCCTCTCTGCACGTGCAATAATGGATATACTGGACCACCGTACCAAGGATGCGTGCAGATTCCGCGTAAGCATCATTAACTCTGTATTATCGTACCAACACGTTACACATGAAATTGACAACCTGCACCTGAAAAAATGAGAATGCATTTGCATGGCTGCACCACCGCATGGCATGTTTCTGTTTTCCAGCTAAGACCCCGAAGCGGACGTGTGTCCCGAACCCCTGCGGTGCGAACTCGAAATGTCAGGAGCAAAACGGCCGCCCGGCCTGCTCCTGCCTGCCCAACTACATCGGCAGTCCGCCCGACTGTCGGCCCGAGTGCGTAGTCAGCTCTGACTGCGCCAGCCACCTGGCCTGCGTCGGACAGAAATGTGTCGACCCGTGCCCGGGATCATGCGGACAGAACGCGGAGTGCCGCGTGCACAACCACAACCCGGTCTGCTCCTGCCTGCGTGGATACACCGGGGATGCATATGCCCTGTGTACACCAATCCCTCGTAAGTGGAGCTAGCTTCTGCGAATGAGATTTGAGATTATTTCAGCTTTATGCTTGATGCATATGTCATGGTCAAATACTAAAGCACTCACACGCTTTTCAGAAACACCTGCACCCACGGCGCCTGCAGTTGCCGATCCCTGCTATCCGTCGCCGTGCGGAGCAAACGCCGACTGCAACGATAAGAACGATGTGGGGGTGTGCATTTGTCGGGACAAATATTTCGGCAACCCGTACAGTGGCTGCAGGCCCGAATGTGTTCTGGACACCGACTGTTCCCGAGACAAGAACTGCGAGCGCAACAAGTGCGTCGACCCGTGCGAGGACAGATGTGGCTCCGGAGCGGAATGCCGCGTGGTGAATCACATCATCATGTGCACGTGCCCACCGGGATACACGGGAGATGCCTTCTCCTACTGTAGCCCGGTGCCGCAAACTGTGCCACCACCACGGGAGCCGCAGTACACGAACCCGTGCCAGCCGGCTCCGTGCGGGCAGAACGCCCAGTGCCAAGAGAAGAACAGCGTGGCCGTGTGCTCGTGTCTGCCGGGCTACCAGGGCGACCCGACAACCGGCTGTCGTCCGGAGTGCGTCTCCAACGCCGAGTGTGCTCCGGCGCTGGCCTGCATCAACCAGAAGTGCAAGGACCCCTGTGCTGGTCTGTGCGGCGTCAACGCCCAGTGCCGGGTTCTCAGCCACAACCCGATGTGCAACTGTCTGCCTGGATACGAGGGAGACCCCTACAGAAGCTGTGCTGTGGCGAGAAGTAAGAGCTTAAACGCTTCTTTCCGCTGTCACCATGATATCAATGAACTTCCACGCATATAATGGCTGCCGCATGCGCTGCATGATGCCTGCAGATTTCACACACGTGAAATTAAGGCACGCTGACCTTGCGTCTCTGACCTTCGCAGCCGAACCACCCCGGCCTGAGAACCCGTGCCAGCCGACCCCGTGCGGTGCGAACTCGGAGTGTCGGGAGCAGAACAGCCGTGCGGCATGCTCCTGTCAGAAGGGCTACGTGGGCTCCCCGCCCGCATGCCGGCCAGAGTGTGTGCTGAACACAGACTGTGCCAGCCACCTGGCCTGCATCGGGCAGAAGTGTCGCGACCCGTGCGAGGGAGAATGCGGCCAGAATGCCGAATGCTCTGTCCATAACCACCGGCCAATATGCCGATGCCGAAGCGGTTACACCGGGGATCCGTTCCGATTCTGTTCGCCAGCACCGAAACGTGAGTTTGCTCTTGCTGAATGAGTATAGGACGTGATGCGTAGCGACCAGTAAACGTAAGACGCAATGTTAAGATGTAAATCACTGATAGCACCGCTGCACAAGTCTCCTAACTTTAAGAGGAGTAGGTTGTTCGTCTTTGAATTCCTTGTGGCCACACCGGAGCGCTTATGCAAATCACCCATGATTTTATTTTTGAAGGCATTCAGCGCTGTCCACCTCTTGGTGAGCTACAGGAGTTTTAAAAGACATTCATTATCATCGATATTATACAAACATCACTCCTTCGTCGGGTTAGAGAATCTCACAGCCGGTAGACAAGGTACATTTTTTTGTAGAATTCATTGGCTCTATCGGGTCAACAGCATTGACTCCTTGTGGCGCGAGCAGTTTTATGCCCACATTTTGAAGCACGGTATCTCAAGTGTGCACGTTGACGCAGGGGCGGTGTGTTCAGTTTATGAAATGAGCGCAGCATGTATCCGAATTTCGTGCCTATTTTTGATGCGTGCATCTGCCTGAGCACTTCAATATCGGAAGCGTTGCATAGTCATGATCAATGTGCCGATTTAATGTGCTTTAAGCGGATTTCGTTTTGTCATGTCACTTTCGGGGTGACGGAGTTATAACCTGCCGGCACTTCAAAATCTATAAATGCTTCTAGATGTTACAGGCACTTATTGCAACACGAAGATTGGAGGGCATCTGGTCGCAAATTTAGCAGTTTGAGGCTAATGCGTCAGGCAACGACGGCAGAAACATTTCAGTATGCCATGCGGCAGCGCCACGCACGTGTTTTGGTGAAGTGCTGGCTATTGGTCCAATTTCACATCGCACACCTGCGCCCACCCCCCTTGGAGTTCAGAGCGATGAGCCGCACGGCTCAGTTTATTGCAGGTATTCCCTGCTTGCTGTTCTTTTCACCAAAGATGTAGCTGATGCAACATTATTTCACAGCCACACTGGCTCCAGTGATCCCCGACCAGAAGCCGTGCTACCCGGGCAAGTGCGGTTCGAACGCCCAGTGCCGGGTCCACAACGGACTGGGCGTGTGCAGCTGCCTGACAGAATACTTTGGCAATCCGTACGAGGGCTGTCGTCCAGAGTGTGTGGTAGACTCCGACTGCGACCGGTCCAAGGCCTGTGAGCGCAACAAGTGCGTGGATCCGTGCCCCGGCGTGTGCGGCTTCCGTGCCGACTGCCGGGTGCAGGACCACGTGCCCATGTGCTACTGCCCGGAGGGCTACCGGGGCGACCCCTTCACTGCATGCACACCTGTGCCTCAAACATGTAAGTATCCTCCGCTATGCAACGGAGAATTTACGCGGTGAAAGAGCATGCTGGCTGCATTTTGCCTGAACGGTTTACACGTTTGCCTGCCACATCCTATGCGTTACATCCAGTACAACTTACGCGCGCTTTGCAGCGGAGCCTCCAAAGCAGCCCGAGGTCGTTGACCCTTGCTACCCGCCACCGTGCGGAGCCAACGCCGAGTGTATCGCCAAGGACAGCGTGGCCACGTGCGAATGCAAGCCAGGCTTCCCGAAGGGTGACCCGACCACCGGCTGTCGACCCGAGTGCGTCACCAACGCCGACTGTGCCCAGACTCTGGCTTGCGGGTCACAGCAGAAGTGCGTTGACCCGTGCCCGGGCCTCTGTGGACGGAACGCAGAGTGCAGAGTCATCAACCATAATCCGATGTGCATCTGCGAAAGGGGCTACACAGGATCAGGCTACCAGGGATGCACACCGATTCCGCGTAAGCCATCATCCTGTAAAGTTTCTATAGTTTTATGGCTACATTTATTTGAGCACACTATCCGATGACATCATTAGTTTTCAGGGGATTGCAATGAATTTTGCAGCAAGGTGCCTCTTTTTCAGCTGAGGTGCCTAAGCAGACTTGCTACCCGAACCCGTGCGGTGCGAACTCGGAATGTCGGGAGTCGAACGGCCGTCCGGCCTGCTCCTGCCTGCCCAACTACCAGGGCAGTCCGCCCGACTGTCGGCCCGAGTGCGTGGTCAACTCCGACTGTGCCAGCCACCTGGCCTGCGTCGGACAGAAGTGTGTCGACCCGTGCCCGGGATCATGCGGACAGAACGCGGAGTGCCGCGTGCACAACCACAATCCAGTCTGCTCCTGCCTGCGCGGATACACCGGGGATGCATATGCCCTGTGTTCCCGGATTCCTCGTGAGTTTCACTTGATGTGCATGATGAGCGTGGCGAGCATGTCTTTATACGCATGATTCATTTTGATATTGCAATCAAGTTACAAGTCACTTTAAATTGCTTATAGTCCAACACGCTTTTCAGAAACACCTGCACCCACGGCGCCTGCAGTTGCCGATCCCTGCTATCCGTCGCCGTGCGGAGCAAACGCCGACTGCAACGATAAGAGCGGTGTGGGGGTGTGCATTTGTCGGGGCGAATATTTCGGCAACCCGTACAGTGGCTGCAGGCCCGAATGTGTTCTGGACACCGACTGTCCCCGAGACAAGAACTGCGAGCGCAACAAGTGCGTCGACCCGTGCGAGGACAGATGTGGCTCCGGAGCGGAATGCCGCGTGGTGAATCACATCATCATGTGCACGTGCCCACCGGGATACACGGGAGATGCCTTCTCCTACTGTAGCCCGGTGCCGCAAACTGTGCCGCCACCACGGGAGCCGCAGTACACGAACCCGTGCCAGCCGACTCCGTGCGGGCAGAACGCCCAGTGCCAAGAGAAGAACAGCGTGGCCGTGTGCTCGTGTCTGCCGGGCTACCAGGGCGACCCGACAACCGGCTGTCGTCCGGAGTGCGTCTCCAACGCCGAGTGCGCTCCGTCGCTGGCCTGCATCAACCAGAAGTGCAAGGACCCCTGTGCGGGTCTGTGCGGCGTCAACGCCCAGTGCCGGGTTATCAACCACAACCCGATGTGCAACTGCCTGTCTGGATACGAGGGAGATCCCTACAGAAGCTGCGCTGTGGCAAGGAGTAAGGGCTCAGACGCTTCGTTATTTTGTCACAGTTACGTTACATGAAAATGCTGGCATGTGATTATCGTTTTGCACGTATTGCATGATACCGTCATATATCACAGACCTGCGAGCGACGCGTGTTAACCTTCCTTTTCCGACCTTCGCAGCCGAACCACCCCGTCATGAGAACCCGTGTCATCCGACCCCGTGCGGTGCGAACTCGGAGTGTCGGGAGCAGAACAGCCGTGCGGCCTGCTCCTGTCAGAAGGGCTACGTGGGCTCCCCGCCCGCATGCCGGCCAGAGTGTGTGCTGAACACAGACTGTGCCAGCCACCTGGCCTGCATCGGGCAGAAGTGTCGCGACCCGTGCGAAGGAGAATGCGGCCAGAACGCTGAGTGCTCTGTCCAAAACCACCGGCCAGTGTGTCGATGCCGAAGCGGTTACACGGGGGATCCGTTCCGATTCTGTTCGCCGATTCCACAACGTGAGTAATCTTCCTGTTGGTAGCTGAACATGTCCTATGTACGTTGATATCAGCACGCTCTTATTCAACATAGCGGTGTTTTTTGAGTGCCACGACTTTAAACTAAACAGTTTAAAGTCGTGTCACACAAGTGAGCCAATGCGACTTTTAGTTCGCTGCACACATTAATGAAGAAAAATTTGCCATGCGGTGATTTCCGTCTTGCCCGGAGTAGTTTTCCTGGTGATAATGGTGTGATCTGCCTCTGGCTTTATTTAGACAATTTTAAGTTTTTTGCTATGCAATCTAACCTTACCAACTGTAGTCTCGAACAAGACATTATCACTCTTACTGGCAGGCCCAGCACAACCGGTCACGCCTCGGCCACTGCCGTGCTACCCGGGCAAGTGCGGTTCGAACGCCCAGTGCCGGGTCCACAACGGCCTGGGCGTGTGCAGCTGCCTGACAGAATACTTTGGCAATCCATACGAGGGTTGTCGTCCAGAGTGTGTGGTAGACTCCGACTGCGACCGGTCCAAGGCCTGTGAGCGCAACAAGTGCGTGGACCCGTGCCCCGGCGTGTGCGGCTTCCGTGCCGACTGCCGGGTGCAGGACCACGTGCCCATGTGCTACTGCCCGGAGGGCCACCGGGGCGACCCCTTCACTGCATGCACACCTGTACCTCAGACGAGTGAGTGCTCTCCCAGCATGTTCTGTAAAAGTGTTTGCATGACACCTTGCACGTTTCCGCTGCATTCAGGCAACACGAGTGCTTGATATGACTTGCATGTGCTCCTTGCATGTAATTTCAAGCCTGCCCATGTTGCGTACTTGTGGAGATAAAACCTTCATTACCAGTTATTGGAGACAAGTTTATAGGATGGGCATCCTGCGATGGAAAATTACAAAGCGGCAGATTAAGGCAAACTGTGCAGCCAGGCCAAGCACAGCATACTGCGTGCTCGACGCACGCATGCTCTTCCCATCATGCATGCCCGAATATTTCGTTCTGCAACAACCGCCGTGGTTGCAGTTAAACCAGCAGAGAAGCCGAAAGATGATGATGCTTGCTATCCATCGCCGTGCGGAGCCAACGCCGAGTGTACCGCCAAGGACAGCGTGGCCACATGCGAGTGCAAGCCAGGCTTCCCGAAGGGTGACCCGACCACCGGCTGTCGGCCCGAGTGTGTCACCAACGCCGACTGTGCCCAGACTCTGGCGTGCGGTTCACAGCAGAAGTGCATTGACCCGTGCCCGGGCCTCTGCGGACGGAACGCAGAGTGCAGAGTCATCAACCATAACCCTATCTGCACATGCAACAACGGATTCACTGGACCCCCGTACCAGGGCTGTGTGCAGATTCCACGTAAGCAAACATTTGCCAGCAAATATTAACACGTGCCCGGGTGGCCGGTTAGATGCCCTTCGCTCGGGTGGGGGGAGGGGGGGGGGGCAATTTGACTCCCCTCCTGAGAGCTCGGGAACTAAGAAAGCTAGATACATCAAATTTAAAGGGTGTTTTGACCTGTACGTGAACTCACTTAGGGCAAAGTTTGAGCCTCCTAGGTCATGATTTTCAGGTTAAATAAGGTCAGACAAGATCAAATTCCATGTTGGTCTCCAAAGTGTCCCCAGAACCTAGGGAACTGTTTCTAAGCAAAAGGTCACAAGCCCATTTGAGGCCAGTGACCTTGTTTGACCTTTTGAAGGTCATTGTGACCAAAATCATGCAAGACTGCCCTGAGTTTTGGATTTGAATAAGCGACAAAGATTAAGCTAGACAGTATGTTTCTCAAACAAAATGTCGATCCAGGTCATCTTAGGTCAATGACCTGTTCTGATCTCTAAGAAGTCAATGGAAGATGTATAATGCGGTTGCCGCTGCCAATAGATTCGAAATGAGCACCAGAATCTATCCCATGCGGCAAGTCCTAGAGTAAAATATCAGGATAGCTTTGACCTTGGTCTAACCTTTATAGCTGACCTTAGATCAACATAATTTGCTTATTCAGTTTATTCTGGTGCCTAAGAAAGCATCTCAGAAATGAATGGCTCGGTCAAACAGTCCGCCATTGTATCAGATTGGATACTTTCCTAGAAACGGCCTTCGCTGAAACCATGGCCTGATTTTAACCTGCCATAGGTCGGCAACCTCACAAGGTACATCAAATTGCTTTATGTCAAACAATCCGCTATTCAAATGTCTACAGCTATGCTAAATTTGGCGCGGCTACGCCCTGCCGTTCGGAAACCATTCTGGAAAAACCTTCGGGGGGGGGGGGTGACAATTTGACGCCCCACCCGAACGCGTGTTAACCTGCTTCTGCCTTCCAAAACATTTTTGTTCTTAGATAGCGTATCCATGTCCATATGTCTGTTCCAAGCCTTCAAGGGAACATCTTTTTGCAGAGGAGACGCCTAAGAAGACCTGCTTCCCGAACCCTTGCGGCTCTTACTCAGAATGTCGGGAGTCGAACGGCCGTCCGGCCTGCTCCTGCCTGCCCAACTACCTGGGCAGTCCGCCCGACTGTCGACCCGAGTGCGTGGTCAACTCCGACTGTGCCAGTCACCTGGCCTGCGTCGGAGAGAAGTGTGTCGACCCGTGCCCGGGATCATGCGGACAGAACGCGGAGTGCCGCGTGCACAACCACAATCCGGTCTGCTCCTGCCTCCCTGGGTTCCGCGGAGATGCATACGCCCTATGCACAAGAATTCCTCGTAAGTCAACCGTTGTAATGGCCGAAATCATGCTGCACAGCATTCATATACAATTATGTAATTACGCAGTTTATTGAAATCTCTGTTGCGATGAATTATGAAACTCTCAAGGAATGCATGCCATTTCAGAAACACCTGCACCCACGGCGCCTGCGATTGCGGATCCCTGCTATCCGTCGCCGTGTGGAGCAAACGCCGACTGCAACGATAAGAGCGGTGTGGGGGTGTGCATTTGTCAGGACAAATATTTCGGCAACCCGTACAGTGGCTGCAGGCCCGAATGTGTTCTGGACACCGACTGTTCCCGAGACAAGAACTGCGAGCGCAACAAGTGCGTCGACCCGTGCGAGGACAGATGTGGCTCCGGAGCGGAATGCCGCGTGGTGAATCACATCATCATGTGCACGTGCCCACCGGGATACACGGGAGATGCCTTCTCCTACTGTAGCCCGGTGCCGCAAACTGTGCCACCACCACGGGAGCCGCAGTACACGAACCCGTGCCAGCCGACTCCGTGCGGGCAGAACGCCCAGTGCCAAGAGAAGAACAGCGTGGCCGTGTGCTCGTGTCTGCCGGGCTACCAGGGCGACCCGACAACCGGCTGTCGTCCGGAGTGCGTCTCCAACTCCGAGTGCGCTCCGTCGCTGGCCTGCATCAACCAGAAGTGCAAGGACCCCTGTGCCGGTCTGTGCGGCGTCAACGCCCAGTGCCGGGTCATCAACCACAACCCGATGTGCAACTGCCTGCCGGGATACGACGGAGACCCCTACAGAAGCTGTGCTGTGGCAAGGAGTAAGAGCTCAAATAGTTAATTATTCTGTCAATTTGATACAAAAGCACTTATTTGCATGCGATGGCTGCTGCATGTATTGCATGATGCCTGCACATGTCACAAACATGAAATCAAGGCGCGCTGACCTTCCGTCTCTGACCTTCGCAGCCGAACCAACCCGGCCTGAGAACCCGTGTCATCCGACCCCGTGCGGTGCGAACTCGGAGTGCCGGGAGCAGAACAGCCGTGCGGCATGCTCCTGTCAGAAGGGCTACGTGGGCTCCCCGCCCGCATGCCGGCCAGAGTGTGTGCTGAACACAGACTGTGCCAGCCACCTGGCCTGCATCGGGCAGAAGTGTCGGAACCCGTGCGAAGGAGAATGCGGCCAGAACGCTGCGTGCACGGTGGTCAACCACAATCCCATCTGCCGCTGTGAAGCTGGTTACCTCGGCGATCCCTTCCAGTTTTGCGCGTTGGTGCCTAAAAGTGAGTCCAGACATTTTGTTCGGGAAGATTTTGTTAACCTGGTTTTCCTTACGAAGCAGTTATATTTACGACGATATTTATCAAACTGGGTTCGTACGCGGAGCGAGAACAGTGTTTTATCACTTTTTAAAAGATATTGGATAAGATCAGGCAACCAAACAAACTGAAACAAAATGCTACACCATTATTATATTGTCGGGGTGTTTGTTGCTTTCACTGAGCACCATTTTCGCAGTAAGTTAGATCATAAGGTCGGTGTATTAAACATGATACGATAATTAAGAACACCGATGGCTCTGGCCGAATTATGGTCTCCAATGCTCAACCACAGTTTAATTGCAAGATATATTTTTCTTCAGCTACGCCGGCTCCAATTCCTCAACAAGAGCCGTGCTACCCGGGCAAGTGCGGCACAAACGCCCAGTGCCGGGTCCACAACGGCCTGGGCGTGTGCAGCTGCCTGACAGAATACTTTGGCAATCCGTACGAGGGCTGCCGGCCAGAGTGTGTGGTAGACTCCGACTGCGACCGGTCCAAGGCCTGTGAGCGCAACAAGTGCGTGGATCCGTGCCCCGGCGTGTGCGGCTTCCGTGCCGACTGCCGGGTGCAGGACCACGTGCCCATGTGCTACTGCCCGGAGGGCTACCGGGGCGACCCCTTCACTGCATGCACGCCTGTACCTCAAACATGTAAGTGTCCTGCTACCTCTTCCACCTGAAATGGAGCATGTGCATGATCTACGCATGTGTACGATATTTCGGAATGCCACAAATCTGCATGAATCACTTGGTATATCATGTTCCTGTTTCCACATTATAAACGCCTTGCAGCGGAACCACCGAGGAAGCCAGTCAAGACTGATCCTTGCTATCCATCACCGTGCGGAGCCAACGCCGAATGCATTGCCAAGGACAGCGTGGCCACATGCGAATGCAAGCCAGGCTTCCCGAAGGGTGACCCGACTACCGGCTGTCGGCCCGAGTGTGTCACCAACGCCGACTGTGCTCAGACTCTGGCGTGCGGGTCGCAGCAGAAGTGCGTTGACCCGTGCCCGGGTCTCTGCGGACGGAACGCGGAGTGCAGAGTCATCAGTCATAATCCGCGCTGCACCTGTCTCAGTGGATACACTGGAGCACCGTACCAAGGATGCACTATTCTAAGACGTAAGGAGCTATTCACGCGCAAAATGTCACTGCATTTGTTGAACAAAAGAATCATTGATTACGTCTATTCAAACAACCCTGCGGCATGCTCCATTTCTTCCTTTCTTTTTCAGCTGAAGTACCAAAACAAACTTGCTACCCGAACCCGTGCGGTGCGAACTCGAAATGTCAGGAGCAAAACGGCCGTCCGGCCTGCTCCTGCCTGCCCAACTACCATGGCAGTCCGCCCAACTGTCGGCCCGAGTGCGTGGTCAACTCCGACTGTGCCAGTCACCTGGCCTGCGTCGGAGAGAAGTGTGTCGACCCGTGCCCGGGATCATGCGGACAGAACGCGGAGTGCCGCGTGCACAACCACAATCCAGTCTGCTCCTGCCTGCGCGGATACACCGGGGATGCATATGCCCTGTGTACGCCCATACCCCGTAAGTGCGGCGTGACCGAGCATGGTATGTGTGTGATCCTGCATGATTTTATATGAAATTTATTGTTGGATGTATATTGCATGCACATACCCTTACACAGGCATGCCATTTCAGAAACACCTGCACCCACGGCACCTGCAGTTGCCGATCCCTGCTATCCATCGCCGTGCGGAGCAAACGCCGACTGCAACGATAAGAGCGGTGTGGGGGTGTGCATTTGTCGGGACAAATATTTCGGCAACCCGTACAGTGGCTGCAGGCCCGAATGTGTTCTGGACACCGACTGTTCCCGAGACAAGAACTGCGAGCGCAACAAGTGCGTCGACCCGTGCGAGGACAGATGTGGCTCCGGAGCGGAATGCCGCGTGGTGAATCACATCATCATGTGCACGTGCCCACCGGGATACACGGGAGATGCCTTCTCCTACTGTAGCCCGGTGCCGCAAACTGTGCCACCACCACGGGAGCCGCAGTACACGAACCCGTGCCAGCCGGCTCCGTGCGGGCAGAACGCCCAGTGCCAAGAGAAGAACAGCGTGGCCGTGTGCTCGTGTCTGCCGGGCTACCAGGGCGACCCGACAACCGGCTGTCGTCCGGAGTGCGTCTCCAACGCCGAGTGCGCTCCGTCGCTGGCCTGCATCAACCAGAAGTGCAAGGACCCCTGTGCGGGTCTGTGTGGCGTCAACGCCCAGTGCCGAGTCCTCAGCCACAACCCGCTGTGCAACTGCCTGCCGGGATACGAGGGAGACCCCTACAGAAGCTGCAAGGTGGCAAAAAGTAAGAGTTGGCGGGATATCATTGTCGACAAACGGAACGTATCAAATTCGACACTTTGTTCTGCATGTCACATCCGATTTTGCACGGTTGCATGCCAGTGCTCCATTTCACCGCATGGCTCCTGGTCGTTCACAAACCGTTCCAGCATGTTTGTTTCCCTTTTTAGCGGAACCAACTCGTCCTGGAAACCCGTGTCATCCGAGCCCTTGCGGTGCGAACTCGGAGTGTCGGGAGCAGAACAGCCGTGCGGCATGCTCCTGTCAGAAGGGCTACGTGGGCTCCCCGCCCGCATGCCGGCCGGAGTGTGTGCTGAACACAGACTGTGCCAGCACGCTTGCCTGCATCGGCCAGAAGTGTCGCGATCCATGCGAGGGTGAATGTGGCCAGAACGCCGAATGCACAGTGATCAACCACAACCCGATTTGTCGCTGCGAGTCTGGCTACACTGGAGATGCATTCCGGTATTGCTCACCGGTGCCCAAAAGTAAGTTGCGTATGTTGTTGTGTTGTCATTTGCTCCTTGCACAAAGGATTACGCATCACGGCTCCATCTCACTCGGCTGGTCTGTATGGAAATCGAACGTATCGTGAAACTTGGTGTCGTGGCGGTTGGAGTGAATTCTTCTGTAGGTAGATGTGTTTACTGGAGATTGGCGTGCTATCGGTATGCTACCTATGGCGTTTTGAACGGACCGTATTTTATCTCCGGTACGAGGACAGAGGCATGGCACGATATTATATTTATTCCGCATTTCTCCAGCCACGCCGGCTCCAATTCCTCAACAAGAGCCGTGCTTCCCGGGCAAGTGCGGCACGAACGCCCAGTGCCGGGTCCACAACGGACTGGGCGTGTGCAGCTGCCTGCTGGAGCACTTTGGCAATCCGTACGAGGGCTGTCGTCCAGAGTGTGTGGTAGACTCCGACTGCGACCGGTCCAAGGCCTGTGAGCGCAACAAGTGCGTGGATCCGTGCCCCGGCGTGTGCGGCTTCCGTGCCGACTGCCGGGTGCAGGACCACGTGCCCATGTGCTACTGCCCGGAGGGCTACCGGGGCGACCCCTTCACTGCATGCACGCCTGTACCTCAGACGAGTGAGTGCTCTCCCAGCATGTTCTGTAAAAGTGTTTGCATGACACCTTGCACGTTTCCGCTGCATTCAGGCAACACGAGTGCTTGATATGACTTGCATGTGCTCCTTGCATGTAATTTCAAGCCTGCCCATGTTGCGTACTTGTGGAGATAAAACCTTCATTACCAGTTATTGGAGACAAGTTTATAGGATGGGCATCCTGCGATGGAAAATTACAAAGCGGCAGATTAAGGCAAACTGTGCAGCCAGGCCAAGCACAGCATACTGCGTGCTCGACGCACGCATGCTCTTCCCATCATGCATGCCCGAATATTTCGTTCTGCAACAACCGCCGTGGTTGCAGTTAAACCAGCAGAGAAGCCGAAAGATGATGATGCTTGCTATCCATCGCCGTGCGGAGCCAACACCGAATGCATTGCCAAGGACGGCGTGGCCACATGCAAGTGCAAGCCAGGCTTCCCGAAGGGTGACCCGACCACCGGCTGTCGGCCCGAGTGTGTCACCAACGCCGACTGCGCCCAGACTCTGGCGTGCGGGTCACAGCAGAAGTGCGTTGACCCGTGCCCGGGTCTGTGCGGACGGAACGCAGAGTGCAGAGTCATTAACCACAACCCTATCTGCACATGCAAGAATGGATACACTGGATCACCATACCAAGAATGCTCCGAAGTTAAACGTAAGCTCTAAATCATTGATTGCAAAGCCATGCCACAGTCTAGAAATACAATTGATTTGGTGGATTGATGCGCATTTGACACAATTTGCAACCTGCTAAATGCATGCTGTTCCTGACCTTTCAGCTGATGTACCGAAGAAAACTTGCTATCCGAACCCGTGCGGTGCGAACTCGGAATGTCGGGAGTCAAACGGCCGTCCGGCCTGCTCCTGCCTGCCCAAATACCTAGGCAGTCCGCCAGATTGTCGGCCCGAGTGCGTGGTCAACTCCGACTGTGCCAGTCACCTGGCCTGCGTCGGAGAGAAGTGTGTCGACCCGTGCCCGGGATCATGCGGACAAAACGCGGAGTGCCGCGTGCACAACCACAACCCGGTCTGCTCCTGCCTGCGAGGATACACCGGCGATGCATATGCCCTGTGTACACCCATACCCCGTGAGTGTAATCAGCTTCTGCGAAAAATATTCGATATTTATGACATTGCTTCAACTTAATTGTCTGGTGTATCTTGCATGGCGAAATTTTCATCACCACACGCTTCACAGAAACACCTGCACCCACGGCGCCTGCAGTTGCGGATCCCTGCTACCCGTCGCCGTGCGGAGCAAACGCCGACTGCAACGATAAGAGCGGTGTGGGGGTGTGCATTTGTCGGGGCGAATATTTCGGCAACCCGTACAGTGGCTGCAGGCCCGAATGTGTTCTGGACACCGACTGTTCCCGAGACAAGAACTGCGAGCGCAACAAGTGCGTCGACCCGTGCGAGGACAGATGTGGCTCCGGAGCGGAATGCCGCGTGGTGAATCACATCATCATGTGCACGTGCCCACCGGGATACACGGGAGATGCCTTCTCCTACTGTAGCCCGGTGCCGCAAACTGTGCCACCACCACGGGAGCCGCAGTACACGAAGCCGTGCCAGCCGACTCCGTGCGGGCAGAACGCCCAGTGCCAAGAGAAGAACAGCGTGGCCGTGTGCTCGTGTCTGCCGGGCTACCAGGGCGACCCGACAACCGGCTGTCGTCCGGAGTGTGTCTCCAACGCCGAGTGCGCTCCGTCGCTGGCCTGCATCAACCAGAAGTGCAAGGACCCCTGTGCCGGTCTGTGCGGCGTCAACTCCCAGTGCCGAGTCATCAACCACAACCCGATGTGCAACTGCCTGTCGGGATACGAGGGAGATCCCTACAGGAGCTGCACTGTGGCAAGAAGTAAGATAGATGCTTTCTCATCGCGGCGGTTATTTTTCATCACTTAAGAACCAAAACAGACATTATGTTAAGCTGTTGTAGCTGGTTACACAGAAGCCTAAACTGAGGGTTTTTCATGTTTATCCTATAGTTTCTTGCTTTTTGCATGTTTGTTCTCATGGTTCATGGTTCATGAGTCTCATGTTCTCACGATTTTCCTCATGGTGGTTGAGGACCATTTCCAAGCATGCGTATTCGTGATTACAGCGGAACAACCTCGGCCTGAGAACCCGTGCCAGCCGACCACTTGCGGTGCAAACTCGGAGTGTCGGGAGCAAAACGGCCGTGCGGCCTGCTCCTGTCAGAAGGGCTACGTGGGCTCCCCGCCCGCCTGCCGGCCAGAGTGTGTGCTGAACACAGACTGTGCCAGCCACCTGGCCTGCATCGGGCAGAAGTGTCGCGACCCGTGCGAAGGAGAATGCGGGGTGAACGCTGAGTGCACAGTTGCCAATCACAATCCAGTGTGCCGGTGCAAGCCCGGGAACACTGGTAATCCACTCCGTTACTGTTCACCAGTTCCCCAAAGTGAGTCGCTGTTGCCAAAGATATTATTATTTTCATTATATCACACTATGAAACGTTTGGGCATTTCAGTTATACCGCATATTGTGTATTGAACCAGTAAGATCTACTCGCATAAGTTGATGGGATCGAATTTCTGATTAGCTTACAGTTAATTCGTATGATTTCAAAAACTTTTCAAACCTTATTCGGAAATGTGTTTCACACGCCCACTCAACTCTGCAGCAACACCAAGACCGCAAGTATTCCACAAAGACCCTTGTCATCTCGGCAAATGCGGCCAGAACGCCCAGTGTCGGGTCCACAACGGACTGGGCGTGTGCAGCTGCCTGCCAGAGTACTTTGGCAATCCGTACGAGGGCTGTCGTCCAGAGTGTGTGGTAGACTCCGACTGCGACCGGTCCAAGGCCTGTGAGCGCAACAAGTGCGTGGATCCGTGCCCCGGCGTGTGCGGTTTCCGTGCCGACTGCCGGGTGCAGGACCACGTGCCCATGTGCTACTGCCCGGAGGGCTACCAAGGCGACCCCTTCACGGCATGCAGACCTGTACCTCCAACACGTAAGAATCCATGAGCTATAATTTTGGGGATGCCATGACGCTTCCACCATCTTATGGAGTTAAATCAGATTGAACAACACGGATATATTAAGAGATATACCTACATCTGCTCGGATATGGTTAAAGTCTCTGATCCGCTGTTTTCAGTTTATCTGGTGCCACTCTAAGTCTGATATTTTTCTCCATACTCATGTCATGTATCTTGCAACTGCTGCCATTCTTGCAGCTAAACCAACCGAGACACCAGTGAAGCCCGACCCTTGCCACCCGTCGCCGTGCGGAGCCAACGCCAAATGCATTGCCAAGGACAGCGTGGCCACGTGCGAATGCAAGCCAGGTTTCCCGAAGGGTGACCCGACCACCGGCTGTCGGCCCGAGTGTGTCACCAACGCCGACTGTGCCCAGACTCTGGCGTGCGGGTCACAGCAGAAGTGCGTTGACCCGTGCCCGGGTCTGTGCGGACGGAACGCAGAGTGCAGAGTCATCAACCATAATCCGCGTTGTACCTGCCTCAGTGGATACACTGGAGCACCGTACCAAGGATGCACCGTTGTCAAACGTAAGATCCGCTGATATCTGTGCTCACATGATATGGATACAAAGCAACCAATTTTAATATGCAAAATTACCATGCATGCAGCGTTTGGCACGGTACTTTCTATCTTTTCAGCCAACACGCCCAAGCAGACTTGCTATCCGAACCCGTGCGGTGTGAACTCGAAATGTCAGGAGATGAACGGCCGCCCGGCCTGCTCCTGCCTGCCCGAGTACTTGGGCAGTCCGCCCGACTGTCGGCCCGAGTGCGTGGTCAGCACTGACTGTCCCAGTCACCTGGCCTGCGTCGGACAGAAGTGCGTCGACCCCTGCCTGAAGGCATGTGGACTGCACGCGGTGTGTAAGGTGTACCGGCATGCCCCGGTGTGCTCCTGTGCACCGGGATACACTGGATACGCCTATTCGGGCTGCACGCCCGTGCCCAGTAAGTCCTATCTCCTCCACAGCTCACAATTCACATATCTGGACAATTTGAGGCGACTGATTTTCCACGCGGCAGCCACAGCCTGGATGCTAATGTTCTGCCGCCTTTCCAGAACTTCCGGCTTTGCCGACGGCTCCAACCGTGGCTGATCCTTGTTACCCCTCGCCGTGCGGTGATAACGCCCACTGCCAGGCCAAGAGCGGTCTGGCCATATGCGCCTGCATTTCCGAACACTTCGGCGACCCGTACGCCGGCTGTCGGCCCGAGTGCGTGCTGGACACGGACTGTCCCCGGGACAAGAATTGTGAGCGCAACAAGTGCGTGGACCCGTGCGCGGGCGTGTGCGGCACCGGCGCCGACTGTTCGGTGGCGAACCACATTCTGCGCTGCAGCTGCCCGGCCGGCCACACGGGCGACCCGTTCTCGCGCTGTTTCCCGGCGCCGGCGCTTCCGGCGCCGCCGTCGCGGCCGCTCGCCGAGTCGCCGTGCCGCGCCCAGCCGTGCGGCCCGAACGCCGAGTGCCGAGAGGTGCGCGGCGCGGCCGTGTGCGTCTGCCTGCCGGGATACCGCGGCGACGCGACGGCCGGCTGCCGGCCCGAGTGCGTCACGCCCGCCGACTGCCCGCCGGCGCTCACCTGCATCAGCCACAAGTGCCGCGACCCGTGCGCCGGCCTCTGCGGAAGCAATGCTCTCTGCCACGTGCAGAACCACAACCCCTTGTGCACGTGTCGGCCGGCCTACACGGGCAACCCGTACCACGGCTGCCAGATCACGCCTTGTAAGCACCGGCTGCGGGGAGAGAGCACGCCAAGCGTGTCGCGCTCAGCAATTCTGCCGCGTCAAGTTCAGCAATGCACATACACGGATCTGACGCTATATATGACTGATTTATTTGACGTATATCGGATTTACCTGTCATGTAGATGACTTATGCATCCACACTCTCTGATATTTGTACGAAACAAGCTCGAAGTTTGCATGCGTTTGCATGGTGCCTGCGTGTTTGCATGTCTGCCCGCTGCATGGTGCCTGAGTGCGCCCCTTGCATGTCTGCATGTCCTTACATGTTCCTCTGACCTCCTCAGCCGAACCACCCCGGCCTGAGAAGCCCTGTCGCCCAAGCCCGTGCGGCTCGAACTCGGAGTGTCGGGAGCAGAACGGCCGCGCGGCCTGCTCCTGTCTGAAGGGCTACGTAGGCTCGCCTCCCACCTGCAGGCCAGAATGTGTGCTGGACACAGACTGTGCCAGCACACTCGCCTGCATCAGCCAGAAGTGTCGGGATCCATGCGAAGGTCGCTGTGGCACTGACGCCGTGTGCGTGGTGATCAACCACAGTCCGTCGTGTCGCTGCCCAGAAGGCCTTTCTGGGGATCCGTACAGGTTCTGTGCGGAAATACCAACACGTGAGTTTGTTTCCAACTCGTCAGCACCAGCGGGCGTTCGTTGTGGTCGCGCTTTCATTCACTGATCCTTGGTGTTGAAGTCCGCGGCTGTTTGGACGACAGCTTGGGTTGGCTGACTCGCTTTGGATCTGCGAAGACGATGCAGTCCGGGATATCTGCCGCCGTGACGCACTCCTGACGTGCTTGTTTCAACGACGCACGATGTTGGACTTAAAAAATTATCAGCAAGTTCGGGAAGGGACCATAAACAATTTGGGAACACAATTATGAGGGAACGAAATGAATGACGGCGATAGCTCATTCAATATTGGGATAGGGTCTAATAGGTGCAGTGCTATGTATTGGTAATTAGCGCAATTAGACGTCAAGTTAAATGATTCTGATAGTTGAGGAAATATATTCGTATTCCTTGTCACACAACCTGCATCGCTCATTTACTACGGAGTTAGCATTCGCTATTACATTAATGCCCAGGTGCAGCGTGGCGCGTTATTTGCGCGTACCTTCTGTTGGAGGTTCGCTTTTCTGTGTGTTCTGAAGAATTTGCAATGCCCATGTAGATATATATATATATATATATATATATATATATATATAAGTAATAATATTCTGAGCGTTATGTCATTCTCATTGTTCTGTACATAATGATAGCCAGGATAATCTTAGATATATGCGGTCCAATAGAGCATACTGAAGCCTTCAAGATCCAGGTAAGTGCAGTGTTATTGTAAGGCATGACCTGTCATAGAAGTAAAGCCTTAAAACAGATAGAGACATGTAAATTCGAAGCCACCACTGACTGTATCAGAGCGGCAAAGGACGTGTACTTGATTGCTATTTCAATTGCAGCTACCGAAGCGACGAGAACACCAGAGAACCCATGCCACCCGGGCAAGTGCGGTACAAACGCCCTCTGTCGGATCCACAACGGACTGGGCGTGTGCAACTGCCTGCCGGAATACTTTGGCAACCCGTACGAGGGCTGTCGTCCAGAGTGTGTGGTAGACTCCGACTGCGACCGGTCCAAGGCCTGTGAGCGCAACAAGTGCGTGGATCCGTGCCCCGGCGTGTGCGGCTTCCGTGCCGACTGCCGGGTACAGAACCACGTGCCCATGTGCCACTGCCCAACCGGATACCAAGGAGACCCCTTCACGGCATGCGCGCCGATTCCACAAACACGTAAGCAAGTTAATCAACGTTGCGCATGAATCAATCGCCGCTAGGGTGCGTTGTCCTGCGTGAATAAGGCACTCGGGAATGGTAGATGTTGGGGGCTTAACGGTTGGGTGTTACGCGCCCTCGGCACCTAGGCGTGAGGATCCCAATCCCGGCGGCGCACTAGGCCTTGAGCACTTACATGACCGCTGCAGTCACTGACGTCCCATAAAAGACTGAGCGGCAACGTGCTTCGACGTCCTTAAAAGGCGTTGGACATCACAAAAGGCAAGTGTGATTCGTCTTGTATAGTGCGCCGCTGGCTCGTGTTGATACGCCTCTGACGCCGCACTGCACTTGTGTCGATGTCAGCTCCGGGGAGCATTGCGGCATGCGCGCGTGGTCGAGTAGCTGTGCATGTTGCATGATGCACGTGTTCCGTTCCTGACAGCGCCACCGACCGCACCGACAATCGCCGAACCGTGCTACCCGTCGCCGTGCGGAGCCAACGCCGAATGTAGCGCTCACAACAACGTGGCCACATGCAAGTGCAAGCCAGGCTTCCCGAAGGGTGACGCCACCACCGGCTGTCGGCCCGAGTGTGTCACCAACGCCGACTGTGCCCAGACCCTGGCGTGCGGGTCACAGCAGAAGTGCGTTGACCCGTGTCCGGGTCTCTGCGGACGAAACGCAGAGTGCAGAGTCATCAACCATAATCCGCGCTGCTCCTGCCTCAGTGGATACACCGGTGACCCATACCGATCCTGCACGCAAGACATTCGTGAGTACCTTCTCTCTGTACACCTGTTTTATTTTTAGTTTTTTTGCATTATTCAAATGGCATGCACGTTGAACAGCCAACACAAGTGTTCCCAAAACTCCCTTTCGATTGATAAAATTTCGCGTTTCCAGCTCGTGAGCCGGTGAACCCGTGCTATCCGAGCCCGTGCGGTGCGTACTCGGAGTGCCGGGAGAGCCGCGGCAAGCCGGCCTGCTCCTGCAAGCCGTCATACATCGGCAGTCCGCCCGAATGTCGGCCCGAGTGCGTGGTCAGCTCTGACTGTCCCAGTCACCTGGCCTGCATCCAAGAGAAGTGCAGGGACCCGTGCCCGGGCAAGTGCGGTCTGAACGCCGACTGCTCGGTTCGCAACCACAACCCGCAGTGCAGGTGTCTGCCTGGATACATCGGAGACCCGTACTCACGCTGTCTCCCGCAGCCACGTAAGTTCCCTTAAACCTTTGTATTTCCTTGGGCTGTGCCATTCTCACAAATTTACTCAGGTTGTGTTATGATATTTGAAGAGCGGTTTCCACCGTGCGCAGAAATCTGACCGCAGCCTGTATTACAGCTGTCACACCGAGACCTCCCGTAGTCGAGGTGGACCCTTGCTATCCATCGCCATGCGGAGCCAACGCCGACTGCTCCAACAAGAACGGTGTCGGAGCTTGCGATTGCCGACCGGACTACTTCGGAAACCCGTACGAAGGTTGCCGACCCGAGTGTGTTCTCGACACCGACTGTTCCCGCGACAAGAACTGCGAGCGCAACAAGTGCATGAACCCTTGCCCGGATCGCTGCGGCTCCGGAGCGGAATGTCTGGTGGTGAACCACATCATCATGTGCTCCTGTCCACCGGACCACACCGGAGATCCGTTCTCGTACTGCAGTCCTGTCCCCAAGACCACTCCGCGCCCGCAGCAGCCCACCAACCCGTGCTACCCGTCTCCGTGCGGTGCCAACGCTCAGTGCCGAGAGGCCAACAGCGTGGCGCTGTGCACGTGCCTGCCCAACTACCAGGGCGACCCGACGACCGGCTGCAGGCCAGAGTGTGTCTCACCGGCCGAATGTCCTGCGCACAAGACATGCGTCAACCAGAAGTGCGTGGATCCGTGCCCAGGCGTGTGCGGACAGAACGCCCAGTGCCGAGCCATCAACCACAACCCGGTGTGTGATTGCAATAACGGCTACGTGGGAGACCCATACCGCCGTTGCACACTGCAGCCAGTGACGGCACCGGTTGTGGTTGACGAACCGTGCTCACCGAGCCCTTGCGGATCAAACGCTATTTGTCGGGAATCGAACGGCAAGGCGTCCTGCAGCTGCGAGAAGGATTACGAAGGAAGCCCACCGGACTGTCGCCCACAGTGCGTCATCAACACTGACTGTGCCTTCACTCTGGCCTGCATCGGAAAGAAGTGTGTGGATCCGTGCCCAGGCCAGTGTGGTGCGAACGCCAACTGCATCGTGCAGAACCACAACCCCGTCTGCAGATGTCAGTCAGGATACACGGGCGACCCGTACCGATACTGCTCCGTCATTCCTGCCAGTAAGTGAACAGCTTATATTGATGTCGGAATGCTTGATACACCAATATGCTGATATCATCCCAGCACTTGCAAGAAAATGTTTTGTTTTGCAGCCGTAAATATATTTTTAGGTGGTAACTGTATCATTTGCGCAAGCAAGACCGTTATTCATTCGCAAAATACGTCAAGCAATTAAGTGCAAAACCATATGCGACTAACGTCATGCTTACTTACAGCAACGGAAAGGCCAAGAGCACCAGAAAACCCGTGTTCCACGGGCACGTGCGGTCCGAACGCCCAGTGCCGGGTCCACAACGGCCTGGGCGTGTGCAGCTGCCTGCCAGAGTACTTTGGCAATCCGTACGAAAGCTGTCGTCCAGAGTGTGTGGTAGACTCTGACTGCGACCAGTCCAAGGCCTGTGAGCGCAACAAGTGCGTGGATCCGTGCCCCGGCGTGTGCGGCTTCCGTGCCGACTGCCGGGTGCAGGACCACGTGCCCATGTGCTACTGCCCGGATGGCTACCGGGGCGACCCGTTCACGGCATGCTCACCAATCCCGGTCACCCAGCCTCCGAAGGAGCCTGTGCCGAGGAACCCGTGCTACCCATCGCCGTGTGGACCCAACACCGACTGCAAGGATAAAAATAACGTGGCCATCTGCACGTGCAAGCCAGGCTTCCCGAAGGGTGACCCGACTACCGGCTGTCGGCCCGAGTGTGTCACCAACGCCGACTGTGCCCAGACTCTGGCGTGCGGGTCGCAGCAGAAGTGCGTTGACCCGTGCCCGGGTCTCTGCGGACGGAACGCCGAGTGCAGAGTGGCCAACCATAACCCGGTCTGCACGTGCCTCAAGGGATTCACTGGTGACCCGTACCGGACCTGCACTAAGGACATCCGTGAGTATTTGAATATCAGTTGGTCGTATCAATGGCGCTATTGGGTGAAACGTCTACTACTGAAAATGAACTCTAATAAGCCATTGCCTTCTGCAAGTACCGTGCCATACAGATGCGACTGAGCGAAAAACGCTTTACCCGAAGTGAGTGGAAGAGCGCAGTTGTAGGTTCCACTGGGTGGCCATTACAAACTGTTCTGATTGCGCGTGCGCAAAGCCACGTTCCTTCCCAAGCACATTTATAGACACACGGTCTATGTGTGGTGAAACTGTGTGTCAATGATTGCGCTGCCAGTGCTTTGCATTCATGAACTGCAGGTAGCTGACACTTCTGGCTCCTTCCAGCTCGTGAGCCGGTGAACCCGTGCTATCCGAGCCCGTGCGGTGCGTATTCGGAATGCCGGGAGAGCCGCGGCAAGCCGGCCTGCTCCTGCAAGCCGTCATACATCGGCAGTCCTCCCAGCTGTCGGCCCCAATGCGTGGTCAGCTCTGACTGTCCCAGTCACCTGGCCTGCATCCAAGAGAAGTGCAGGGACCCGTGCCCGGGCAAATGCGGTCTGAACGCCGACTGCTCGGTTCGCAACCACAACCCGCAGTGCAGGTGTCTGCCTGGATACATCGGAGACCCGTACTCACGCTGTCTCCCGCAGCCACGTAAGTTCCCTTAAACCTTTGTATTTCCTTGGGCTGTGCCATTCTCACAAATTTACTCAGGTTGTGTTATGATATTTGAAGAGCGGTTTCCACCGTGCGCAGAAATCTGACCGCAGCCTGTATTACAGCTGTCACACCGAGACCTCCCGTAGTCGAGGTGGACCCTTGCTATCCATCGCCATGCGGAGCCAACGCCGACTGCTCCAACAAGAACGGTGTCGGAGCTTGCGATTGCCGACCGGACTACTTCGGAAACCCGTACGAAGGTTGCCGACCCGAGTGTGTTCTCGACACCGACTGTTCCCGCGACAAGAACTGCGAGCGCAACAAGTGCATGAACCCTTGCCCGGATCGCTGCGGCTCCGGAGCGGAATGTCTGGTGGTGAACCACATCATCATGTGCTCCTGTCCACCGGACCACACCGGAGATCCGTTCTCGTACTGCAGTCCTGTCCCCAAGACCACTCCACGCCCGCAGCAGCCCACCAACCCGTGCTACCCGTCTCCGTGCGGTGCCAACGCTCAGTGCCGAGAGGCCAACGGCGTGGCGCTGTGCACGTGCCTGCCCAACTACCAGGGCGACCCGACGACCGGCTGCAGGCCAGAGTGTGTCTCACCGGCCGAATGTCCTGCGCACAAGACATGCGTCAACCAGAAGTGCGTGGATCCGTGCCCAGGCGTGTGCGGACAGAACGCCCAGTGCCGAGCCATCAACCACAACCCGGTGTGTGATTGCAATAACGGCTACGTGGGAGACCCATACCGCCGTTGCACACTGCAGCCAGTGACGGCACCGGTTGTGGTTGACGAACCGTGCTCACCGAGCCCTTGCGGATCAAACGCCATTTGTCGGGAATCGAACGGCAAGGCGTCCTGCAGCTGCGAGAAGGATTACGAAGGAAGCCCACCGGACTGTCGCCCACAGTGCGTCATCAACACTGACTGTGCCTTCACTCTGGCCTGCATCGGAAAGAAGTGTGTGGATCCGTGCCCAGGCCAGTGCGGTGCGAACGCCAACTGCATCGTGCAGAACCACAACCCCGTCTGCAGATGTCAGTCAGGATACACGGGCGACCCGTACCGATACTGCTCCGTCATTCCTGCCAGTAAGTGAACAGCTTATATTGATGTCGGAATGCTTGATACGCCAATATGCTGATGTCATCCCAGCACTTGCAAGAAAAAGTTTTGTTTTTGAGCCGCAAATATATATTAAGGTGGTAACTGTAGCATTTGCGCAAGCAAAACCTGTGTTCATTCGCAAAATATGTCATGCAATTAAGTGCAAAACTATATGTGACTTACGTCATGCTTACTTACAGCAACGGAAAGGCCAAGAGCACCAGAAAACCCGTGTTCCACGGGCACGTGCGGTCCGAACGCCCAGTGCCGGGTCCACAACGGCCTGGGCGTGTGCAGCTGCCTGCCAGAGTACTTTGGCAATCCGTACGAAAGCTGTCGTCCAGAGTGTGTGGTAGACTCCGACTGCGACCAGTCCAAGGCTTGTGAGCGCCACAAGTGCGTGGACCCGTGCCCCGGCGTGTGCGGTTTCCGTGCCGACTGCCGGGTGCAGGACCACGTGCCCATGTGCTACTGCCCGGATGGCTACCGGGGCGACCCGTTCACGGCATGCTCACCGATCCCGGTCACCCAGCCTCCGAAGGAGCCTGTGCCGAGGAACCCGTGCTACCCATCGCCGTGTGGACCCAACACCGACTGCAAGGATAAAAATAACGTGGCCATCTGCACGTGCAAGCCAGGCTTCCCGAAGGGTGACCCGACTACCGGCTGTCGGCCCGAGTGTGTCACCAACGCCGACTGTGCCCAGACTCTGGCGTGCGGGTCGCAGCAGAAGTGCGTTGACCCGTGCCCGGGTCTGTGTGGCTCCAATGCCGAATGTAGAGTCATCAACCACAACCCAATCTGCACGTGCAATGAGGGTTATGAAGGAAGCCCTTATGCATATTGCACGCGTGTGCCAGGTATGTATGTGGTTGAAACTCATCATGCCATACGTTAGTTTGTTGTCCCATTTATCATTTATTCATCACTGTATATTGCATCGGGCTGCCTAATTCTCGTTTCGCTCCACATGCTTAAACATACTGGTTTTTCTGCCACATCTCGGGATGCTTTGGATCCCTCATGTTGGACGTGTGTGGTATTGGTTAAATCTTTGGGAGTCTGGCGTTAAGCGATTGGTGGTTTTAAGACACGTCATGGTCGTTTTCTCTACGTGACGACCAGCCCCAACGCATTCCCGCTTCACCCGTGAAATGCGTTTCAGCTGAAGAACCGAAGAAAACTTGCTATCCGAACCCGTGCGGTGCGAACTCGGAATGTCGGGAGTCAAACGGCCGTCCGGCCTGCTCCTGCCTGCCCAACTACCTGGGCAGTCCGCCCGACTGTCGGCCCGAGTGCGTGGTCAACTCCGACTGTGCCAGTCACCTGGCCTGCGTCGGACAGAAGTGCGTCGACCCGTGCAGCGGCACGTGCGGCAGAAACGCCGAGTGTCGCGTGCAGAAGCACAACCCGCTCTGCTACTGCCGGCCCGGCTTCACAGGCAATGCCTACTCCCAGTGCTCGCCCATTCCAGGTACGCATGCTCTCGCCGCTGCCAGCCTTCACTTGTCGTGGGAGCATCCTGGTCCATGTGCGCTTTTTCTATCCATCGGAATGGCTGGCCAGTCTCCCAGGTGTGAAATCTCACATGTCGGGGTTGTCGGCGCCGTCTGTTGATGTTCATTTGAAACTTCGGGGCTCGTCGACATCAAAGGTCATACTGCGTCCTGCGTCGTCTGCTCGGATTTACCGATATCGTGCACCCTCCGCCTCAGCGACCGCACCTCCGACGCCGGCCTCGCCGACCGACCCATGCTACCCGTCGCCGTGCGGATCGAACGCCCGCTGCGAGGAGAGCAAAAGTCTAGCCATCTGTACGTGCCTGCCTGAGTACTTCGGCAACGCGTACGTCGGTTGCCGGCCCGAGTGCGTGCTGGACACGGATTGCGCGCGTGACAAGCAGTGCCAGGCGAACAAGTGCGTCGATCCCTGCCCGACACCGTGCGGCGCGGGGGCCATCTGCGACGTGGTGAACCACGTGCCCATCTGCCATTGCCCCGAGGGCATGGTCGGAGATGCCTTCGCCGCCTGCCGTCCAAAGCCAGCAGACCGTAAGTTCGCAGACTGGCGACCTGGCTCGCAAAATACATCATAGCCTGATTCGTGACAGCTTGTGCATGACGCCGCGTGATGTACCCGCGCTTCGGCGGCGAGCCGCGGTGCCACTGTTCCGATGAGACGCTGCCGGCCGCCGCGGGAGCCACCTGACCCGTGCTCGCCTCCGCAGCGGTGCGACCCGTGCAGCCGGCCAACCCGTGCGTGCCGACGCCGTGCGGCGTCAACGCCAACTGTCGTCTGCTGAGCGGCGTGGCCATGTGCGCCTGCCTGCCCGGCTACATCGGCGATCCGATGGAGCGCTGTCGCCACGAGTGCGTCACCGACTCCGAGTGCTTGGCCGACAAGGCGTGCATGGCCAACAAGTGCCGCGACCCGTGCGACGGCACGTGCGGCTACCGCGCCCAGTGTCGCGTGGTCAACCACCAGCCGCGTTGCACGTGCCCGCCCGGCTTCAGCGGCGACCCGTACCGCGGCTGCTATCCAGCACCAGGTGCGTGAGCCTGTCGACGGCGGCGACTCTGTGTCGGAGATGGAGGCTGTGCTGTACAACACATAGCCTTCCGGTTCTAAATCGCGTGCAGCGCACTGCGTTCTGTGGAAACGGCCTGTACAGGTTTTCTTTGGTGCGCTTGTTTGCTCCTGACGTTTTCAAGTTGCCAACTTGCACTCTGCCGTTGGCGCTCGGCTATGGCGGCACAGGAATGTCCAGGGATGGCGTGATAGCTCGACGCCGTTTTCAGAAATGCTCTCAACTGACCTGGTCGCTTGGTTTCAGTGACAGTGACGCCGGTGGGAGACCCGTGTCACCCGACCCCGTGCGGCCCGAACTCGGAGTGTCGCGAGCAGAACAACCGCGCCGCCTGCTCGTGCCTCAAGGGCTACGTGGGCTCGACGCCCAACTGTCGACCCGAGTGTGTGCTCAGCAGCGACTGTGCCCAGGACAAGGCGTGCATCGGCCAGAAGTGCCAGGACCCGTGCCCGGGCTTCTGCGGGACGAACGCCGTCTGCGACGTGCGCAACCACAACCCGGTCTGCTCGTGCCAGCCCGGCTACACCGGCGACGCCTACCGCTACTGCTCGCCCGTGCCTGAACGTAAGCCAGCCCTGGTTGGATTGGATTTGCATGGCTCATGTCACCCAGAAGTCATGGTGTTATTTTTCCTTGTTCTCTTTTAGTTTTTCAGAAAGGTCATGTGTAGCATTATCTGTCTGTTCGTATCTGCGGTGTTATTTATTTTCTCCATTGCTTCATTGCAGCTACACCGGCACCCGCTGAGCCACGGAACCCGTGTCAGCCGGGCAAGTGTGGCCAGAACGCCCAGTGTCGCATCCACAACGAGATCGGCGTGTGCAGCTGCCTGCCTGAGTACTTCGGCAATCCGTACGAGGCCTGCAAGCCGGAGTGCGAGGTCCACGCCGACTGCGATCGGTCCAAGGCCTGTGAGCGCAACAAGTGCGTGGACCCGTGCCCCGGCGTGTGCGGCTTCCGTGCCGACTGCCGGGTGCAGGCGCACGTTCCCAAGTGCTACTGCCCGGAGGGCTACCAGGGCGACCCGTTCACGGCGTGTCGACCGGTGCCGCCGCCGCAGGAGCCGGTCACCCGGCCGCCGGCGCCCACGCCCTGCTACCCGAACCCGTGTGGCCCGAACGCCGAGTGCAAGGACAAGAACGGCGCAGGCGTCTGCGCGTGCCTGCCGGGCTTCCCCAAGGGCGACCCGCTCTCCGGCTGCAGGCCCGAGTGCGTCGTCAACGAGGAGTGCGCGCAGTCGCAGGCGTGCGTGCGCCAGAAGTGCGCCGACCCGTGTCCGGGTGTGTGCGGCCAGAACGCGCGCTGCGCAGTGCGGAACCACAACCCGGTCTGCGAGTGCGAGGAGGGATACCGCGGCGATCCATTCTCAATTTGCCTGCCGAAACCAGGTGAGGGCGGGCTTCGGGCTAAGCTGGTGTCGGTGGTAGGTAGTTCTCGGCGGCGAGCTTCGCTTGCACTTCATCGTCGGTTATTTGAATTTGGAACAGAGCCCGTTCGGCCAGTGCCGACCATTTCAGGGCTATGGGACGAAGGAGAATGGTTAACGGTGGGGCATGACTAGATGCATCAGGGGACCCGAACGCTGACTCTTTGCCCACGGATAGACCCCTCTGCGGGGAGTGTGCTTGGCAGTCGGATTGGGGGGGGGGGGGGGGGCACCAGGGCGACTTCGGTCCACTCTTGGCTGGCGCGTGCACCCTGCCCTGGACAAGCGGGGCGTCGCGAGGACTCAGGTTAAAGCATGATAGATGATGAAAAAAGAAATCACATTATGTCATCATTTACGAGACCTTTGCTTTGGTTGATGGGCTAATGTGCCTCTTGTTCTCATTCCAGACGACACGCCCAAGCAGACATGCTATCCGACCCCGTGCGGCCCTTACTCGGAATGTCGGGAGATTAACGGCCGGCCGGCCTGCTCCTGCCTGCCCAACTACCTGGGCGACCCGCCCAACTGTCGGCCCGAGTGCGTGGTCAGCTCTGACTGTCCCAGCCACCTGGCCTGTCTCGGACAGAAGTGTGTCGACCCGTGCCCGGGAGTGTGCGGCCAGAACAGCCAGTGCCGCGTGCAGGATCACACGCCACTATGCCTCTGCCTCGTCGGCTACACGGGCAACCCGTTCGTGGCCTGCCGGCCGATACCAGGTACGGGACAAGGACTTGTTTTCCACCTTGACGGCTCGTTCTGCTGCAATCGATGTTCGGTTCAGGCCCGTAGACTCAATGAGACCCATTCTCGGCGTGCCACCAACGGACGCGTGCGTCTTTGTCGCATGGCATTTGCGGTCCATGAATATGCGTGTAACCTGAGTCGGCCCTCCAGTGACGGTTCTGCCGACTGCACCGAACGTCGGCAACCCGTGCAACCCGTCGCCGTGCGGATCGAACGCCGAGTGCGAAGAGCACAGTGGCCTGGGCGTCTGCAAGTGCGTGTCGGAATACTCTGGCGACCCGTACGCCGGCTGCCGGCCCGAGTGCGTGCTGGACGACGACTGTCCGCGCGACAAGCACTGCTCGCGCAACAAGTGCCGCGACCCGTGCCCGGGCATGTGCGGCCTCAACGCGGAGTGCCGTGTCATCAACCACATTCCGATGTGCTCCTGCCCGGCTGGCTACACTGGCAACGGATTCTCCCGCTGCTACCCCGTACCGCAGAGTAAGTGGACGCCGCCGCCGGTCGCTGGTCGCCAGTCGACTCGGGCCCCGTGTGCGAGTTTGGCTTTGTTTCTGTGGCTCCTTTCTGCATGCAAGAGCGTCTGTTGTCAGCACGCTGCTCGGCTCTGGTTGTTGAATGGTTGAGCCGGTCTGTTGTGGACGTCGTGGTCTGACCTTCGTTGTGTCGCCGTTCGCAGCGTCTGCGCCGACGATCCCGCCGCTCCTGCGCGACCCGTGCTACCCGAGCCCGTGCGGCACGTACGCCACGTGTCGCGCGACCAAGGGTGTGTCGGTCTGCGCGTGTCTGCCCGGCTACCAGGGCGACCCGACCGTGGCCTGCCGACCCGAATGCGTCGTGCCCGCTGAGTGCCCGCTCGACAGGACGTGCGTGCGCGAGAAGTGCATCGACCCGTGCCCGGGCACGTGCGGAGCCTACGCTCAGTGCGTGGTGCTCTCGCATAACCCCATCTGCACGTGTCCGGCTGGCTACACCGGGGATCCCTTCAGAGGCTGCTACCCGGAGCCCGGTGAGTGGAGGCCGGCCTAGCTTTGCAAAGGAGGTTCTCAGAATCTCCTTTCTTCTCAGAATCTCAGAAGTTCGGAAGTGCAAAGCCTCACCGGTGCTCAATGGTATTGTTGGGATGACGCGACTTCTAGATGTGCAAAGCTGTTCGCGTGTGGCTGCGATCGCCTTCACGCCGCCTTTGTGCCTCCGCAGAGCCGCCGCAGAGAGACAACCCGTGTGACCCGAACCCGTGCGGCGACGACGACGACGCGCTGTGCCGCGTGGTGAACGGCGCCGCCTTCTGCGCGCGGCCGGAGCCGACGCCGCAACCCGAGTGTGTCACCAACGACGACTGCGCGCGCCACCTGGCCTGCGCCAACTTCCACTGCCGTGACCCGTGCCCCGGCAGCTGCGGCGCCGGCGCGCGCTGCGACGTGGTCAACCACGTGCCGCGCTGCAGCTGTCCGGAGGGCACCACCGGCAACCCGATCCGCTTCTGCGCTCCGGTGGTGGCCACCAGTAAGCGCCCGGCCGTCCGCCCCGGAGACCGCACCGGTCCCGGCGGGGCGGGCCCCGACCCCTGTACCGTTCACGCATGCCTCGCACCGCCGCATCTTGTTCGCACGCACCGTGTATGTGTGTGTCACGCGCAGACGAGCGTGTGTGAGTCTACACTGCCAGCATGGTGGCGTCCGCCGGACGCGTTTGCATCGTGCTTGCATGCGTCTGCCGCCTGTCCTGAGCATGCTGCATGGGCGCCCGCCGGTGGCCGGAGCCTGACCGCGTGTCCCCCGTGTTTCAGCGCCTTCGCCGCAGCCGCAGAACCCGTGCCGGCCGTCGCCATGCGGCGAGAACGCTGAATGCAGCGCCCAAAACGGTCTGGGAATCTGCCGCTGCCTGTCGCTCTACACCGGCAATCCGTACGTCATCTGTCGGCCCGGCTGTCTGGACGACTCGAGCTGCTCCAACGCGCAGGCCTGCGTGCGCCAGAAGTGCGTCGACCCGTGCCCGGGCGCGTGCGGCCACAACGCCCAGTGCGAGGTGATCCGGCACCGGCCCAACTGCCGCTGCCTGCCGGGCTTCCAGGGCGACCCCTACTCGCCGACCGGCTGCCTCCTGGTGCCGGTGACGGCGCCCTCGGTGGCGGAGCAGCCTCGCGATCCGTGCCGCCCGTCACCGTGCGGCGACAACGCCATCTGTCGGCGCAAGGGTCCGACGGCCGCCTGCCTCTGCCGCGACGACTACCAGGGCGACCCGTACGTCGGCTGCCGGCCCGAGTGCGTGCTGAACGCCGACTGCGCGCCGCAGCTGGCCTGCATTCTGCAGAAGTGCCGCGACCCGTGCCAGTGCGGCCGCAACGCCGACTGCCAGGTGGTGAACCACGTGCCGTCCTGCATCTGCCAACAGGGCATGACCGGTGACCCGTACCGGCTCTGTCTTCCGGCTCCCAGTGAGTACCGCGACGCGCCCGAGCTAGGCGTATAAACTGGGCCGACTTTCCTGATGTCGGTCTCTGCGTTCGGTGTCTGTCGTGTTTAACGCAGCGAGTCGGGAACGACATTGTATCTCATTGTTACACAGTCAGATAAATACCAGCAGCGCTGTATTGCGGCCCTGGCTGCACCATTTCGGTGCGAGGCCGTCTGAAAAGTCAATATTTGTGCCGACAAACAAAACGCTGCAGCAGCTGTTCGTGTAACCTCCCCGACCCCCTTACGGCGGTCTGGTCGCGCCCGACAGCATGCTCTCGCCCGACAGCGTCGCCACCCGACCTGTGCAACCCGTCGCCGTGCGGCCGCGGCGCGCGCTGCGAGGCGAGCGGCAGCCAGGCCATCTGCTCGTGCCCGGCCGGCCTGTTCGGCTCGCCGTACGTCGAGTGCCGGCCCGAGTGCACGGTCGACTCGGACTGCTCCAACACGCGCGCCTGCGTGGCGCTGCGCTGCGTCGACCCGTGCGTCGGCCGGTGCGGCGTCGGCGCCGTCTGCGACGTCTACAGCCACCGGGCGCGCTGCTCCTGCCCGCCGCCCTACGTGGGCGACCCGTACGTGCAGTGTCGGCCGCCGCCAGTCCAGCCGACCGCGGCGCCGACGCCGCGGCCCGAGTGCGTCGCCGACGACGAGTGCGCGCTGACGCAAGCTTGCATCAGCCAGCGCTGCCAGGACCCGTGCGCGCTCTACCCGACCGTGTGCGCCAGCAATGCCGTCTGCCGCGTCATCCGGCACCGCCAGGTCTGCTCCTGTCCCGACCAGATGACCGGCAACCCTAACGTGCTCTGCTACGAGCTGGGCTGCCGCTCCGACGCCGAATGCCCTCTGTCGGAGGCCTGCATGCAGCGCCAGTGCCAGGACCCGTGCAAGTTCCTCGACTGCGCCCGCAACGCCCGCTGCCACGTCTCCAACCACCGCGCGCGCTGCGAGTGCCTGCCCGGCACGCTGGGCGATCCGTTCTCCGGCTGCCGGCGGCCCGAGTGCACCTCCGACCAGGAGTGCGCCTACTCGCACGTCTGTCGCGACGAGCGCTGCACGCCCGTGTGTGTCGACGCGTGCGGCACGCTGGCTGAGTGCCGCGCGCTGAACCACCGTGCCAGCTGCAGCTGCCCGCCCGGGTACACGGGCGACCCCAACACCGCCTGCAAGCCAGGTGAGTCCGCGTGGCCGGGCGCGCACCAGCCGCCGCGTCACGCTGCCTGATGGTTGGCTTTGAACGGTTACGTCATCCGACGGTGGGGTTCAAATCGTGGTGATATTTTGACGTGGCGCGTCGCTGTTCCCCGCGCCGCGGGTCTTCAGCGCTTCTGCGCGAGTGTGGTCCGCCCGCCGTTCGGCGACCCCGTGGCGCGCTCGCTCTGACAGACGCCCTGGCACCGACAGTGCCGGAGGTGGAGCAGCCTCGCGTCGAGTGCACCACCGACGCCGAGTGTCCGTCGCGACACGCCTGCATGAACACACGCTGCGTGGACCCGTGCCGGACGATCGAGCCATGCGGTCTGAACGCCCAGTGCCGCGTCATCGACAGCCTGCCGTCGCGCACCATGATCTGCCAGTGCCTGCCCGGCTTCGTCGGGGACCCGGATGTCGAGTGCCGAGCCCGTGAGTGTGCCGGCCCGGCCGCGTGCTGCGGCACGCTCGGGACAGCCGGACTGCCGCCGCCGCAGTCAGGCGCAGTCTCTCGTGGTCATATGCTGGCTCGGCTCTTGGCTGTAGAATTGCCGCGCAGAGTCAACGCGCAAGTTTTGTTGCGCATATGAGCGTGAGCCCAGCAACTTTTACTTGAGGAAGACGTGGTTGAGTCTTTCGTTTCCGTTTGTCACTCGTGAACTTGGAGCGCTAACCCCATGTTCTGTATGTTCGCAGGTGCTTAACTCGCTAACAACATGCGAATGAAGTAACGAACCTTGATCCTTCCCGTCATATCTCGCATGCTTGTGCACGAAGGATGTGCCTAATGATATTATTTTTCAGGTGCCTTTATCCTTCCCCCCCCCCCCGCCCCATTGCGTTGTGAGTTGACTCGAACGCTAACATCGCAACTCTGCTGTAACGTGCCCTAATCCTTACCACTGAGTCTCGCTTGTGTGCGTGCGCCGATATCAACAGACTAACGACGTTTCTCTTTCAGCATCCTTCATCCTGCCCACTCGATCCTGCGTTAACAACATGCCACAGCCGCGTCGCGCGTGTGTGCTCGCGTGCCTATGCTGCGTGTCCGCCGGGCCGACCTCTCGCGGGGCCGCTGCCGGCGCCGCCCGCCGCCTAACCGCGCTCCGTGTCGCAGCGCCGCCGCCGGCCGCCGGCTGCTCCTCCGACTCGGAGTGCGCGCCGACCGAGGCGTGCCGCAACCGGGCCTGCATCGACCCGTGCCGCCTGCTGAACCCGTGCGGCGAGAGCGCCGTCTGCCGCGTCGAGAACCACGCCCCGACCTGCAGCTGCCCCGACGACTGGCTCGGCAGTCCCTACGTCGCCTGCTACCAGGGTGAGTGTGCATGGCCGGCTGGGAGCGAGCTGGCGCCGCCAGGATGCCGCCGACGGTGGTGCCGGTGGTGCCCCCGGTGAAGGTGACGGCGGGGTGTCCGGGCCCGGGGTGCGCGACGTCGGATGAAGCTGCGTTTCTGTGCGGCGATCGGCGATGCCGGGCCGCAGTGTGATGCGGTGCTGGTCAGCCGGGTAACTCCTGTGAATAACGTAACCTCCCCTGGGTGCTAAGCTTGTAAGCATATACACACCTGCATAAATATGCTACTAAACTAATGAGCAATGCCGTTTGGCTCGTTGCTACGATGTACATAACACGTCCGCTTCGGTAATTACCATAAGTGATAGGAGCTGCATTAACCCTGCCATATAACACCGGCTTTGTGAACCGGCTCCGTAACCTGCCCCGCTCGCTGACGGTGCTGATAACGCTGTATAACACTGCTGGTGACGCTACACGGCCGGTGGTGAGCCCGCCTGGTGCTGGTGCGGGGCCCGGCGGCAGCCGACTAACTGGGCTCAAACGGCGCCGCAGCCATGTTCCGTCCCAGCCGACGGTGTGAGGGCGAGGGCGAGTGCAACGACATCGACTCGTGCTTGGACGACCGCTGCCAAAACCCCTGTCTGGTGGCCGACCCGTGCCCGGCGACGGCCAAGTGTCGGCCCTACAAGCACGTGCCCTACTGCCTGTGCCCGGCCGGCACCACGGGCGACCCCAATGTCAACTGCACGGCAGGTACAGACGAGCGGCGCGGGGTCGATGGGTGCTGACAGCGTGGGGCTCGGTGGGCCGTGGTGTACGCTGTCATCTGGTGTCGCCGGAGTTTCCAGATGCAGGCGAGGTCTGCCGTGAGTGATGACCCCGCGTCTCATCAGTCGGCGCCCGACGCTCCGATCGCCACTGACACGCCGTGCCGCATCCGCAGCCGATGAGGAGGAGCCCGAGTGCAAGCGTGACACGGACTGCGCCAGCGCCCAAGCCTGCCTGAACGAACGCTGCGTCGACCCGTGCGTGGCGGCCAACCCGTGCAGCCGCGATGCCAACTGCCGAGCGCAGAACCACCGCGCCTACTGCACGTGCCCGGTCGGCTACCTGGGCAACCCGCTCGTCAGCTGCTACCGACGTGAGTACCGCGCCGTCCGCGGCCACGCTAACACCGCCCTGCCCTCCTGCCCGCCGCCTCCCGCCCCGTCCGTAGCTAGAGACGGCATCCGCTAACGCTTCGCCTGCCGACGACCGACCGACGACACGGACCGAGGTGAGGCGACGACCGACCGCCAGTCCCGGCTTGTCGCCCGCGCGAACTCCCTCTGCCTGCAGGCTAACACCACTAACCACCAGCGGCGGCGCGCCGGGGCTGACGGCCGTCCTGCGTCTCGCCTGCAGCCGAGTGCACGCGCGACGAAGACTGCCCGCTGGACCGCGCCTGCCAGGCGGAGACGTGCGGCGACCCGTGCCGCGCCAGCTCGTGCGGCCGCCGCGCCGAGTGTCGCGTCACGCGGCATCGGGCGCAGTGCTTCTGCCCGCCCGGCACGCAGGGCAACCCGCTGCTGGCCTGCGTCGACGTCGGCTGTCGCGTCAACGACGACTGCGCCGACCACCAGCGCTGTGAGGCCAGCAGCGGAGCGTGCGTGGCCGTCTGCGACGGTGCCGCCTGCGCACCGAGCGCCACCTGCAAGGCCGAGGACCACCAGCCGCTCTGCACGTGCCCGCCCGGCACCACCGGCAACGCCTACTTCCAATGTGAAAAAGGTGAGGCCGCCAGTTGTTACTTCGTGGCGCACGTGCATCGTTTGCTGTGCGCATTTGCTAGGTTTGGAGGGTGACATGTTTCACAGCTGCCACACAGAACGCAAGTTGTGCATGTTTATTCAGTTTATTCTCTGTCGTCCCACACCTTTCACGCAGCTGGTTGCGGAAAGATACTGTTTCCACAGGTATGACGTCCAGCACGGGTTATACATATTTGTTCACAATTCATTTTCCGTCTGGCTTTTTTCGCACAACTCTTGTAAACTTCGGGAGCCCCACTTGAACATACAGAGCGCGTGGTGCCAAAATGTACATTTCATTCAATATTGCCAAATTAATGGAAGTTTGCCAAAAGTGTGGAGAAAATCGGGCACAGCCATGTGGTCAACATTCACCGGCCGCTCGTCTCACTTCTGCACCAACACCCGCTGCGACCCGCTCCGCCCTGCCTCCGCCGTCACCGTCGGCGCCCCGACACGCCACCCGCCAGCCACTGACCACCGTCCACGCCGCCTTCCAGACGAGCCGCGCGTGCCGAAGCCGGCGTGTGCCGTCGATACGGACTGTCCGTCGGGCCAGGCCTGCCTGCAGGAGCGCTGCCAGAACCCGTGCCTCGTGATGAACCCATGCCGTGGCGGTCAGCAGTGCAGCGTGCAGGACACCGCGCCCTTCCGCACCATGGTGTGCCGCTGCCCGGGCGAGATGCTGCTCGACAACTCAGGCCTGTGCCTGTCGCCGGCCATCGTCGAGCCCGAGTGCGCCGTCGACGTCGAGTGCGACGACTCGGAGCGGTGCCTGCGCGGCGCGTGCGTGCCCGTCTGCCGGCCCGACCCGTGCCAGGCCAACGCACTCTGCGAGCCGAAGTCGCACCGCGCCGTCTGCCGCTGCCCGCCCGGCTACGTCCAGGACCGCTACGGAAGCTGCGAGCGCGGTGAGTGCGTCGCGTCGACGTGGAAGGCGCACCTCGGGAGCTTGGACGTCCTTTGCGCTGTGGCGAGAGATCTGAAAGTAGAGGTTGCGGTGCATGGTTAGGTTATGAGCAAGATGACACTCTCGCGCAAGAGAACGCACCGCCTGTTCACCCACCGAGAGTGTTGCCACGCGTTCGCCACCGGCTTAGCGTTTTTCTGTTCTCGACACTAACAAGTCAGTCTTCGGTGATGAAAAACCAGCGTTTGTCCTGTCTCAATGTGCTGTCGACTTCAGGTCTGCTCTGAAAGCCTGACAGATCTGTCGGCCGGCGCCTGATCCGGACACGGTCTGCCAGGCCGCCCGGTGGTCCCCGCCGACCCCGCCTGTACCTGACGGCGGCCCCCTCCCCGCAGAGCGAACACCGACGGTGCAGCCTCCGCTCGTCAGACCGGGCTGCCTCTCCGACAGCGAGTGCAGCTTCGACTTGGCCTGCATCGACGAACGTTGCCAGAGCCCGTGTGCGGTGCGCAACCAGTGCGCACCTAACGCGCGCTGCGAGGTACGCAACCACGGCCCCATCTGCAGCTGCCCGGCCGGCTACGTGGGCAACGCGCTCATCCAGTGCGTGCCACAGCCGGAAAAGCCGACAGCCGTCGGCTGCCGCGGCAACGATGACTGCCCTGCCCAGCTCAGCTGCCAGAACGGCCAATGCCGCTCGCCCTGCAACTGCGGCGACAACGCCGACTGCAACGTCATCAACCACCGCGCCATCTGCTCCTGTCGCCAGGGCTACGACGGCAACGCGCAGACAGGCTGCTTCCAGGGTGAGTCGCGTGCCAGCGCCGGGTCCATTTCGTGAAGAAGTGCTTTGGGATGGCAGCGTGATTTTCAGTGGTCTCTTAAGCGGCTCGATGTTCGTCATTTGGAGAATACTGCCGTACCCGTAGCACTGCAAGCATACCAACTGTCGTGTCAACTTGAAAGCACGCGATGGATGGCTACGGCCTGAGACGTTTGGGATGCCTGACCCGGCGACACTCTGACCTGACTCGGTCTCGCCTGTATTGCAGTCGGCTGCCGGGACGACAGCGAGTGTCCGTCGTCGGCCGCCTGCATCAACCGGCAGTGCGTGGCTGTGTGCGCGGTGCGGAACCCGTGCGCGCTGAACGCCCGCTGCGCCGGCCAGAACCACGCGGCCGCCTGCTCCTGCCCGGAGGGCTTCCAGGGCGACCCGTACACCCGCTGCCAGCCGGTCGGCTGCCGCTCTGACGGCGAGTGCGCCCCGAGCCTGGCCTGCCTGAACCAGCGCTGCGTCGACCCGTGCCTGTTCCAGAGCTGCGGCTCCAACGCCGAGTGCCGCGTCACCAACCACCGCGCCCAGTGCGTCTGCCGGCCGGGCACCGAGGGCAACCCGCTGTTCGCGTGCCGCGTGCCCGAGCCGCCGACGGCGCGCACCTGCCAGCTGGACACCGACTGCGCTGCGCAGCTGGCCTGCATGTCGGGCCAGTGCGTGAACCCGTGCCTGGAGGTGCGGCCGTGCGGCCAGGGCGCGCGCTGCCTGGTGCTCGACACGGCACCGTACCGCACCATGGTCTGCCAGTGTCCGGCAGGCTACGAGGGAGACGCCTACCAAGGATGCCGACCCAGTAAGTGGCGGCCCGGCTCTGGGCCGGGATGGCGTATGGCTGGCGTCACAGACGCAGTGAGACAGACGGTTAGCGTCTGCTGCCGGTTGCTTTAGCGACTCGATGAGCCTTTCGCGTTCACCATCCGCGTGCATCCGGGCCAGATCAGCGTGTCACTGTCTCTGATTGGCTGCCCGGCTGCATGAGCCGCCGTCCAGTGTCGCTCGCCGCGTCCATGGGTCACGCTCTGACGGCGTCGCCCGTCCCCAGTCATCGTGGTCACACCGGAGGGCTGCGCCTCGGACAGCGAGTGCGCGCCCCGCGAGGCCTGCATCAACAGACGCTGCCGCGACCCGTGCAACTGCGGCGACAACGCTCGCTGTGACGTCATCAGCCACCGACCCATCTGCACGTGCAAACCCGGATACGAGGGCAACCCGCAAATCGCCTGTTTGGCGGGTAAGCACCGCGAATCGTCCGAGACTAGGATCTCTGATCTGGTTTTCCTTGCAGGGATGCACCACCGTTAAGAGCATTTCTTTCTGTTTTGATCATTGCTGCTCAGTCCACCTACCTTCGGAAGTTGTTTTCTATCTGTTTTGGTCAGTGCTATTCAGCCCTGACATGAGCTACACTAAGCAGATCCGGGTGCATGCCTCTGCACTTCGCAAGTCAATGCTTTCCTCACGCGTTCATCGTTGTCGAGCGGCCATTGCGATTATTGGTCGCTTCCCGATGCTGAGGTCGGCCCGTGCGGGGCGCTGGAACCAATCTGACGGCAGCACTCTCCGTCTGCAGTGGGCTGCCGCTCCGACAGCGAGTGCAGCAGCCGCGAGACCTGCTACAGCGGCAACTGCGTCAACCCGTGCCAGGTGCAGGACCCGTGCCTGCGCAACGCCGAATGCTACCCGGAGGCGCACCGCGCCCAGTGCCGCTGCCTGCCCGGCTTCGAGGGAGACGGCAAGCGACGCTGCTCGGCCGTCGGCTGCTCCTCGGACAGCGAGTGCCCGGCCGACAAGGCGTGCTACAGCCGCCAGTGCGTGAGCCCGTGCGTGTTCCAGAACCCGTGCGGCCCGGGCGCCGACTGCTTCGTGGCGCAGCACCGCGCTGAGTGCCAGTGCCGGCCGGGGCTGGTCGGCAACCCGCTGATCCGCTGCGTGGAGGAGCCGCGCCGCGAGTGCACCGTCGACACCGAGTGCGGCCGCCGGCTGGCGTGCGTGGCCGAGCGCTGCGTCGAGCCGTGCGGCGCCATCGAGCCGTGCGACGACTCGGCGCGGTGCTCCGTGGTCGACACGGCGCCCATGCGCACCATGGTGTGCCGCTGTCCCGTCAACATGGTGCCCGACAACGCCGGCGGCTGCACGCCCATCCAGGTGGCGGGCACAGTGGGTTGCGCGGCCAACTCCGACTGTCCGTCCGAGCAGGCGTGCGTCAACAACCAGTGCCGCGACCCGTGCGACTGCGGCCCCAACGCCGACTGCCGCGTCGTCAACAACCGCGCCATCTGCTCGTGCCGCGCCGGCTACTCGGGCAACCCGAACGTCTTCTGCTCGGAGGTGGGCTGCACGTCCGACAGCGCGTGCCGCTCCGACGAGGCCTGCCTGAACGGCGAGTGCGTCAACCCGTGCGTGTACCGGGACCCGTGCGCCATCTCGGCGCAGTGCTACGCGCAGGAGCACCGAGCCAACTGCCGCTGCCCGGCCGGCATGGAGGGTGATCCGTTCGTCACCTGCCGCCCGGTCGGCTGCAGCTCCGACTCCGAATGCTCGCAGACCCAGGCCTGCGTGAGCCGGCAGTGCGTGGACGTGTGTCTGCTGGAGACGCGCTGCGCGCCGACGGCCGAGTGTGTGGCGCAGCGCCACCAGGCCGTCTGCCGCTGCCCGGTCCACATGCCGCTGGGCAACCCTCACTTCAGCTGCCTGCCGCGTCTGCCGCCGATCGCCGCCGAGCCCGAGTGCCGCCAGGACCGCGACTGCGGGCCGCAGCTGGGCTGCGTCGCCGAGATCTGCCAGAATCCGTGCGCCGTGCTCTCGCCGTGCCACGCGTCGGCCGAGTGCCGGGTGGTGGACGTGCTGCCCGTGCGCTCCATGGTGTGCGTCTGCCGGCCGGGCTTCGTGCCGGAGCGAGACGGCGTGTGCCGCGCCGTGGTCGTGCCCTCGCCGCCCGGCTGCACGGCCGACTCCGACTGCCCCAGCAACGAGGCCTGCTTCAACCGCCAGTGCCGCTCGCCCTGCAACTGCGGCGAGAACGCCGACTGCAACGTCGTCCACCACCGCGCCGTCTGCTCCTGTCGCCAGGGCTACGACGGCAACGCCAACATCGCCTGCCGTCCGGTGGGCTGCCGCGGTAACTCCGAGTGCCCCAGCGACCAGGCGTGCGTCAACAGCGAGTGCGTCAACCCGTGCCTGGTGCGCAACGGCTGCGGCATCAACGCCGAGTGCTACGTGCGCGGCCACAACGCGCTGTGCCGCTGCCTGCCCGGCTACGAGGGCGACCCGCAGGGCCGCTGCCTGATCGCCGGCTGCCGCAGCAACGACGACTGCCCCGACAGCCAGGCCTGCATGAACCGGCAGTGCGTGAACCCGTGCCTGCACGAGCGGCCGTGCGCGCCTCGCGCCGAATGCCGCGTGTTCTCGCACCGCGCCGAGTGCCGCTGCCCGCCCGGCTACGCCGGCAACCCGCTGATTGCCTGCGTGCTGGAGCCGCAGCCGGAGTGCCGGCGCGACGCCGACTGCGCCTCGCGGCTCGGCCTGCATCGACGCCAAGTGCGTGAGCCCGTGCCGCGCCGAGGACCCGTGCGGGCCGGCCGTCGAGTGCCGCGTGGTCGACTCGCTGCCGGTGCGCTCGATGACGTGCGTCTGCCCGGACGGCTACGTCGGCGGACCGGAGCGCACGTGCCGTCCGCTGACGGCCGTCACCATCGGCTGCCGCGCCGACGACGAGTGCGGCGCGCGCGAGGCCTGCATCAACGCCATCTGCCGCACGCCCTGCCAGTGCGGCGCCAACGCCGACTGCCAGCTGCTGGAGCACAAGCCGATCTGCGTGTGCCGGCCCGGCTACGAGGGCAACCCCAACCTGGGCTGCCACGAGGTGGGCTGCCGCAGCAACGAGCACTGCCCCGGCACGCACGCCTGCGTCAACGGCCAGTGCGAGGCCGTGTGCGACGAGCGGAAGCAGCCGTGCGGCGAGAACGCCGTCTGCGAGGCGGTTGACCACGAGCCGCAGTGCTCGTGCAAGCCGGGCACGCAGGGCGACCCGCGCTCCGTGTGCGCCGCCATCGGCTGCGCCGACAACTCCGAGTGCCCGCCGGAGGCGGCCTGCGTCAACGCCAAGTGCGTGGACCCGTGCGGCCTGAACCCGTGCGTCGAGCCGGCCCAGTGCAAGGTGTTCGACAACCAGCCGACCTGCGTCTGCCCGCCCGGCTACGAAGGCACCCCGGAGGACGGCTGCGACGAGAGTAAGTATCCGGCCGGGTGGACGAGACGCCCGGCCGAATCAGCTGGGGTCACTTTTTTATTAAAGTTCACTTCAGTCATATGCGTAGCATGTTGGTTTCTATTCAGAACAAATGCAATCAAACGGAGCGAAGGCTACGATAATTTCATTTGCCGTTAGATGCATCACTCCAGTCCGATTCGAGTCTTCCCCGGAAGCAGAGGCGGCAGTTAGCTAGTCGCCACCGTCGCGCCGGCATCACGCCGTCCGCTGTCACCGGCGGCGGGGGCGCTCCTCCGCCCACCGTCCCGACTGACCTGCGCCACTCCGCGCCGGAATCACGCCGTCCGCTGTTACCAGCGGCGGCGGCGCTCCTCCGACCACCGTCCCGACTGACCTGCGCCACTCCGCACCGCCAGTTGTCGTCGGCTGCCGCTCCGACTCGGAGTGCCCCGCCGGCCTGGCCTGCATCAACGAGAAGTGCGACAACCCGTGCGAGAAGTTCGAGCCCTGCAATGACAACGCCCGCTGTGAGGTGGTCAACACGGAGCCGGTGCGCACCATGAGCTGCGAGTGCCTGCCCGGCTACCGTGGCAACGCCACCGACGAGTGTCTGCCCAGTAAGTTTGCCCCGGCCGCGGCGCGTTCTGCTGGCAGGCAGCAGAGCTTTTGGGGAGAGGGGGAACAAAGCCTAAGTATTTTTTGTTTTAACTCTGATGTTAGTGCGCGGGTTTTGACGCTTTTTAAATCCGGTGGTGGTTTCCTTCTAGCTTGTTGTGGTGCATGCCTGGGTTTGTAGTTGAGCTTAATGCTTTTAAGGCAAAAGTAGTTTGCGCTCCGATTGCCCGCGGGAGAATTCCATGATGTATATACCCTTGGCTCGCTGCATGTGTTGTACTCTACATAGCAATCGTCTTTTATTAACAAATCACTCTGATTGCTTCTAATATATGCTTGAAGAAGCTGGTGGTCGCTGTGGCGCTTATCGATGTTGTCTGACCGACCGGTTTGGGAGCTTTTCCGCTTTGTTGTGGTACAAAATACAAACGGGCAACCGTGAAATGCCGCATGTTAACCGGAACCTTCTATTGCAGGCATTGCCGTCTCTAACTACATCCTTTATCCTCGTGCAGTTGTGTAATGATAATGTTATCCACTGGCACGAAAACCTCAACCAAAATTGTGTTCATTTGATTTTGTTTGGTGTGTATGGATGCATAATGTGCAGCACGCATGAATGGACGAATAGTATTGCACATCTGCATATTCTCAAACGCTTTAAGGGCTGCAGCGTTGAAAGGGAAGGCCATGGGATGCCTGATCATCTCTAACTGGATGCTGAGGTCATGTCGTATGCTGCAGTACTTATCCAGTATCCTAACAAGCGATTCAATCCCTAGTAACTGATAACAAATATAATTAGACAATAGTTGGTTGGTGATTAGATTGGTCATCGGCGAGCCGACTGTCGCGACCCTCGATCAAGGCGAGCCGGTCGCACTGGGTGGGTTACGGCGTGCGCACGGTCGCACTGGGTGGGTGATGGTGTGCGCCGGTCGCACTGGGTGGGTGATGGCGTGCGCACGGTCGCACTGGGTGGGTGATGGCGTGCGCCGGTGCGTCTCTAACGCGCCGCGATGACCGCAGTCGCGGCCTGCCCGACGGACCGCGGCTTCGTGGTCGGCGCCGACGACCAGTGCATCTGCCCGCCGACGTACGCCGTCGGCGAGGACGGCTACTGCGCGCCCTGCGACGAGGACCTCGGCTACAAGATCGACGACGACGGCCACTGCGTCTGCGCCCTGGAGCGTGGCATGGTCATCGACGTCAACGGCAACTGCGGCTGCCCGGAGACATTCATCATGCTCAACGGCATCTGCAGTGAGTGTGGCTACCGGCCGCCGTACCGCGCGCCGAGTGGCGAGCGCTCAGAGCTTTCTATGGTCATCGGACGCCTTTGCTCGGCTAATTGTTCTTATCCATGGCAGCATGAGGGGTCCCATGGCCGGCCCACCATGTGTGATTTCACCGGAGTACGTGAAAATGGCCGGACGCCGCTGAGCTGAGCCGCTTGTCCGCATCTGCATCAGGGGTCCGGGTACATGTCACAGCCGCGAGAGGGCCTCAGTCGCCTCTGCGCGCGTCACCCCCGCCAGCAGCCATGGTCCGCGACACGTGGCCCACTCGTGACGCTGACCTGCCCCCCCCCCCCTCCACAGCCGGTGCCGTGACCTCCGAGCCGCCGCGCGAGTGTGAGGTGGACGACGACTGCCCGATGGACAAGTACTGCGAGCGCACCACCAAGACCTGCAACGACCCGTGCGCCTTCGAGCCGTGCGGCGTCAACGCGTTCTGCGCGGGCGTCAACCACGAGCCGCTGTGCCGCTGCATCCCGGGCCACACGGGCGACGCGTACAACGAGTGTCGCAGACCGCGCACCGACATCCCGTCTCCCAACATGGTGGTGAACTGCCTGCACGACGGCGTCCAGGTGGACATCAACGTGGGCGACCCGCAGTTCAACGGGCTTATGTACGTCAAGGGGTACTCGCAGAACCAGGAGTGCCGCAAGACGCTCGGCTCGGACAAGACAGGACAGAGCGTGGACTTCAAGGTCATGTTTAACACGTGCGGTCTGATCCACGTGGACGGCGAGGCAGACTTCGTGCTGGTGATCCAGAAGCACCCGAAGCTGGTCACCGCCAAGGCACTGGCCTACCAGGTGAGACAGCGTGCCGCTGGTGAAGGGGACACCCAGAGACTTGAGTGGTCGCTGAGCGTCCCGGGGGTGGGAATGGGCCTCTTAGCGTCCCCGGGAGTGCGCGTGGGTCAAGACTTCGCAGCGAACGCGTGGGACCTGGTTTGATCAGGCGACGCTATTCATGTAACAGCTTCAGTGGCTGTCACTACGGGCTGATGTGGGATGCAGCGGTCGTTACATTAATGCTGACCGGGTGACCACATGAGTGGCAGCCTGGGACACCCTTTGAAGGCTGGAACTGTCGATGCCCGTGCCGCTCTGACCCACCCCGCCTCGCCGCCGCAGGTCCGCTGCGTCTACAAGACCGGCGAGAAGACCATCAACATCGGCTTCAACGTGTCGATGCTGACGACGGCCGGCACCATCGCCAACACCGGCCCGCCGCCTACCTGCACCATGTCCATCTGCACCAGCGACGGCGAGGAGATCAGCACGGCCAAGATCGGCGACCAGCTTATGCTCAAGGTGGACGTGGACCCGAAGGATATCTACGGCGGCTTCGCGCGCAACTGCATTGCCACCACCGTCGACGAGGAGGAGGAGAACGAGTACCTGGTGACCGATGAGAACGGCTGCGCCACCGACCCGTCCATCTTCGGCGAGTGGGCCTTCGACCGCCAGAACAACCAGCTCAAGGCCATCTTCAACGCCTTCAAGTTCCCGTCGTCCAACAACATCAAGTTCCGGTGCAACGTGCGCGTCTGCTTCGGCCGCTGCCAGCCGGTCAACTGCAACGGGCTGGACGCGTTCGGCCGGCGCCGGCGCCGCTCGCCGATCACGGATGAGCAGGAGGCGGTGATCCGCCAGTCGGACAGCCACTTCCCGGGGCAGCTGCGCGAGGAGATCGTCGTGCAGAGCAGCCCGATCCTGACCTTCGAGCAGAAGGAGCCCACCGAGAACCGATTCGTCGACCCCGAAGGTAGGTCCGAGCGCCGGTCCCGCAGCGAGCAGGCAGACAGCCGGTCACTGCTGGCGCTGAATGGGCCGCGTTTGTCGTGGCCTGCTCGCGTTGTGTGCATATTTCTGTTCGGTGGTCACGCTGAACGCTGTCGCTGTGTGCTGCGCCAGTGCTCCTGCGCGGCTGCGCCACCGGGACCGCACGTGACGCCTGACCGTGTGCCGCCAGATCCGACCGTGCAGCAGGCGGGCCTGGGCCCAGACGAGATCTGCGTCAGCAAGCTGGGCTTCATCATCGCGCTGATCATCACGGCGCTGCTGGCGCTGGTCGCCGTGGCTATCGCCATCAGCTGCTGGCTGATGGCCTACCGGCGCCGGCGCAAGGTGGACGGCCCGCTGCCGCATCCGCCTGAGTTCCCGAACCCGCTCTACACGACGCCAGAACCGCTGGCCGAACCCAGCCCCGACTACCAGAGCTGAGCGGCGCACGTCGCCCGCTCAGCACGCATTGTGATATACCACGCGCGGCCGGGGGCCGAGTGAACGGCGACCGGGGGGAGTGCGTGCGACAGAGGGCGCCGCCACACGAGACGACGGGCGCGGACAGTATTACGGCGCCGCGTGAAGTGTGCTGCGTCCGACACCCCGGCGCTTTTTACCTGTGACTGCCAAATATGCCCCCGGTCATGTCATGTGCTTTTTTGAAGTGTGTCCTCGCCTGATATTGACCAAATCATCTATCACACATCCTCTGCTCCACACCTGTGTAGGACAACGCTTGCACCGCTCTGGTACGTGTAAAGAGTAAATGGACCGAGAACACGGCGTCCGCTTGAAATTCTCCGGCGACGCGAGCGCCGACGGCGGTTCGACTTGGGGAAGTTCCGCCACCGGCCGCACCGGCCGGGAGGCGCCAGCATCGCCGGGCCAATTTTGACCGGCGCCACCCGAAGGAGGGATAGACAGAGTTCAGAGAGCGAGCGAGCGAGCGAAAGTGATGCGCGCTATTGTTGTTTGTGGGAGACCAGTTGTTATATGAATCCGTCCTCTCTCCCGATATGCGACGCGTTCTCTATCGAGGTCCGTTAGACTCGAACACTGGCTCTATTAACTGTTCTCTCGCCAGTGGACACACCAGTGACAGAAACATACAAGCCTAGTGCATTCTGTGCTCTGTCTGCCATTCACAAACATACGTACTACGCGCTACCAGTCTATGCTCCGGCGTTAATGCGTAAACCAGGTGTGATTCTCGTCTTCGTCTAACAAATAGTCCGCCAATTAACCTCGAACGCTGTCTGTGTAAAATATTTAATTTTGTAATTGTTTTGGTCAATAAATTTTAATAATAATAAGATGATCGTGTTGGTGGGCGTAGAAGGGAGGACTGTATTATGATCACACACCTGTACTGCCGGTTACGTGCGACCAAATCGTAGTGCGCCTGTCCGTTTGACGAACGGACTCACATATCGTGTGCGTCAGTTTTTACCTCCGGTTCCCAAGACAACATGGCCGAATTTCGGTTTACGAGACAACATGGCTGAATCTCGGTCTACAAGACAGCGGCGCTAAATGTCACCAGGCCAGAGACCTCCACGCAAAGAGCAAGGCCATCAATTTGGAGATTAGAGCGTACATTAGATATAAAGCGTAGATAGACATAGATTAGAGCGAGCGAAAGTGATGCGCGCTATCATTTTTTTGTGGGAGACCAGTCGTTATATGATCCGTCCTCATCATATAACACCCAGCCCTTGTCTGATGAGCAGAAGATGGGGACCGTCCTCATAGTTTTTATTAAGTGCTGAACGGTTTTGAGAACGGTGTCGAAATTTTGGGTACTTGGATTTACACCATTTTGACACATGCACGATTCTTAAATTTCTGATTTTCGTAAATTTCTTATTCTAAAATTTTCGAGCATTTCATCATCAAATAAAAAGTCACAGATGGCGTCTATTTCTCTTAGGAAAGGCGCCCCAAACAGATATCCCCAAAGCTTTAGTCTTATCAAAACGGCTGTAAAATACATTAGCTGTCGCCGGCTGGGCGCATGATCTAAGTAGTAATTGGCTGTGCGTCTCCGAGTGATCAGTCACCAAGGTCACGCGACTGCGAGTGATGTCACCAACGTCGCGCGGCTCCGAGTGATCAGTCACCAACGTCGAGCGACTCAGAGTGATCAGTCACCAACGTCACGCGACTGCGAGTGATCAGTCACCAACGTTGCACAGTGACGCGGCCAACAGTCGGTCCAGAAATCCGCAAGAGGTGAACATGGGCTCAGAAAACTAACCGCTCACAACGGAATGCTGCGAAATGGAGGCGGTCGTCTCTGAAGCACAGCTCGCACAGCAACAGCTCGCAGCAACGACACACGAGAGTTGAACCCTGCAGTCGTACCAAACATATTTTAAAAGTCTGGCAGCACGAGACGGCGCGGGAACTCAGCCGGGCCCCAAGGCGGTAAGCAGACTGTGTGAAATAAAATGCATCAAGACAATCAGAAGTTATGAGATGCCCCTAACCAACAAAAGCGCATTATAGTTCCCTGATTCACGCTCTGGGAGAGCATTTTCGCGACCAAAGACAAACTGGCCGGTGAGCGTGTGAAAAAGTGAAACGAGCATCCAAGTGGTCCCAGTCCCAATAGAGCCAGAGCCCTCCACGCAAAGAGCAAAGCCATTGATTTAGAGAGTAAGAAAGCGAGCGAAAGTGATGCGCGCTACTGTTCTTTGCAGCTGGCGAAAGTGAGCAGAGGTCGAAACGTCCGCGCGTTATGTTCCTGTGGCACCGAAGAATCGGGAAAGCGCCAACCCAGCCGTGCACGACGTGCTGTTCCTGCTGGACAAGGTGGAGATTTCTATCGATGGCGTGCCGAGCGAGAAAGGCCGTTTAATAATTGAATAATCTAATAAAAGATAAAAAAGTGAAGCATGAACGTCATGCAAAACGTGATGCCCTAACATCTATTCACAAAACAAAACAGCAGCAAAACGTGTATCATGGTGAGGTGCTTGATGCCCACCGTCGTCACACCCGCGAAAACGGACGTCGGAGGTCAGAGGTCAAAGTCATGCAAAACGCCGTATTCAGGAATTGATTTTTTTATTAGAGAAATCCAACTAAATCAATGTAATAGTGAAGCTTGTGATGTTCATTTCCGTTACACCTACACAAACTAAATATCAAGATCAAGCGTAAAGGTCTTTTAAGACGAGCGTACCCTGGCATTTTTCCGTTACAGAGAAATCGCAATGGTGAGAGTATGATGTTGATGCTTGTGATAGCCGCCTTCGTACACTGAGTTGTACATACTTTAGTTGTAATGAGATTCGGGCGTGGATAAATTCGGGCGAACGTTCCACGTCGGGCGTAACGCGGCTTGCATGGATATGCACGACCTGTGTAGCTGTCATGTCCAGCGGGTGTTGCGCTCATACTTTTTATGTGCGCATCGATCAATGAGAACGATGCAAATTGGAAAGGTTGGTTCCAAATTGTATCGAAAGGACCTCGTGCTGTGATGTCATACAGTCAACTTTTCGAAATGAAGGGCCTGTCACTTTGCGGCCCTATGCCGGCCGCCGTCTACCAGCCTCACATGACCGCCCCGGGGGGCCGTCGGCCGAGTGACGTCACTCTCGGGCGCCGAGTGGGTTATACGCGGCCGCAAAAATTATACCCGTCAAGTCCTGGGCGTCTGGCAAACAGGCCATTCAGATCCGTAAAATCTGTCCTGCCTCAAACAACGCACGCCATCCGTAACGTAATTACATACTTCCCGCAAGTCATCATCGGCACCTCACCAACCAAGGCTTGCATCGCATAGCTGCCGTATCACAAGCGATTTCTCGCTTCTTGATTGGCTGAACCTGAAAGCCCGGCCATCGCGTCATGTCGCATTGCTTCTCATTGCTTAATAATGACGAGATATCACAATTTTTAGCGCGTGGTTATCACTGTTTCCGTTCGAAAAAAGCATAAAAGGAGAACCGTTACCGCGCTTGCCCATACATTCACTCGACTTCGACAAAACATTGCTGTTGGTTGTGTGCGTGGACAACGGCGTAGAGAGGGCATTCGTGTGAGTTTCTGGCAAATAAAAGCCCTAAACTTACCAAATATGCTCGCCTGACTCACAAGCATTGGCACGAGCTACACCTGTATCGTCATTGGTCCAACCAGCAAGCAAACGGACGCCTGCTTGTTTAGACAGCGAATGTATTCATTGGTCCACCAGCCCTTGGACTTTGCCGCTCAGATCATCGACCACGCGTTCCAATGCAACAAAGGATTCAACAATCTCATCACAACAATGACCGACCGCTTCCCTGCCACCAAGCAGGGAAGTGGTCACGGGCGCAGTGAGCGTGAGGGTTTGGGGAACGCACCCCGGGGTGTAGTTTCACATTCAATCGAACGGGCTCCGATCACCTCACCCGCAACTGAGCCGCCAGCCTCCAGAGTCGTCCGAAATGTATTATGCTCTGTTTATCGTAAGAAAGAACGGAATTAAAGCTGGTCAATCAATTCGTCACGAGCATCACGCTGAATTTTTTTTTCAAACAACAAAATTGGTCGGAAGGCCTGCAGGACAGCACTGCGGATCTCTCGAAGCAATAGCAGTTTTGGATGTTTGCATTGCTTGCAGCAACTTCATGTTTATATTGTTGGTCGAAATATATATATATATATATATATATATATATATATATATCTATTGGCGCTGGGGTTATTTTCGTTGGCAATTATTTTCACGTTCTAAATTCATTGCCTGCCTTTGAAGCAAGTTATGCTATACTTTCATTCGGTAATTGCTCCAAACTGGTGCTGTTTCATGAATAACGTGGGAAAATCCCAAACACAGAAATTTAATTCGCTTAGTTCCATTGAAGGTATTCAACAAAACGCTGAACATTCAGCTGCAGACATATGCACAATACATCCAGCTTAAACACCCCACACATAACTACATGCCACATCCACGTAAACGCTACGAAGCCGGCTGAAAAGAACGAAACGGAAAAACTTCTCATGATCGATGTGTCATACTGTTCTCATTCATCGTTGTCGCTGCCAGAGTCGGTGCCGAAGTCGCTGCTATCATCGGTTGTTACGACACCCGGTGGGAGATCTTCCAGCAGCCCGTCATTCGTCCAGTACTGCTGCTCCAGCCTTTTGACGTGTTCACAGCACTTACTCCAGTCCTCTGGAGAGACAGCTGCGACACCTGCCTCCACCAGCCGTTCTACCTCCGCCATCCGCCTCGTCAAGTTACCCTGTCTTATCACGCGCTTCATCTGTGCCCACACTAACTCTATCGGGTTCAAGTCGCAGCGACACGGCGGCAGGCGAACGATCCGATGACCATGATCTCTAGCAAGGTTGTCCAGAAAATATTCCTTCTTCCGGTTCTGGGACTTGACTAGCTCCAGCAGCTCCACCTTCCGCGTGCCTTCGTCGATGGTCACACCTGCCTGCTGCAACCACTCCTGGATTTCCGCTTTACGCCAGCTAGGAGTTGGCACTTTTTGGCACAAGCGGGAATGATATGAGGCATTATAATGATGATCACAGAGTGCTCTGGCACGTTCGGAAGCAGGCACTCGGTGAACCACTTCTCGTAGCAGTCGGCGTTCATCGACATATGGTAGTCGGCGTTCTCGCCATCGGTCCTGGGGTGGAGAAGTGCGCCCGGTATAAATCCTTTTGAAGAGCCGGTATGGACTATGATAAAACGTTTTCCTTTTCCAATGGCGTTCTTCCGTCCGTTGATTTGACTACCGTCCAGCCACGCCAAGTCCTCCATATCGTACTGATTATGCCATGTCTCGTCGGTATAAATGATTTTGCTATCGGGAACTTCTCTACGCAGCCTCCTCATCTCCCGCAAGAACTGGCATCTCGTTGCTGCAATATGAGGTTTCTCGATCAGGATCTTGCGCTTGTCGATCCTTCGGTACTTAAATCCGTTCGCGAGTAGGTGTTTTCTTGCGGTGGATCTAGACATGGTGACGCCGAGCTGTTCGTGAAGAGCCTCCGTGATGGTGTCCAGAGTAACATGTTTTCCGTCGATGTACATTTGGTGTACCATCCTCCCCATCGCGCAAACATCGAACGGATCTAGATCTACCTTTGGTCTTGCTGCAGCTGGTCAGGATCGGCTTGGCGACTTCAGTCAGGCACCATTCTGGGCTTCACGTTGTATGCGGTAGACTGTAGTCTTCCCAACGCCCGTTACAGCTGCTGTTCTTAATAATGGACTCTCCCGGACGGCGTCGTCGTCTCCCGCCTTCAAATTCATGTCCCGGTCTTCACACGCTATAAACAATTTCCCTCCTTTGTGCCCCTCCAGACGCTGGATTAGATTTTTCATTCATTGGTAAGTAGGTACTAAAACATAAAAGATATAAAAAGGCAATGAAATATACAAGAAAAAAAATATAAAAACTTTTCACTGTGTAAAATATTACCGCAACACCAAAGCGACGCCGGTCATGATGCCGGTAATTTTGGGGGCTACAGCACACTCGAATAATGACCCACGCGCAAAAAAACGTGCAAAACCGTTGGCAGCACTTTAATTCCGTTCTTTCTTACGATAAACAAAATAGTTACATCCATGGGCCCAAGTGAGCCCCGCATGGAAATGGAGCTAGCTTCAGTCATTTTTCCTGACTTAGATAGGCCTGGCTCCTCACCAGCTCTTGCAAAACTACGCCACCAGCGCGCTCCCCTGTTCACGCCCTTGAAGGTCAGACCACGCCGGGCCGGTCCCTGCCGTGGCCGCTGCGGACCGGACAACGAAGCTTCGGTCCGGCAACAGAGGGATGCGGCCGGAGGAGCGGTGTGCGGACGACACGGGACGGCGCGTTCGCCTGACTCGTCTGGTTTCGGCCCTCTGACCACCCTCTGTCCGCTACCCCACCCCCTCATATCGCTCTCGGAGTGCACAGAAGCTGGTTCGCTCCAGCCGAAGGCGGCCGGACGGCAAGCCGCGCCACCGGCCTGCACGTGTGGCGGGGCGATGGTCCCCAACGCCGCGGGGGTGGCGCAGCCGAAGAAGAGGCCGCCTAACAACAGTCCGGCTGTTAGGCGACAGTCCGCGGACTCCTGGGTTCGGCCGGACACTTCCCAGCCATCAGTGCATCGTCCACAGCACATGCATGCGCTCAGTACCGCTTGACAGTGTATTGTAAAAATTATCCCAGATTCAACAGATTAGGGAGATACCACTGCCCAAACTGGCGTAAAAGTACGTATAAATATTCAACAAGAGAGCGCTAGCAGATCTATCACGTCATCGCTTCTTCTTGCCCTTCTTCTGCTCAGTGCTGTGCGCTCCTGCTGCCTTACTATCCTTTAGCACGGCATGGCCAGTCTTTTTCAAGTGATCAAACAGTTTGTTCTTAGACTGAAACTCAGAACGGCAAACCTGACACATTATTTCGTTTGCTTTGTCCTCTTCTTCTGGTGCCACCTACAAAAGGACACATGCGGTTAGACAAAACCCTTACTCTGACTCAGTCACTACACATTTTTGTTAAAGCCCCGAGACAACAAACGGCGACAAAAACTGGGAATAACGGTCATGACAGCGGCAAAGGCACTGCTCAACGGGCAGTCAACACATTGAGGATATCTACGAAGACAAATCAATCGCCAGCGCAGCACACGCGCTGATGACAACCAACCACCGGTGCCGGCGGTACGAACACTGCTGTTGACCTCACCGTCTGCTGGTGCTGCTGCTGTTGTTCAGCACGCGCCTTCTTCCTGGCGTCCTTGGCCTTCTTGCCCTTCAGTTTGGGCGGCGCAGGGCCGGGGCCGGGGCCGGCGCTGGCGGTGTCCGTCGGCTGGGGCGACTCCTGCAGCCGGAGCGCCGCCACGGCCGCCGCCGCCTCGCCGTCGGAACTCGGCCCCGCCTCGCCGGCGTCGGCTGGCTCCAGAGTCGCGGCCGGCCGCCGCCGCTTCTTGCGGGTCCTCCGGCTGGCTGCCGGCAGCGGGCTGCCGCCTGCCAGGCGCGCTACGCGTTAGCGGTCGGCAGGCGGGAACGGACGCGTCTCGGTCGGGCACGAGCGCGACAGATGTCTTGCATTCGACTAGCGGTTTACCAAGATAGTGCGCACCATGTCATTTGTTCCTTCATCTGACCCATCCTTTTCCTGGCCTGTTCTGTGTGGCATTGGTATCGGATCGCAATACCAACATGAGGTGAATGAACAGCTAAATGGACATGATTTACCCTCAATCCTACAGAACGGAATCCAGAACTAGATCCCTTAGCTAGGCTAACAGCCATAACTTCTGGCCGTCTTTCCACTGGGCGAAGACAGGAATGAAATAGATCAACACCTGGCACACGAACCGATTTGCGCATATCACCACCAAATCGTAATGCAAATTCCATTGTAACGGCCAACAGCGGGCGTGCTTAAACAATACCAATCTGGTCTAACCATTACGTCAGGGGCATTACGTTCCACAGCATGAGCCATATCTGGAACCACGCCAGGGTGGCAGTCGAAAGCTTCTTAGCACCGTGAAACTACACAAGACACGTCGTGGATGACTACCAAACTACAATGACAACACCGTGACAATGTGACACTCAGCACGGCAAGAACACAATCAAACTGAGCCTGGCTACACCTCTTTCATGAAACTTCACGTCCAAACTCTTGCCAGTGAGATGTCCTTTGCGTTTCAATGATTGGCCAAAACATGCTTAGGATCCAGACAATGCCCTTGCGGATGGTCACGCATATGCGCACATACCACAGAGCACAGCGCACATTTGTCCTCACTTGAGTCCGTGCTCTCTCCAATACTCTTCGTGTCGGTAGCGGGTAGTTCTCCATTCATGAGTTCGTCCTCTTCTAGCATGACCTCCTTGAGGCGTGCAAGGTTCTCCCGGTGTTTCTTGGATCCCTCGTGATTTTTGAAGCTGGAATATAAGTTTGCACAACTCCTGTCCTATGCTTTACGTTTGAGGAATAGTGAGCCATGCATGAGTGAGTGGTAGGTACTATATGTTGCTAAACGTTGTACGAAAACGGATAATCACCAATTCGGGGGAGAGACTAACAAAAAATCACATCAAGCAGACATACCCGCGCTCCAAAACCACCCATCCAGTCGCTTTGGAGCCTGCACCATTCGATTCAACGCATCAATTCAACGAAATAAGGTGGACATGGCCTGGCAATACCGTTGTTGTTGTTTATTGGTGTCTTCGGGCGCGCCCACTGCTGTGGTCATTTGGCACCGTGACCTAACCTTAGATCAGACATCTAAAAAACGCGAAATGGAAATTGAGTATGCCAAAGTAACAAACTCGAATCTCGGACCCAATACTCCGATGCGTGATTACTCCTATTCCATGCGTCATACCTGATTATCCGTTTCAGTTGCGAGTATGGTGATTGTACGTCAGATCAGAGGTCATCAAATTTCCACAAATTCCAAAATAATTGCCTGCAGACGACTGAGACTTCAGAGCGTGCTGCTCGGATCCCTGCGAAACCTTCACCATTCGGTGCGTCACGCCCGGTTCTTTCGTGGCGTTGCGTACATGGCGCATTTGGCGTTGCGCACCATTCGACGCGCTGCGCGAAATTCCCTGCAGCTGTTTACGAGTATGGTGGACCATGTTCGCGTACAACGCGGTGAAGGTTTCACGACGATTGGGGCAATGCGACAGCCCCATCCCTGTCTAGCAACACGATCTCCGTGCAGGGACAGGACTAGCGATGGGCTCCCAGATTTGGGTTGTCTGCTGGCAAGAATTTTAGACTCCGTGAAATTTGATGACTTTTCACCTGATCTGGGGTCAACATATTAGCAATGCAATAAAAAGACAGGCATGGTGCATCGCACGATGAAGGTTTCGCAACGACCAGAGTAACGGGTTGTCAGAGCTACGTTGCATGCCTTTGCATGTGAAAGTTTCCCTTCGCGTTCTTCAAGCGTTTGACTCTAGGTCAGGTCACAATATTTCTACCAGCATGCTTACCCCATCAGGCCAAATCCATTGATAAAAGTTCAAAAGCACTCGGATGAGCGGTTTCGGAGAACAAGCGTGTCTGCTTGACGTCGGTTTTTTACAGGGTAACATATGTCAAGTGGAAAGATGCTCTGGGCATCCACTGCAACATGATACTAGGAATACACTAGCAGGTGTGCAATGTAGGCTAGGACTTCAGTTCACACTACGCATTTGACAGACTGTAACGCGGGTGCCACAATAGTGAATATATTTAAATTTTAAATGAATGCTATATCCAGAATTTCCGCAATAAGCTCGCAAGGAATCGCGCACTACATTACATTGCATTGGCTGTTAGTAAAACAATCGGTATGTTCTGTAGGAAAAAAAGGGGGAAGTTCTGGATTATCCAGCTTAGAACCCACAACCTTTCGATTACGAATCTAAGACGTTACCAACTGGACCTACTGAAATCATGATGCATATTTGGAAGGTCAGAAAACTCACGGCGTACTGTGGACGAGAACTTGATCTGGTACGCCTTGGTGGTTTAGCTTTTCCAAACAAAAAATGATCCGTTAATCCTCGGCGCAAGATAAAAAAGTTTCCGGAACCCGGACCCACCGAAACCCGTGCAAAGGAATTTGATTTACACCTTGGTAAAAAAGACGTGAACCCTATGGGCCCCTCAACCAGTTCAGTGACAAGTGCTAATAACACGTGGTGTTGAATACACCCAATAGTACTCACGATTTGTCCGTTTTGAATATTTTATCACAAGCAGGGCAGTACAAATTATTGTCGGCATCATCTTCATCGCTGTTCGACGCATCATCGCCAGATATTTCCTCGCCGAACTGTCGGGCAATCGCGGCTTCCATTTGCTGAAAATCGTATAAAGTTACGATCATAAACAAACAAAATGTCATGTGATATCACGTTTTTCCACAAAAAGGCTTTCAGAGCAGCAACAATGCCCTCAAGTACCGTATGTTTCGTGTCTGTCCCTTCTCTCAGCAGTTTTCTTCCCACTCCCAGTCGTACCCATCCCCGCCACATGCGCTTCAAAGTATTGTAACTGACACGATTTGTTCCTTCCAGACTTCAAATAGCGTGCCACGGAGAAAAAATATTAAATACCAAAGACTGTGGCCGCATCACCCCAAAGCCAGCACGATACCAACCATAAAGAACCCATTCACTACAGGCCATGGGGCAATAACGTGACATCGGGACACGACTAGAGCCAAAGGTAGCACTACATCATCATGCCTGGCACGCCACCGACTGGCAGATGCCTCCCTTCGCTCGCCCGACCAATACGAACTGAGCCAATGCTGAGTGCCGCCTCCACCCGGGGCCCAGTGCGCCGGCGCCGTTCCTCACCTTCAGCTGATCCTCGTGCTGGTCTCCGCGTGACCACTCGGCCTCGCGGAAACTGGCCAGCTGCTCCAGCCGCTGCTGACGCTGCTGCTCGCGCAGCTGCTGCACGCGGCGAGCGTTCTCGGCGGCGCGTTCCTGCAGCAGCCGCTGCTGCGCCTGCACGCGTCGGTCGCGCTTGCGCACGAACGCCACCAGGGCACGCACCTGCCGGCGGCACGAGGGCGGCGCTGACAGGCAGTGGGGGCGGGACGGCGACTGCCCACGGTCGACACCGCCGACGCGACGCAAGGCCAACCAGTCTCCTGACGGAGGCACTGCCACAGCCCGGAATACGGAACGGCAAAAACAGCCGCATCTCTGTCGCGCTACATTTGTTGGCACTGTAGGGCTGTTTCAGGTACATGTGTTCCTCTTTCTAAAGAAGTGAAGAAGTTTTTGTCACGCCCAGTCCATTGAAAATCAAACACCGCACAGTGCTTTGCCCCTTTTCTCTCCCCCCCCCCCCCCCCCCCTCTTGGGTTCGGTCTCTCGGTCTCTCTGGTTAAAATTAATGGAAAGTTTCAAACGAAGACTAGAACACAAAAATCGCCCCTTATGAAGCCCACGTAATAACTCGTGGATTAATCGCTACTTCGATGTACACCCCCAATACTTATATTTTACGGGTGAAATATGGTTCAGAACATCGTCCTCGTCCGGTGTGTTAGTACGTACACAACGTTTCGGGTTGTGAAACTGGTCACATCACACCGGTCGGGGAACTCGGCGGGAGCAGGATAAATCGTTGGAGCCTGCTTCGCGGCCGGCGGCCGACCGGCGCGGCCGGGCCCTCTCACCTCCTCGTTGCGTTCCTTCCTGGCCTTGTCGCGGATCTTCTTGTTCTCCTTCTCCATCTGGCGGACGGTCCAGCGGTTCGGGCCCTGCCGAATGTCGTACTTGTCCAGCCAGGTGTACGTCTTGCGTGTGCAGTACGACTGCCAGTAGGCGTAGAAGGGCTGCACCACCTGTCGAGGTACACCACGTTATGTCTTGCTGCGGCATGGACCACGAAGGGGAAGATGCGCATGCTCGTTGATCCCCGTGCACATGCACACAAGCCAAAGTTCTAGGCCCAGGACAATAACCAACTAGCCGTCACTTATTCTGATCACCGAATCAAACAAAAGGAAACAGTCACGGCGTACAAAACGGTTCGTACGACCGGCGCGTACATTCGCAGGCCTTCACATACGCTATCCAGAGGTATTTGGTGACTGCAAAGCGCCACATATCATGGTATTGTAGACTCGCACGCGAATTGAGAATTCCTACTTGCATGGTGAATTCCTAGTAGAATTTCCTAGTAAGTTCATTCAAACACGATGCACTGAGTTGGTGCACAGAAGCTGGAAGCCCACCTCTTCAAATACGCTTTGACTATCACCAAACTCAGGAATCTCGAAGTCGCTGTCACCATCTTTGGTAAATTCGGAATCCTCAGCTGCCAGGGTCTTAAAAATCTCCCTGAAACAACTGTCATCATTTTGTTGCCATTCCCAAGAGTAAATGTACGCACCAAACACGAATGGGAGATAACAATGACCGGCAGATTGCACGCATGTTTCCAATGGGGTGATTATATACATATACCTTTATAATATATATATATTATAAAGGCATATGTATGTATGTATGGCAAATGCATATATTATGTGTATATACATATATGTATGTATGTATATATATATATATATATATATATATATATATATATATATATATATATATGTGTGTGTGTGTGTGTGTGTATATATATATATATATATATATATATATATATATATATATATATATATATATATATATATATATATATATATATATAGATCACTGATAATACATGTCAGAATTGCACTTCTCTAATCATGTAGTTCATGAACACATTAAGCAAGGATTATATCACACGCACTGTAGAACATAACCACATATACTAAATAAACATGAGGTGTATCTGTGGCGATGACTACATGTTACGTCATACCGTTCAGTCATAATTGTCTCTGCTATGCACACGTCACAGCTACTAGTGGCATTGAAGAAAATTTAACACACCTGTAGACTGCATAAAACCCTTTTTCGTCATCGGCGTAACCCGAATAGCAGGATGCCGTGAAGTATTGGTACACGTTCAGGCTGTTATCCTTGTAGTCGTTGTCAAATCCTGCAATGAATTACTCCATTAATATTCCATACGGATGAACATCTTACGGCCATAGAGGAGTCGGAAAAGAAGCGATTACAGACGTGCACTGCAGCTTGAAAGCAGCACGCGGGACATTAACCGTGAGAACACCTTGAAGGGGTGTCATCTAGACTGTGTTGTTCCCTTATAAGAAGGCCACTGCATGTTGTCCAAATTCACAGATTTTTCGTTGCTCTTTTGCTTTCACCATGGGGTTTACAATGGCATAACGAGCACGCGGAAGTCGCACTCTCACTTACAGAGATATTTGCTGCCATGAAACAGTACGGTCACAATGCCTACGCCCTTTGTTTTTCTTTTCTTTTTTTTGGTGGGTAAGCTTTCATTATGAATCATTGGTTTTGCCAGCTCTAAGCAAATGCGACCGGAGGCTGTTTTCGCAAGCGTGTTCTTTCTTAAAAGGAGATAAAATTGGCTACAAATCCGCCCTCTTGTAAAAGGACACAAAGTTGGCCCCAAACCTATCCATTTTTAAAACAGCAAAATTGACTACAAACGAGAACAAGTACACGTGCGTATATCACAAATGCATGATAATACACTGCCACATTCCCACATGACGCATTCAAATTCCATTTCACCACGGCACAATACGATCCCGTCACAGCTTGGAGGGGTTTAATTACACTGCCCCTTATATTTCCGTAAGGGGCTTCCGGAATATCCCTAGGCGAACAAAGACGCTGCAGTACCTGTCAAGCATGGGTGGCAATCCACTTAATCCACCACTTACCTCTATTCACCATAACAGCACACCAGCAATCAAATCACAAATTTAGGTACGATTAACGCCAGTGCTCTTCTGCCATCGATCTTATCTCGGGCCCATCTCCGCGCGAGTTCCTCGCAAGGAAGTCCAGTGACAGACAACACAAGTTAAACTGCCCAACAAAAGTGCACCGCTTGGATTATCCGCTTTGACGGGCCCGGGGTCACGCCTATCACGCGTTGAAGTTCTCTCACCTCCGCGGATAATTTGTTCCCGGTGTCTATCGTAAAACGCCCGCTCTTGTGGATCACTGAGAACGTCGTACGCCTGCTGGACAAGTCGGAACTGGGCAGTCGCCTCCTCTTGGTTGTTGAGATTTTTGTCTGCCAGACACGAGCTGTCAGCGCGGGTGAAGGTCACAGTTTAAGGTCGAACTAGATACGTACGTTGTTAAATGCATTGCGAGGAGCATTATTCACATAGATAAGACAGTGGTAATAGCTATATTCTTCGGAGAAAAACCAGGAGGATGGAGATATAGATGTGTTCCGAGGAGACCGAGGAATAAGGTTATCACTACCGTCGATACAAGCAGACTATCGCTAGTTGCACAGGATACCATCCACGATGGCGGCACGTAACAGCAGAGCGAGCCTTTGCTAACCCCATATTCCTATTGCTCAAACAATGCAACAATCATCAGTACGCCGATTGTGTGGACATTTAACAAAGCACTTAGCAGACAGGCCATTGAGTGTCATTCCCTATAAAGTCACACTGCAGTGATGCGCACGCTACGGAATATGCGACACCAACAAATCAAAATACAAAAATATCATTGGATAAGAATACACATGTTAAGATGAGCACTGCATGCAGCAAACATCATGACAAATAGAAGCATCACAAGCGTTCTCAATTATCAACTCATCATCACAGGAAAAACAAAAAGAGTGGCTTTCTGGCCTATCATATCTTATACCTGGGTGCCATTTTAAGGCAAGCTTTCTGTAAGCTTTCTTGAGGTCTTCTTCATTGGCATTTCTTTCAACAGCGAGCACCTCGTAATGACACTTCATTTTTCACCTGTTGAACACAAGGCAAACAATTAGTTGGAACATCCGTCAGGCCCCGCACTTTGTTGTAAAACAAAAAACCAATCGTCAGGTGGGGACGGTGATACTGGGAAGTGGGCAACAACATTTGTGATCACCAGTGTTGTGAAACTGCGCCAAAGGTGATCAAATGACCTATCCTTCCTCTGTTTTATTTGTAGAATAACGTCTTACACAAGGTGCCAAAAAGCAATCACGACAACTTGGCATGACTGCCGCATCCTTACGCCAGATGCTGCAATGAGGCTCTACCTCAATGGTGCCGAAACCCCCGGTAATATACTGTTACATGTTATATAACTGCCACCCTTCGCCACCCGACGAGCTCCGCCGCGCGCTATGCTCTGCGACCACCCATCGGAGCGCGGGGGGGGGGGGCAGATGACCTGGGACCAACCGACGTCCAGCTAGAGGTCCCTGGCTGCTGAGGCGAAGGCTGCGCCCAGGACCAAGGGCGGTTGTGTTCGCGCTTCCCAGCCACGAGGTGTGCTCTCCGCCCCTGCACCACGCCTCCGACGACGTCACTGGCCTCGGCAGGGGCGTCGTGAGACGTGGCTACGGCTCGGGGCACACCCGAGAACTGTTTCCTATCTTCTCCATCGCTGACGAATGCCCGGTGACAGCGAGCCCCTCCCCCTCGCCCCCTCCCCCACCCTGCCACACTTATGTGTACATGTGCGCAAAATGCGATGCTGGCGGAACATGCTTGTGACAGCGACAAGGTCAAAGCAGGATCTTGTTTCCGACTGATGTGTTCACGTTCATGTTCTGAGGCACACACGACCACTACAAGTCGTCGTTATTGACGTTACTGGCGTTTTCTTGTCAGAATCACATGGTTGGTGCCCTCGACTCACCTGGCACCTTTAAGACTGTTAAAACATGTACATATGACGATTGTTCAGTTTTCAAAAACTGCGACAGCATCAAAACTTTTGTTGTTGTTCATTGGAGTTTTCGGGCGCGTCGACTGCAGTGGTCATTTTGCGCCCAACAGCATCAAAACTAGCACCTTTTAGATTTGGTTGGGATTTCAGCTCTTTCGGCCAAAAGTGGTCATTTCAGGGCTATGGGATAAAGGACAGAGGTGCGTGGTGGGGCAGTAGAACGGCAATCGTGGCAGATCTCCGATAACGAGCCTAACCCCGCACAGGAAACCCTGTCCGCGGTTTGCAAGGGTGAAAAGTCGCGGTTTGCTCGGTGCAAGGCTCATGCCAAGGCTGCAACTTACGTCCGTTCAAGGCTACCGGTCACAGTTCGCCCCGGAGGGTCGTGACGTTGGGGGTAGGGGGGGATTACAATTGAAGTGTTGGGAAAGGATAGATGGCAGATGATACCAACCAAATAAAGAAAATGTTTATTTGAAGGTGATACAGACATGCTATGCATGCTTCCTCAGACCAACCATTCTTTCATTATGTGTATGGCAAATTACTGATATGAGCTTAAAGGTTTAAAAAAAAAACATCTAATGCATTCTGCTCAGTGTGTTTATCTCATCAATTCACATAAATCATTTCAAGGCCTCCTCTATACATGGATTGTACACACCTTTTTTGACAAACTAAAAAGTGTGCCAAGCATAGGGTATTCCAATGAAGATCATTCCTAACCCATTGTCCATGTACTTAAGTTGCTGGTGCTCTGTCTAAGCACATATTGAGTCAATACAAAGGCTTCAGTAACTGGAAGCATGCTCCTGGTGCATACATACTGAAAATCTCTATGGGACATGTTCATGAAGGCTTACTAAATGTGATAAAGCCAGACAAACCAATACCACAGTCAAACAGCATACAGAGAGCCCACACACGGCATTACTTCAACATTATATTTCCAGTTTTCACAAAAGGTACCAAAAAGTTCCCATCAAGCATGTGTGACAGCCACCTCAAAACCTGGTTTGGATAAACCAGAAAAATTCACATGAATTTGAGATGATAGAGCTCCTAATAAGTTGACTATTCATTTGTGAATGCTCACAAAACCCTTTGCATAACTCGGGCTATGACCCTGACCAGGTATAAATACATTGTACATGCAAAGCCAAAGTCAGCAGCTTTGGACACAAAAAAGTGAAAGCTCAACTCACCAACCCCTCATGAGGTCAAAACCAGATACAGTTTACCACATGGTTTTGTGAAACCAAAACCATTTTGGCATCTGCAAACTTCATCAATGTTTTGCATATTTATTGGAGAATGGGACAAGGTTATCAAGGCAGTGGAAAATTTGTATTTTTAACAGTTGAACACATCTGTATCTTTGGCAGCTGAGCATATTAATATATTTTTGCCACTTTCTGTACACAATGTATGCTGTCATTTTCTGAGAACCCTGAGCATACTGTCACTTTCTGTAAATCCTGTGCATTCTGTCACTTTCTGGGAACCCTGAGCATACTGTCACTTTGTGGGAACAGTGAGCTACAGTCACTTTTGAAACATAAGGAGAAAACAATACAGACATGAAAATTTACGCCCAAAACCAGCTTTCAAGCCAGAATAAAGGACATGAAATATTGCCATTTTTCAACTTTGTCTTTCACCATGATGCTGGAAACCAAAGTGGCGTCATAACAGAAGCACCACACAGTGGTGTCAATCTACCACAAGGCCTACAATAAGGCCAAAAACTTTACACAGACTTCTCACAGAACAGAGAAAATTTATGAAAGAAAGAAAGATATGTGAATCAAAGCAATATCCTGCAAGTTACATTCCTCTAGATCTTCACAAGACATTGGTGAGCCATGCGCTCAAAGAAGATTAGTGGGTTCAGCCTATTCTTATCATAGATTTATGGATGATGCTTTGCGGCCCACCAGTTTATCATACACACCAAAAATTTCTGCATATTTCAAGCATCCAAAACTAGCTAAGTCTACCAACAACACTAAATAATTTTGACCATTGTTACCTATGTGCACTGAATTAGTAGCTGATAGAACTCACATAACATATGTCTAAAACCTTGCCTGACCAGTTTCATGTAAAGCAATGCAGGGATGCTTTGGTGGTACTGTCAAGACAGCCACTGACATGATCTAAACCATTAATATTAGAGTCATTTAATCACAACATTTTGAGTAAAATAACTAAGCCAGAGTAAACTGACAGAAGCTTTTATGACATGCCACAAAATTCATAAAAGCTCATTACATGACAAAACTGGTTTAACTTTCCATCTTATTTAACTGCTTAACACCAAATTAATTGCTTTCTTTTCCAGATAATGGCCAAGGAACAGCTGTTCAACATTATGCTACTGCCCAAACTTGATGCATCACATATGTTCCAACATAAATATATTAAGTACCACTGACAGCAGTAAATCATGGTACATGTACTTTGATATAAAAATCATACTTTCATCTAAGTTATACTCATGTGTCCTAGTTACCTATCACTGGTATTATACACTATTATGTATTTATGTTAGACAGCCCACAAACCATGCAGATTTGGATGAAATCTTGTTGGGAAAAAGTTTGGGCACAACTTCCAATTTGGGGCAATTTATCAACAATGTGTGGTACACATTAAGTTGGAATATTGACAGCACCTCATTGTATTCTATGACTTACAAAGCTAGCAGGATCAAGTCAGTTAACCATGGTACATTTTGATGACATATTGGGGCATAGGTAAGACATGCCTTCCCATTTGGGGTGGTTTATCAAAATATTCAGCCAGAAATTAGTGAGCTGGACCCTTAAGGGCACCACATATTCTAAGATATATTTACCTTGTCAAATCACATAGAATGACAAGTTCTTATCATACATCAAATTGTGGGGGTAGGGTTAACAAAATTTACCCAAAAGTGGAAGTTAATTATCCTATTTCAGGCACAGTTCCATGTCCCCAAAAACATCATTGGTGTATTTGCCATGGTCTACAGACTGGAGCAAAAGCACAGAAAATAACCCAATTTGATGACAAACCAAATTTCTTTGAGGGGGGGGGGGGGGGTAAGTAACGTTGTCATGGTTAGCAGACTTATTGCTAAGCAGACACTTCTATTCTAAAAGCACATTGAAATTTAATTCATAAACACATGCCTGTGGGTAATATTATATTAACAAATCGCATCACAAGGTAACAACATTACATATGGCCTGCACGATTCCCTGCACTAATGCAGCCGCCAGGTCTACAAGCATGCCAGACCCGCTACTTACGCCTGACGTGGCGGCGGCGCAATACAAAATGAACTCCCTCCTTGATATGGTTGCACCGTACCTAGAATGAATACGGGTCGCACCTGAACGCAAGCTTATAATCCGCTTACGCCCTGCGGACTCATGAGTGGCTGTAGGAAAATATTGCGCCTCGTGTCGCAACACGCGAATGTTCCAGGGAATGTTTCGTCGTCAGAGCGTTCAATTTGCCGCCGAATTTGTAGTCCGCAAGTGTGATCTGGAAACAAAATCTCCCTGCCTCAAAAATACTCAGTGATTGAAGTTACTTCACTTCATGGGGATCGTGAATTATAAAAGGCCACTAGGTCTGCAGGTCCCGGTCTCGTCAGACTCCCGGTCCGGTAACCAAACAGTCTCAAATTATGGGTAGATTCAGTGTGCGATGTCATACATAACGTCAGCCCAGTGCATATCAAGCCTAGACTTGAACTGCTCAACTGAGGTTGACGACACGACCGGGTGTGGAAGAGCCTTCCAGTTGTTGACGACCCGCGTGCTGAACGAGTTACGACGGACAAGAGTACTAGCTCGAGGTTTTCTCAGCTTCCATTGGTGTCCTCTTGTCACCTTTAAGTTGCGCCTCGTCAGAAACTCCTCTTCCGACAGCGACATGCATCCTTGAAATAGCTGGTACACTGTTACCATGACTTACCTGCGACGACGGTAGTACAGCGAGGGTAATTGGAGGAGTCTGAGCTTCTCAGAGTGTGGCTGGTGCCTCACGTCATAGACAAGACGGGTAGCTCGTCGCTAAACTCGTTCCAGCCGCTTCTGGTTCAGTTTGCCGCACGGGTCCCAGATGACGTTGCCATACTCTAAGTACGGACGTACTAGGATCTTAAAGACCAATGACAACGCGCGAGCATCGATGTTGGCAAAAGACCGCCCCACGACCGCCAGCATCTGGTTGGCTTTGGAGATCGCTTCCGCCGTCTGCACATGGAGCTTGAGTCTGTAATCCACGAAGATCCCGACGCACTTCTCGGTTGACTCGACCGCGATTTCGGCGCCGTCCAAGAAGTAGGTCAGCCTCGGGTAGCAGTTCCCGATATGCATTATTTTGTACTTTCCTGCACTAAAAAAGGAGGACTCGAGAGGAGCAGCCACTCCTTTGACCACTTAGCCAGGGCGTCGAGGTCAGCCTGCAGAGGTAAGTCAGTCAGGGACCTCGGGACACGACAGTCGACTTTGGTGTCATCCGCGAACATCTTGACCACGCTTCGCACTTGCTCTGGCAGATCGTTCACAAAGATTATAGAAAATGTTGATCCAAGCACTGATCCTTGTGGAATGACGCTGACGACGTCGGTCCAATCCGACTTCAAGCCCTGGACCCGTACTCTCTGCATCCGGTGGGTAAGAAAAGCCATGATCCGGCGTAGCAAATTACCTCTCACACCGTAAGCATGAAGCTGGAGAGCAGACGGTTATGAAGCACAGAATCAAGAATTTGCCAAGTTCAGGCGCGCCACGTCCACCGGCTCTAAATTATCTACCGCGGCGCTCCAATCTTCAATGACTTCTAGTAGCTGGGTGATGCAGGATCGCTTTGGGAGAAACCCATGCTGGGCTGCATGAAGAAGTGCAGACGTCGAGAAGTGATTAAGTAGGGGATCACGGACGAAAGTTTCGAGTATCTTTGGAGGGAATGGCAGTAAAGCTCACTGGGCGGTGGCTCCCTGGGGACTGTCGGTTACCTTTCTTCAAGATCGGGGCTGCCTCGCCAAGCTTTCACTACTGGGGTAGCCAACCGGATGTCAAGGATTTCGGAAAAGCATGCTAGGGGGTACAGCCAAGATATCTGCGGACTCACGCAGAAGCCTTGGGTGGACATCGTCTGGCCCAGGACCGCTCGAGGCCTTCAGAGCACCCAATGTTTTTGCCAATGCCTGGATAGAGATGTTCACGTTATCCAGAAACAGTCCAGTAAAGTTGCGCGGCAACACAGGCGTGGCACTAGTCCTTTCGTCCGTGCAAACACTGGCGAAAAATTTACAGGGGACATTGGCATTCCCTTCGTTACTGCTGGTCAACACTCCATCATCGTCAAGAACGTCCTCTACCCTGCATATTGTGCGTAGTCCTGAGTTGGCGTACCTCCAAAAGGCATTGGGGTTCCTTTTGAGGTCCGCTACGAATCCCATTTCATACTCTTTCCGGAGGTTTCTGGCCAACTTCCGAAGGTCATTGTGACGCTGCACAACCCTGACATAGTCCAGGACATCCTGCGTCCGCGTGTACGTGCGCCATAGTCTTTCCTTAGTCTCTTTAGCCGCATGGCCCCTGGGTTCATGTACAAGTTATTCTTAGCTTTATTCCTTCTCTTGACGGAGCAAATCTCATTAGCTCTGGCGATTCTCTCCTTGAAGAACTTGTAAACATCTTCGAGGCTAAGGTTTCGCATCAGGGACCAATCGATTAGCCTGAGGCCGTCAGCCAGATGTCCGTTGAAAGTTGAAATGCTCAAAAATTGAAAATGCTCATTGATGGATTGAAACAAAGGCCAGGTGTGAGGGACGAGATTGTATGACCTGTAAAGCAGATGCAAAAGATGGCTGGAGCCTTTTGTCTCTAATTCGTCGGATCAGTGTTCATGTACTTAAAACTTATATTCATCTGCAGCAAAGCCAGGCCATTTCGGGATTTTGGGCTATGACAAGACAGACATGGATATAGATTGGTACGCTTCCGGTGGGTCACTGCTCCGCTTCCTGCCCAATTTGGTCCCCTCAACGGTAGTTTGACCCCCATCAACCTTCTGACGTCTAAACACAAACAGGACATGACCAATGGAACATCAAATTAATAAAAATTGTAAAGAAGGCTTCCGTCACTTGTTTTACAGGTAAAAAGAGCACAGAAATTTGAAACTGTGATAGCATGTTCACTTGAGAGCAGCTTCCTGACCTAGTGACACTTTCGAAGCTCCGCGTTCGTACAGCGTTTGAGCATTTTCTGTCCCTCCTGCATGGCGTTCGGTTTTAATGACACGATTAACGTGTTGTTGACTTTTTTCCCGTTTCGTGCCATTGTGTGGGCGTTTTGATTAATCAGCGATGTTTTAAGCTCTACAGATTGCAGCAAGCCGCGTCATTGTGCCACACCATATCGGAAGATGAAGCAAGCTGCTGGTCGGATACTGGTTGAATTTACGACCCAAACACGTGACCGAGTTATTAGACCCTGCGTTCAGAAGTCTTTAAAATGCGCCGCCCTCCACTTCGAGGCATACATCTTGTGGAGCAGATAAGTTAACCTGACGATCGACACCTGCCGATTAAACCGAGAGCGGCCATCGCCCGACAATGACCACCAAAGCAACACTAACCGCCTCGGGCAGGCCTAACGCGAGTACTGAGTTAAGGCCTGCACCCCGCCCTGTGGCTACCAGCCAGGGGTTTCCGTGGCAGTCTTTAATAGGTGCGCACTTTACTTTGCACTCTTTACTCCCCAAGCCGCAACGTTCAACAATGTTTGAAGTCACATAACATCGGCCCCATGTCGCGTACCGAAACCTGGTTTCGACAGTCGGCGCGAAACAGAATGATAATGACGCCCAATGACAGCATCTGCTGTCGAGACAGAGGGAGGAAAGGTATTAGAGCAGGGCTGTAGTTCCTTATGTCTATTACTTGGGCGGAAATCCAATTACATTACGTTGCGAAGGAAGTGGGTCAAATCCTGGGAAAAACTTATTCTGTGCATAGACGTGAGAACAGGGGGCGGGGGGCATGTCTCCCACTTTTCAAGGTGGGGGAGGGGGCGGCAGTGTTAACTGCTCCCCCCCCGCGCTTTTCCGATTAAGGTTGTGCTTGGCCTACTTTTGCAACGCATTCAAACATACATGCCTATTTACCTAGTTCACCAGCCCTCTTCCTCAAGATGCGTCATCTTTTTCGTTTGCTTGTTGGCCATCGCTTAATGTCACAAAAGCAGGCCAACGCCGCGCGGCCTATGGAGACTGCAACGCCGGACTTTCAGGCTGTTGCTATGACTTGCAAGCGCGTATATTCAAAACCATATTGCATAGTCTCTATCAGTATTCAATTCTGACTGGATCTTGAACATTTTAAGACGAACACAGATTAGCCATGTAAGTACAAGCTTAGGTCCCAATTTCATCCACAATCTACGTTCATGGATCCCTTAACATCTCTGAAGAAAACAGAAAAACACGGAACTGGAGCTTGCGTGACAATTATTGGACCACCTTTGGCAATCAGGGATTCTGTTGCGTCAATGAGGGTTCCTGTGCTGACCCAGGGCCAACTGCGCGGGTCAGAAGGTCTCCCGTGTCAGGGGGGAACAATGTAATTGATATATCATTGCAATGGCCTCCGAATCGACCAGGAGATCCCGCCCCGTGTCGCTAGAATGACAGCCAGAAGACGCTTCACGGTGGGACGGAGTGGCCCTTCAGCTCTTGACCGGAACCGGTAATGTGCCTGTAAGATAACGATACCAAGAAGAGCGCGGCTGGCTGCAGTCAAAACGCTACCGGCACCTCCCCGCGCACCCACCCCGCGCCTCTCCTCTCTCCCACTGCCGCCGCGCCGGCCGGTCCTGCCGGCAGTCAGCTGACTCAACCGCCAGACAGGGCTGAGGAGACGACCCCACATGTATCGGCTGGCCGGCTCGGCGTATTCACAGCACAGTGCCCTTGGTGTTCTACTCAAGGGGCACCTCGCCCGGAAGGAAATAAGGGGCCTCAGTTTTTGAGTAGAGTTAAGGTCTCATTACTGTTGAATAGAGTAGGTCGAAATAATCTTTTTTTTTAACCGACAAGGCCATCCCATTTTTGCCTAAGAACGTTCATTTTTCAGAATGGATTAGTGAAAAAGTGCATCAGAAGGTTTGAACATGCCCGCAAACTCGAGAGCAAGGACAGCGATGGTCTGGGTTGCAGCTTCCGTAAAACCGAACGGCGTCGACCACTGCAAGTGCCACCAGACGGCGGGCGCCGTGTCAATCTGTCTTCTGGACAGATTAATCGTTACAGAAACACGAAAAATAGAGAACCTAGTTTTACTCTTCCAGTTCCACCACCAGATTCCAGCACCACTTCGCGGTGCTTTAAGGGCCGATCTGTTCTTATCATCAGTCTAAAAATCGC